ACTTTATTGAACATTTATATATTTTTGTGCAGTTTTCATTTTCCAAATTACATTTTCTATCAAAAATAACCTAGAAAACTACTTAAAAACTTAGTAAAATATGCATTTATCAAGTGTCAAGTGGCTTATTTAGGGATTCTATGAGTGTTTACAATCATTCCAGTTCTGCCTTACTAAGGGCTGAGATTTCTTCTTTAGTTTGTGACACTAGAGGATCTTCGTTAGCAATCTTAGAGTTAGAGGTTGCTTGATTGGGACGTCTTTATGAGAAACCCTTAAACCCTCTAATGCATCCAAGGACCTTATCCTTCCCATGAAGTTTAAAGCATGTCTCCTTAGTGTGGCTTGACTTCTTACCATAGATGCACTAGTGCTCCTCTTGGTTAGACTTCATGGAAGGCTTCCCAAAAAGACCTCTTTCTAGAGACCAAGGCTGATCATTCGTGGGTTTATCTTTTAGTATTATTGCCCTGCAACTTTCTTCACCACGAACAGAGTAAAAGACTTCTAATAAGGAAGGAAGCTTCTTTTTCCCCAAAATCTAAACTTAGATGGGATCGAATTCAAGGTTCAGGCCGGAGAGGAACTTAAAGATCCTTGTTTTCTCGATAAATTTTGTTAGAATGGTAGTGTCATCATTGCATTTCATTTTTAGATCCTGGTACTGATCTAACTCGATCCACAAACCATTCAAAATGCTGTAATATTCAGACACAGATAGAGATCCCTTCGTAGTGTTGAATATTTGATTCTCCAACTCATAACAGGCTGAGGTGCCCTTTTTCATTAGTAAGTTCATTGCAGATTTTCCCAAATCTCCTTGGCGGTGGAGAAAAACATACAGTTTTGACTAATTTTAGGAAGCATTGAGTGCCATAGCCATGTCATGATGAAAGAGTCTTCATCATCCTAGACTTCATACTGCAATTCATCCTTGCATAGGGCTTTCCTTTCAATATGGCTTAACTTCTTTCTTCCCTTCAAGGTTTTGTGAACAAGTTGTGACCATTGTAGATAATTGTGACCATCAAGTCAACAAGATCCCTATAAAATAGGAAGATCATTAGGACCTAGTGCTTGAGCAAATATGGGGTTCTCGGTAGCCTTTAACGATTAGACAGAAGCGAGGGAGGTAAGATGTAAGAACCAGCAGCCAAACGGTTCTGTTTTATGGTCACCAATCATTGGAACAGAACCAAGAAGGTTCGACGACTCGTGTGGTGGCAAAGGCATCAGGAACGAAGGTCGTTACAGTGGCATGTGGGTTACACGTGCTAGGGACTGTGACAGCGCAATACGAATTGTGCGACAGTTTCCAGTGACGCGGCTTCAGATTTCAGCCAATCTTGTTAATGAACTCTGGAAACACGTTCTATGATGAAGGTAGAACTAGAAAGAGAAACATCCGTTACAAGGTGCAATGTAGGCACCATATATTAAGGGAGTGTGATGACGGCAATACTAAGGTAATCCGCAATGAAGGCGACTATTATTTTGGTGCGGAAGCAGAGCCCCTAAGATCAGGAGCTCCAATATCAACTTGAAAAGATAACTATAGATGAAAGAGTTTGAATAATTCTCATTAAATCATTATAGGAGTCTTATACTGTATTTATAGGCTAATTCTGTCCTAATTTTAGTAATTACAAGAGGACCATATCAAATAAAAAACTGTATAAATTATAGTCAATCAAATCTCTCCTAATTATAGAAAAAACAAATTGGTCTAATTATGATAATTATAATCTATCTTAATTATGGTAATCACAACACTAAACATGATTCACAATAAGATCAGACAATACAAACATGAATAACACATTAATCAATCAGAAATACAATTTCATTTTTATATACATACACTAATAATTAATACTATGATTTTATTCTATTTTCCTTTCTACTATTTTTGAATTCCTCATTTCAAACTTTCACTGCTCTGTGATCCCTTGATGTCTTCTTTATTATAGATAGTTGTTGAATAGCTGCAACAATACAGATACAACGTGTGTCAACCTGACCCCTTTTAGCAAAAGTATGATCAGGAGTTTCGCTCAAAAAATGAGTGTGAGGCCTGTGGTACTTGTACTTTTATTAGTCATGCGCAAATCAAAGAAAAGCATCAACCCCTAAGATTTCTAAAATTGCCTCCATCTTCCACACTCCCAATATATTTTTGAACTATCTATAATTATCCTCATCATAACAAAAACTTTTCACTTTTTATGATAACCTATTTTTCATCACTTTTCTCTTTCTATTCATTCAAGTCCATTGCCTATATTATACATATCAGTCATTCATTGGCAAAGATCTGACACCTTCAGACTCAGTTCACAACGTACACACACACATATATATACTCAACACACATATCATTCAAGTCATCAAAGGCAAGGAAAACATATTCACTCAAACATATATTCACAAGCAAGTAACACACAACAACATTCACATAAACACAACAACATCATATTCTCAGTAATGGAATAGAGCTCTCCTTACCTTAAATAGATCGTTTTGTGAAGAAGTTAGTGGAAAAGGTTGTCCAAAAAACTAAGGTCTTCCTACATTTTATAGAGAAAAGTACCTTTTGAAAAGAGAGAAAACAGATAAAATAGAGATGAGATTGAAGAGCCAAGCTCAAAAATACTCACTAACGATTCAGTAGAGTGAAGATTCAAGCTTGGATTTGCAACGAGTTCAGAGCTCAAAGGCTTTTTTCTGGGAGAAGGGAAGAGAGAGTTCAAAGAAAAAAAAGTTAGGAAATGTTTCTTAGATTGCAATACAAGTTTTTGAATTAGAATCCTTAAATGCCCTCAAATCTCACGTGCTCTCGCTCGTTTGAGTGAAGCTATTCTTGCTTAGGCGCCCAAGCAAGAAAATATAGAGTGGTTCTCTCAATCTTTTTCTGATATTCTCGCTTGAGTGAGAATCATTATCGCTTGAGCAAGAAGGGACCCAAAGAGTTGGTGATTTATCCTATGAGTCCTCGCTTAAGCAACTCATTTCGCTTGAGTGAGATCACTTCTCGCCTAGACGAAGGGATAGTTAGGACAAATTTATCTTGTCTCGCTTGAGAATTCCCATAGTTTAGGCACTTAGTCTTGCCTAAGCAAGACTCCCTACACTAGACCTCTTCCAAACACTCATTAAATCAATTTAAAACATATTCTAACATCACCTAATATCAAGCAATTATTGAATAACAAATAAACGAAAAAGAGGGTGTTACATAGTCTAAATTAAAATTAATGATAATATATTAATTTGTTTATAATCTTTTGTTAATATTAATTTCTTAATTTGATTTTTGGTATTTTTAATACTTATGAATCTAATAAACTCTTTATTTACATAATTTTAGAGAAAGAGTAAAGTCTTTACATAATGAAACACAACCACATATTTGTAGGAATGTAAAAAATCTAAAGTTAATTAAATTATATTTACAGTTTTGAATTAAAATTTCTAAAGTTAATTGTGCTAAAAATTTTAGAAATATTTAAAATATATTGAAATTTAAAATAACAAAAAATTAAAATTTAATCAAACTAAAATTACAAATTTAAATTATAATTGTAAAATTTAAATGTTCTAAGAACTTTAAGAAATATCTAAAATAAAAAGGAAATATTAGAACAAAAATAAATAATTTAAAAAAATATAAATAAAATTCTAAAAGAATTTTGAAATTTATATTTTTAAAATAAAATAAGCTTAAATTTTATGGGAGTGGCACTTGGCAAAAATAACATGAGAAAGGTATTACTTTAATATAGATATACAAATGATTAAATAATGTATTAGGAAGTAGTGTTTTAGAAATTTCACTACACACTCAACTTACAAATAAATTATTTTGATACTTTATTATCAATTAAATATTAAAACAAGTTCTTCAAGTATTGTTTTAGCAATTTCACTGCACACTTAACATACTAATAAAGTTGATGTTAACAATGATGTAGAATTTATCATTTTATTCTTATTATATTTTTAAATCTCAATTTTAAAAGTTATAATTTTTATCTAAAAATATAAAATATGTGTTGTTAATTAAACATTTCGTTATACTATGTTCCAATCAAATCGTATAAATTAACTTATACTTTATGTAAATAAATAATAAAATAAGATAATGAATTATTAATATCAGGACTAAATTAAAACGAAAAATAATTTTTAAGAACTTGATTATAAAAAAATTAAAAATGATGGACTAAATAAAAAATTAATTTTTTAAAAGATCAAAATCTTATTTAAACTTTAATCAAAATTTTGAAAAATCAATCACTTAAGCTTGAAAATTTTACAATTAAGCTTGAACATTTTACTTTTGATATAATAAATGTCTCTTTTAATAAACATTTTTTTTAACTTCATTAAGTTCATAAAAGCATCATACATTTAGGTTAATCATTAACTAAATCAGAGGGCCAATTTAACAAATAAGTTACTAATCGAACTATTAAAAATATTTCAAGGATAGTTATACATTACTTTGTTTATAAATTAATTCCTGTTTAAATTTTACATTTTTAATTCACACATTTAACAAAAGTACTGCAAAATTCATTTACCTACCAGTGTTTTTTAGTATTTTGAAAATTTTTTATCAGACAACTTTTGTAAGAGATAATTGCATAATATTTTGGAACTTTTCCTAAACAATATTTTTATATAATTATAATTTTATGTTTTTAATACTTATTTAAATATTACTTAAAGGTCGTTAAAAATGATTGAAATAAGATCACTTATCAAATATTTTATTTTCGTTAAATAATTTTATAATAAGCTATAAACAAATTGAAGAGACTTATCAGATATAACAATACGATAAGTTGTATTTTCTAATGGTTAGAATATTTTATGAATTTTATAATCTTTTGCTGTCTATGGATAAATAACGATGACAACACGGACCACAAGGGAGACGTTAGGCATCGGCTCTTTCTTGTAATTTCTCTCACAAAAATTTGAGGCCACACCAATAACACTAGTAAACTACAAATCAGAAAGCTCATATATAAAGTTCTGTTCCACTCTCCTACCAACCTCCCTTGTTCCACCACTTCTTTAAAATCATGATAACAAACTTCACGAATTACTGGGAATAGAACCCTGCAAATATGCTACTCCTTCCCGTGCTTTCACTCTCTTCCTTTCCCTCTCTTGTTCCTAACCACTCTCTCCGATTTCAATCTCGTTGGAACCGATGTGCTTCTCGCCGCGCCATAAGATGTGCCGCTGCGTCCTCAGGAGGCGACGGCGATGCGTTCACGGCGAAGTCTGGGTACCTGTTTGAATTGAGCGTGACGGAGGCGGATTCTCTGGCTGAGTACCGAATATCTAAAATCGCGGCTATTTATTCGAGGAAGCCTCTGCTCGTGGCTCGTCGGTTGGTTCAGACCGGAATAGCGTTCGGCAAGTGGTTCGGTCTTCGCTACTTCGACTCTCTATTGGACCGCTCCGAGTCGATGTTTCAGGTTTCGGAACTATACATTTTTTTTTCTCTGTGAATTCAGGTTTGCGGATTTTAGGTTCGGAAGAAGTGGTTTCATGTTATTAGCGTAGAGGATGTGAAGCTTTTGTAGGAAATGAATTTTTATGATCAAATGAATAGAAGATTTTGAAGGAGATGGTATGTTTGTGTTGTTAGCGAGGAGAGTACTTTTGAAGGATTTAGCATTGCCAAAGGAAAGAGATGTGTAAAGTAAGAAAGTTAGCATATATCCACCATTGATTTGAATTTAAGCATTTATTACATATAATTAACTTTCAAATCAAAACTTTCTCACTTTACACATCTATTCACTCTAGAGAAGTCAAATCCATTTCGAAATCTATGAAACAAGTAGAGATTCTTGAGGCTTTTGACTTGCAGTTTGCATTGAAAAATAAAAGTTTTACATATCCATTTACTGTTTGGTTTTTGTAGGTTAGAGCTGCAGAGCTAAGAAAGATATTGGTGGAGCTTGGGCCGGTATGTCATGTTAATTATCAGTTTTGTTAATCTCAACTTTTAGTATTGAGTTTAAGCGGTCATAATAGTAATATTTGATTGGAAAATAAAGTGTTTATTGCAGTAATAAATGTTTTCTTTTTCAATAAAAGTTTATTACTTTTGAATATTTAAACTCAGCCCCAAGGACAAATGTTAGGTTCACCCAAACACGAATATAGCAAATAATTGTAAAGAACAGAAGAAATCAGAAATTGAGTAATGTAAATGTATATGAAGTGATACATGACATCATTTCTCAATGCTCATGCCCCTATACACATCAACAAAATGGGATTGTGGAATGGAAAAATGGTCATTTGCTTGATGTCACAGGATCCTTACTCCTTGAAGCCTCTGTTCCACCTAAATTATGGGTTGAGGCCTTATCAACAATTGTCTTTTTGATTAACTGTCTTCCTTCTCAGGTTCTTGGGCTTGAGTCCCCGTGCTTTCGTTTGTTTAATTCTCACCCTTATTATCATGATCTTCAACCATTTGGTTGTGTTTGTTTATCCATTTACCTCTTTCTGATTGTCATAAGCTTGGGACACAATCTGGTGTGCTCTTTTGGGTTATAGTACCACTCACAAGGGATTCTTATGTTATGATGAAATGACTTCTTGTTTTTGTATTTATCGTAGTTTTTTTCAATCATCAATATTATTTTCAAGTACTTCTTCAGCCTCTAATGGTTTTGTTGCTCTTCATCAATTTTCTAATGTCTCCTATCCTATAGAACGCTTGAAACCAGGTCATGTGTATGTCAAATGTTGGCCTGCACCATCCTTCTTGATGCTGCTTTACCACCTAAACCTGTCTCATTAGCACAACGTCAATCAAGATGAGTCATTCATCTGTCAGATATGTATGAAGTATGGAGTTAGACCTATGTCTCTTGTTGCTACTTTTATCTACACATCTATTCTTACATGTTACTCATAGGCAATTAAGGATGCTTGTTGAGTGACGGCAATGCAAGAGGAGCTTGAGGCACTTCAAGAGAATTTTACATGGGACATTGTTCCTTGCCCACCTGATGTGAAACCCATTGGTTGCAAGTGAGTGTATTTGGTGAAATAAAATCTTGATGGCTCTCTTAATTGTCACAAGGCTCAATTGGTTGCTTTGGGTAACAAACAACAGTATAAGGTGAATTATGATGAGACGTTTGCCTTTGTAGAAAAGATGACTACCATTAGAGCAATCCTTTCTCTTGCTGCTCCTCAACAATGGTAACTTTGCCAATTGGATGTGAAGAATGCCTTCATGGTGATTTGATTGAAGATATTTACGAGTCCTCCTCAAGGCTTGTTTACTTCCTCTTCTTTTACCAATGTATGCAAGCTCAAATGCTCGCCTATGACAGGCTCCTTGAGCATGGTTCAAAAAATTTTTCGATCCACTCTTCTCAGATTCTCCTTGCGCAAAGTCAATGTGATTCTTCCTTATTCATTCATCGTACAAAAATTGGTAGTTTTTCTTCTCATTTATGTTGACAATATGGTCATTACCAATTTTGATAATGCATCCATCCTGCATCTTAACGAGTAGCTCAAGGCCTCCTTTCATATGAAAGACCTCAGTGATCTTCACTAATTCTTGGGTCTTGAGGTTTATAAGAATTCCAAAGGTATCTTTCTCCATCAATATAATGATAACAATTGCCAAGTCGCTATCAAAATAACTAAGTTTTCTCTAAGAATTTTGAAGTACAAAGTTCAACTATATTCAATTTTAGGATTTAAGTAATGCAAGAACAGTTTGGGAATTTGTAGGTTCCAAATCAACATTAAAAACAATAACTTAATTAACTTGAAGAAAAACAGAATAAGAATTATCAATCCACAGATTCATAGATGTATACAATTCCGATTATCACAATATCTCAAGATTTTAATCATAGTTTAAACAATTACCCATTCTAATTATTAATTTAATCGAATAACCTAATTGAATCAAATTACGAATTAAATCAAATTATCATTTAACCTAATTTGCATTTAATTATCAAATCAGAATATCAATTGAATCCTAATTTGAATTTTAACTCACAAAAAAGCTAATTATGATCTTGAATCACAAATCTGAAATTAGAGAAGAGAAGAACAAACTCCAAGCAATTGGCACAAAAACTCAAACTAGATTTACACCATCTTGAATTTGTGGATTGAATGAGAGGTTTAATCTTCCATTGAAGCACTAATCAGAGCGTGAATGAGGAGAAGATGAGAATTCGGAAAGAGGAAAGAAAATAAGGATTCAAAGAGAAGTTTGAGAGTCAAAACTGAAAATTTGAAATTTAAAATTGTCCAACTAACCAACACCCCTAATTCAGAGCCTCATTAGCTTATTTATAAGTTCTGATTAGAGTAAACTAAATGGCCTCAATTGTAACTAAAAGTTCAAAACTCAATTACAAGGGTCCAAATGTAATGCCACATACAAAATTCAGCACATCTACCTCTACTCCAAAAAATCATAAAAAATCAAAAACAACTCCAAGTCTAGTGTTCCATGTATACATTTTGAAGTCTTGGATGTGTAGAATTTAATGCAACCGAAATCAGTCAAAAATGATAGATGCAAAAGAAGTTATGACTAAGAGAGTAGGCAAAGGTTAGAATAGCCAAAAATATGAAATTAAAGCATATGAAAAGTGTTTTGGAATCAAAATAAACTATAAATGTGAAAATATAAAATATGTGGCATGACATAAATATACCAAGGACTAATTTCTTTAGCAGTCGTTCACTCGGCTATCCCATTGGATACTCCTCTTGAGGATATTATAAAATATCATCGTGATGAGGGTAATCTTTTGTCTGATCCTTTACTATATTGACAATTGGTGGGTAGTCTCAATTACTTGACTATCACCCACTCTGACATAGCATTTGCAGTCCAACCAGTGAGCCAATTTATGCACACTCGTTGCCATCATCATTTGCCTATTGTTGAGACGTCTCCCAACTTGGTTACTTATAGTGATGTGGATTGGGCTGATTGTTCTAATACTTGGAGATCCGTCACTGGATGGTGCATGTTTTTTGGGCTTGTGCTAATTTCTTGGAAAAGTAAAAGCAACCCCATGTCTCTAAGTCCTCTGAGTATCAAGCCATGTCTATGGCGTGTTCAAAAATTATTTGGCTTCGTGGTTTTTTGGGTGAGCTTGGATTCCCTCAAAAAGATACAATGCCTCTTCATAGTGACAACACTAGTGCTATTTAGATTGTTGCATATACAGTCTTCCACGAGCGTATTAAACATATTGAAGTGGATTGTCATTCTATTAATGAGGCTTTGAATATGTTATTTGTCTTCCTCATGTCACCTCACAACTTCAGCTTGTAGATATCTTTACCAAGACAGTTTCTCATCCATGACATCAATTTTTCATTAGCAAATTGATGATTTTTGACTAACCGCATCAATTCTACACTATACCTGGACATCAATTTATTTATGGTGTATAATTATATTCCTAATTTAGACAAAACAGTTAGGAAATAGAATATTTTGTAGTTAATTGTTGTAAATTATCTTGTATTATTTATTTGGGAGAATGGAATGAAAAAGACATCAAAGCCAAAATTAGTTGACAGAAGTCTCATCCAACCTAGTGTGAGTCCTTTTTCTAGTCCCATTATTTTGGTTAAGAAAAAAGATGGTAGTTGACAATTTTGTGTGGATTACTGAGGTCTAAATAAGGTTACTGTTCTTGATAAATTTTTTATCCCAATTATTGGTAAATTACTTGATGAGTTAGCGGGAGCTGCCATATTTTTTAAATTATACCTTAAATCCAGCTATTGCCAGGTAAGGATGAAGGAGGAAGACATTGAGAAAACAACTTTAAGAACCAATGAAGGCCATTATGAATAGCTCCTAATGCCATTTGGTCTTACTAATGCACCACGAACATTTCAAGCCTTAATCAATGCTGTGTTATTATGACCTATTTTGAGGAAGTTTGTGCTGGTCTTCTTTGACGACATACTGATTTTTATTAAGGAGAAGAAAGTCATGTTGATCTTTTACAACAAGATGAAAAAAAATAGTTTTGGGTGCACAGGTGGAATATTTAGGCCATGTTATCTCAACTGATGGAGTGGCTGCTGATTTATAGAAAATTGAAGCGATGGTGGACTGGTCTATTCCCAAAGATGTAAATGGATTAGGAGGTTTTTTGGGACTCACCGGGTATTTGAGAGACCCTGGACTCTCCCCAATCTTACAATGATCGTGTTCCTTCCTATCTTCTTTCCCATCATATTCCCCTTTATATACATTTTCTTACTAACCACCTTTAACTAATTCAGTTAGTTGCGTTTTGATCCCCTACCTCTCTCTTAATCCTTTTAACATACACGTGCTTTATATTAGGTTTGCATCATAAACCTCGTAAATTTGAACTCTTTTCTATCCTAAAGCTATCTATTGCCACATTGCAGTAGTCTTATTAAGATGACTGAGGAACCTACACAAGTTTCTCTTGATCTCCTACTCCATCCTCTTTGGCATGAACTGTTTCTCCAATCCTTGGCAGGTTTAGTCGGATCTTGACAATTAAGACTCAAAAGAGTCTTTAATATTACTAGGGACATTATAGATATTGAATTGTATGTATGATAATTTACTTTTACTTGTGGTTTTTGTTGAATCAGCATGCCCATAATCCAAAATATCTTGCTTAATTGCTATTGTCTATAATTGGTTATTTGGTACATTACTGTTTTAAACTTCTTTCTTGCAGGCATATATCAAAATTGCCCAGGCTATATCATCTCGTGCTGTAAGTTCTGGTTTATCTTTCATATTAAATCAGATCATCATGTTCTTCTGTTTGTTTCTGTTCTTTATGATCCTTCTCTATGGCTTTCCTGTTATCACATGTCAATTGGCATCTTGAAAAGAGTTTAGTAAAGGCATTTGCATTTTGGCAATAAAGCTTAGTTTGCTCTTCTATGCTCATTATACTGGTTAAGAATACATATAAGTGGAATTCAAGATTTCTTCATTTTTATGGCTGTCAAAAACTGTTAGACCAGAAAATATAGAAGAAAGCTGGAGAGAACAGTTGCTGGATAAAGGCCCAGTTAAGCCCAAAATATGGTAAGTGTATTCTAAAAAAAGAAGGGACCAACTGTAGAAAGGGCCTAGCAAGTAGTTAGGAAGGTGGTCTAAGTTTTGTTAGTTAGAAAGTATAAAAGGGGAAGGGAATAATAGAGAAAGGGTTCTGTAATGTATTCTTGAAGTGGAGATTTAATCTTTGGAAAGGAGCTGTGAGCTCTGGAATTGTTTGTAAATTCTGAAACTTACTTGATTGAATAATAATGATTTAGCCTCATCCTTTCGTTCTTGTCTTTCCGATCGGAAAAATAGTAAAAAAAAGGTTCAATCATCGGAAAATGTGCAGTTCACTCGAAAGTTCGCCGGAGATGGAGAAGATGACTGGAAAGTGTTTGGGTGATGTTGGAAGCTTCACTGACCTTGAACAAGACGACAAGAGATGAAGAAAATGACTCAAAATAATCTAGGTCACATTAGAGGCTTCACCGGAGATAATGAAGATGACTGGAAAACCTCCCTTTCATGTTAGAAGCCTTGCTGGAGATGAAGGCCACACTCCGGCGGTGGAAACAGAGAGAAAAGAGATGAAATGAAAGGAGAAATGAGAGGAGAGCTGAGGAGAGAGTTGAAAGGTGAGTTGAGGGGCTAGGGTTTGCGAGAGGGAGGGAGAAGATTCAGAAAATAGAGGGGGGCCGAAATCCCAATATTGCCGCCCTTAAAAGCCCCCAAAGTTAAAAAAAAACAAAGGGTAGATTTGGAATTTTTAGTGAGAGCAGCATAGCGGCCACTACAGCCGAGACTTCTACAATTTTCGGCCACTATTCGCGGCGCAAAAGCCATGACACTGAACTACGACGCTACAGGATTGCCATAGAGGAACTGCGCCGCTCTGCTGCGATAGCAGCTGCTATGGCCGCTATTGATAACTATGATCTCACTACTAAGGAGGACTCCATGAATGCTGTTGAACAACCTAAATGGAGTAAAATTGATGCTCAGCTCTATAGTGTCATCAAATCCACCGTTTGGTCTGTTCATCCTTCTTTGAAGCAAATTTTTTGCCCTCATAAGACTTGTGAGTTTGTTGGGTCACAGGCTAAAGACTTGTATACAATGACACTTAGCGCCTTTACGGGCTTCGTCAAAATCTCATGCATGTTTTTGCTCCTCAACAATTTTGATGGCTCCATGACTGAATATTTGGGTTGAGTGAACAGCATTCTCTATGACTTGAATAAAGTCTTGCCTCTTGCTACCTCAATAAGTAAGGACTGTGAAAATTGTCAATAACTTGTTATGCAACTTGACTTGTATGGTTTGCCTGCAGAGTATTCTGTTATTCGTGATCAAATTTTGGGGTTGCCTACTGTACTCACTATGGATTCTACATGGTTCACCTTGTTACGGGTACTAGCTAAACCCCCATCTACTTTTATGGATGTATCTCCTCCCTCTACTTTGCCAGACTCCTATGCCTTAGTCTTACAAAGTAATGATCATGCCCGTTCTTGCAAACTAGACAAGTCTTGTTCTCATTTACGTGTGACCATTGTTACAGGAGGGCCACACAATTGATCGTTTTGCCTTACATGGTCGCCCTCCAAGAGTAGCAAATGTTGTCCAATCCACACCTTCTGACTCTACACCTTCAACCATATCACCACCACCTGCTCCTTCACCTCTTTGATGGTTTGAGGAGCGTTAGGCCTTTGGTCCCACTACCTCTGTTGTGCACATGGGTAACTCTTTTGTTGATGTCTCTCACTCTTCCTTCATTGGCCCATAGGTCCTTGATTCTAGGGCCACACTGACCACATCACTAGTAATAAATCCCTTTCTTCCACTATTTCTATATTTGATTACTTACCTTTTGTCACAATGGTTAATGGGCCCCAAACACAATCTCAGGGTATCGGTATTGTTTACCATTTTCTCTCTCTTTTTGATCACATTCTATATGTTCTAGGATCCCTTTTTAACACACTATCCATTAATTGTCTCACTCGTTCCCTTGATTGTATTATCTCTTTCACTAAAGATTATGTTTTTCTGCGGGACTGGAGTTCGAAGAGGATGATTGACACTAGATGTGAGTCTCATGGCCTTTACCAGTTAAATACTTTTGCTCATGCTGGTTTGGTGGTTGATTCACTTCTCTCATTCATGCTCAGTTAGGACATCTCATTTTAACCAAGTTACAACAATTAGTACCTAGTCTTTCCAAGTTAATTACTTTGTCCTATGAGTCATGTCAATTAAGAAAACATATTCATAGTTTTACTAGTCGTGTCAATTATCATTCAACTTCTCCCTTTTCTTTAGTTCAGACTAATGTGTGGGGTCCAAGTCGTATTGTATCTACTTTAAGATCAAAATATTTGTTACCTTTTTTGATGATTACTCTAGATGTACTTGGTTATTCTTATTGAAAGATTATTTTGAGTTATTTTCTATTTTTACAACTTTCTTTTTCGAAATTAAAACTCAATTTGGTGTTCCAATTCATAGTGTGCAAAGTGATAATGCTTGAGTACTTATCCAGTCAATTTCAAAATTTTATGGCTACACATGGTATTCTCCATTAGACCTCTTGTGCTCATACTCCACATAAAATTGGAGTTGCTTAACTGAAAAATATACATCTTATTGAAACTGCTCGTACTCTATTATGTCATAGTCAGGTTCCTCATCATTTTTGGGGTGATGCTGTTCTTGCTATTTTTACTGAGTGTTACTTTATTAGTAGAATACCATCCTCGGTTCTTCAAAACCAAGTTCCTCACTCTATCTTATACCCTCACCAGACCCTTCACCTTTTACCCCGTCGAGTTTGAGTCAACCTTGTTTGTTCATGACCGTAGTCTCGGCCTTGATAAACTCTCACCACGCTCTCACAAATGTGTTTTTCTAGGTTACACTAGGTCTTAGAAAGGTTATAAGTGTTACTTTCCTGCTCTTCATCACTATTTAGTTTCAAATGATCACTTTTTTTGAGTGTGCTTCTTTCTTTACACCCAACACTCCTACTTCTGTCTTTGAGTCTACTTTTTCCACTCCTTTAGCTTCTGTTCCTTTCCACTATCTTCCATTAGAACTATCTCACACTTCCGTAGAACCAACTCCTTCATGTCCTCTGTAGGTGTATCATTGTCGCTAGCCCATCTCTGTACCACTTGTGTATGTTGGTCCTACCATCGATTCGCTTTCGGTGCCACTCACCCTATCTCCTCCACGCTTGCCTTCTGTTCCCATTACTCTTCGCAAAAATATACGCTCTACCTGTAATCCCTCTCATTGTTTCTTTGACACCATCGTTTGTCCTCTTCCCATTATATTTTTTTTTCTTTGATGGGCCTTGATAGTAATAATAAAAGGTTTGGAAGGGTATATGCGAGAAAGAGAAATAGGGTGGGACCCGGGAATCACTTCTTCGTTATGCAGTAAATTTATGCGTATTTGCGCTAACGTCGGGAGAGAGAAAATAAATCAGGATATATTGTGGGGTAACAAGAGTGAGAGGAGGGAGAGTATTGTGGGAAGTAATTCCATTTGGGAGGCCCTGAGCACCTCGAATAGCTCAAGATAGTTTACTGTGCATTCTTCTTTTCTGCTGTATTTGCCGAGAAAGAGAAATAGGATGGGACCCGGGAATCACTCCTTTGTTTTGCAGTAAATTTATGCATATGTGGGCTAACTGTCAAGAGAGAGAAAATAAATCTAGATATATTGTGGGGTAACGAGAGTGAGAGGAGGGAGAGTATTGTGGGAAGTAATTCCATTTGGGAGGCCCTGAGCACCTCAAATAGCTCAAGATAGTTTACTGTCCATTCTTCTTTTCTACTGTATTTGCGGTGAATCATACTGATTCATCTTTATTTTGTTCAATACTACATATTTCAGTACACTACGTCGTTGTACTTATTTCTTCTGTTATATCAAATTGATTCTTATCAGGCTTGGACAAAAAGGGCCTCCACTGAAGACATATCAGCGGAGGAAGGGCAAAATAGGGAATGCTAGAATGAAAACGGTTAAGCAGGGCCTTAACAAACTGCATACGTGTCAAGAAAAGAGAGAGGAGAAAGATATGGGAATCTAGCCTGGGAATGGATATTGGAGGAGCTAAAAGGAGGAGAGGGGGAAGGAGGATTTTGTTAGGGTCCAAAATCTATACTCAGGTAATTGAAGAAAAAGAAAAGGATATTTTATTGATTATGATAGGAATCAGGATTACAAGAATCCCCCAGAGCCAAAGCTCCTCTCAGAGAATGTTATTCTCCTCTCCTAAGTCTAGCCGAAAAAACTCCCCTCCATTCCTCAAACTAACATTTAAATAAAGAACAATAAAACAAATCTAATTTGATAACAGAATATCCTAACTGACTTATTCAAATTCAAAACTTAATCTAATACCAGAATATCCTAACTGACTGATTCAAATTCAAAACAACATTCTAATAACAGAATAATAATAAAACAGAATAATAACAGACTTCCTAATTATTGATTATTGGCTTTCTTCCTACGAGAGTAAACCCGTCACATAGTGGGCCTTGTAGGGCTTGTATTCCAAAGGCCTTCATTGCTGTTTTGGGTCCCATCAGATTTTTGGGGGTAATCAGGGTGGCGGCTGTCACATGATAGGATCATCATTTGTGTTGATTGCTTGCTATTGTTTTCTTTTCGCTACTTGTACTCAGGGATCATTCCTGTAATTTGCTTAATTCTAATAACAAGAGGAAGTTCTATCAGTCTTCCTTGTCCTCTCTTTCTATTCCTCAGTCTATAGGTGATACTCTCTCACATCCCAGTTGGAAACAAGCAATGATTGATGACATGTGTGCTCTTCAAAATATTGATACTTGGGACCTAGTTTCTTTTCCTCCGGGGAAGTCTGTTGTTGGTTACAGGTGGATCTATACCCTCAAGGTTGGTCTTGATGGTAAAATTGATCACCTTAAGACTAGTTTGAACCTATACTGTATGTTTTATGTCAATAATTCCTACTATAAATATATGTTTTGCTGCGTAGTTAACACATGGATTCATCCTATGTTTCTTGTTCTTTTTTCTCAACAAAATCCTAACAAAAACTAAATACAACATAGCCATCGTTAAGGAAGCCACATTTTTTAGTTAGGTATATTATCAATTTTCCCTTGAGAATTAAGACACATTCAGAAAGGGGTAACAGGAAAAAAAAGGTGAAAATTAATTGAACATTTATACTGCTGTATTTCTAAATGTTTGGATTGATGGTTGGGCATATGATTCGAGCTGGTGTCCTGTTCAGTCAATTATTTGAAGATTGTATTCAAATATTTTGTTCCCATTTGTGTTTTAGCGTTCATTTGCAGTTTCTGGCCTATGCATGGGGCAGGAATACCAGAATGTGCTATAAGTTGAAATGTAACTTGATGCTCATTTTCTGATAAGATTATATGAACCTTAATTTACAGTGACTGTAATTAAAATATGCAATTTCAAATAAATTTTCCTTGTAGGATTTGATACCACCATCATACCTAGATGAGCTTTCACTACTACAAGATCGAATAAGTCCATTTTCCACTGAAGTTGCTTTCAATATGATAGAACAAGAACTGGGTTTATCTTTGGTTGAACTTTTCTCAGAGATTTCACCCGAGCCTGTTGCTGCTGCATCCCTTGGGCAGGTTCATATATTTTGTCATTTTGGTGTATTTTTCTTGTTAATGATAGCAGAGTCTTTGAGAGGACATGTAATTTCTTAATTTTAGATTTTAATACCTTAAAATTGAAACTTTTGTCTCTGAAGAATAGGTTTATCAAGCTAGGCTTCGCAAAACAGGACAGATTGTTGCCGTTAAGGTGCAAAGACCTGGAGTTCAAGCCGCAATTTCCCTTGACATATTAATCTTGCGTTTTATGGCAGGATTGATTAGGAGAGCTGGCAAACTTAATACTGATCTTCAGGTGATGTTGTAGTCGGTGACTAAGATTGAATTTACGCAACATAAAATTTTGGTTTATTTGCTCTTTTGGTCCCCCTACATGCATGTTTGTTTGATTTTAGTCCCGTACTTCCCAATTGTGCACTTTTAGTCTCCCTTTTTTAAATTATAATCACTCCATTAAGTTATCATCTAATTGTTAACATTGTTTGGTGATGTGTATTATGATGAATCTGTTTAATTGCACTTTTGGTCTCCCAACTTTTGTGTTTGTTAGATTTTGGTCACCGTTTTTTGCAAAGCGTAGATACTCGATTCAAAACTTGAGCTTCAAGAAGAGGATGAAACCGTTGAAGACTTTGACGGTGACTGCAAAATCGTGGAGCTAGGGCTGGAGCACATACACTTCTGCAAAAATCTAAAAACTGTACATTCTGTACTAATGATTCCTATTATGAATACATGCTCCACTGTGTAGTTTAGACGTGGATTTATCCAATGTTTCTCGTTCTTCTTGTTTCTCAACATGATATCAAAAGCCTAACATGGGATAACCCTAATCCATGATTATCTAGCGGGCCCATTGCTTGTTGGTACAAGTGTTTTTTTCTCTTTTCTGAAAATTGTGTTCTTTGATCAGATTTTAGATTTTCCCTATTCTGACGACTGTTCCGACAACTTTTCCAAGAAACACCTTTGGATTGGGTGTGCCGTCCCCAGTTCGGCCCATCCATAAATCTCATTCTCACGCATGTCTTCTCTCTTTGGTTTTCTCTCTCCTCTCTGCACCACTGCCAGTGCGTGGAAGTGCCTCTGGCACTGTTTTCAGCCGCTGCTTGTTCTGTCAAAGTCATTGTGCTTTGGTCTACCTCGATTTGTCCTTTTTTGTTTGATCTAGGTTGCATGTCACTCGTTTTTTGCATTCTTTGCACTGTTTGGCACTGTTTATGCTATCCCATGGTTGCCCCTACCCTTTCGAATGCAGACACTCCCACTATCTTTAGAAAAGTTGGACGAGAGTGATTATGGCATATGGGCTTCTGATGTCAAATATTGGATTAAAGGTCAAAGTTGTGTTGATCATCTTACTACTAAGGAGGACTCCATTGATGTAACTGAAAAATCTATATGGAGTAAAATTGATGCCTAGCTTTGTTGCCTCTACAGGGTTTGTCAAAATCTCATGAAAGTTTTTGCTCCACAACGATTTGATAGATCTATGACTGAATATTTGGGTCAAGTGACCAGCATTTTTCATGACTTGAATGAAGCCTGTCTTTTGCTACTGCAACATGTGAGGACCTTGAAAATCATCAAAAACTTATTATGTTACTTGCCTTGTATGGTTTTCCTGTAGAGTATTCTGTTATTTGTGATCAAATTTTGGGTTTTTCTACTATGCCTACTCCAGAGTCTACATGATTCACATTGCTACAGGTGACTCTCCTACTTCTACTTTGTTAGACTCCTTTGCCTCAGTCTCTCAAAGTAATGACTGTGCCCATTCTCCCAAATTAGGCAAATCGTTCTCACTTTTAGTGTGATCATTGTCACAAGGAGCGGCACACCATTAAGGCTAGTGAACTTACACTTGGTGGCAAGCTAGATCAACAAACTAGACCATTGCAATTTTCTTCCTCTACGTTTAAGGAAAAAGGAAGGAAATTGTACAACAAGAAGAAGAATATGCTAATCTTGGACATGACAAATCTTGGACATGACAGGAGGAGGAAGACATTTATTAAAGTAATGATGAAAGTGAAAGACAAGACAAATCTTGGACATGAAGATGATGATACCTGTTAAAAAATTTATATTTTAATATTTAGTGATTGTAAATTTCCAAACATTAGAGACTTAGCTTGTGTAGCTTGTGTGGTTCCTTTTTGTTGTCATTGACATTTGACATGTGTTATGTTATATTCTCACACTTTTACGTTTTATAATTAATTATGCATGTCTTTAATTTGGGTATTAATTTTATTTCTCAGCATATACATATACATATACATATACACATATATATATATATATATATGTGTGTGTGTGTGTGTGGGTGTGTGTGTAACATAATTTATAGTTGGTGTTTTAAATCTTTAGAATAGTGGTCATCCCATAATCCTGCTATAGTGTTTTCGGGGTTGGCCGCTCCATGCTATTATTTGGGATTAACTACTATGACTAATGGGTTCCAAACACAGTGTCAAGATGTTCGTAATATCCACCCTCTTTCCTCCCTCTCCATTGCTCATGTTCTCTGTGTTCTTGGAAGAGAAAGAAGTTGCTTCAATACACATCAGCAAACATCGTTAACAATTAGATGATAACTTAACCTGAGTGATCCTAATTAAAAATGGGGTACTAAAATCGAGTAATTGAAAATTGGGAGACTAAAATTGAACAAATATGTAAGTAGAGGGACCAAATGAGCAATTAAGCCTAAAATTTTGAAGTATATTAATGCCAAAATGGTTACATTTCTATTAATAATGCCTCTTAACTTCTAGACTGGTTGATATGGAATTATTTTACTTTCTATGAAGTCATAGTAGCATGGGAGGTAGCACGTATTGCCTATATCATAAATGTTCAGTACTATATCCTTCAATCTTGTATCTATCTGCATGTGTGTGCATGTGCATGTTATATTTTGAAGTTCTATATGCATCAGTTTGTTGAACATGGCCTTGTAAACATGCAGGCAGTTGTTGATGAGTGGGCATCAAGTCTTTTCCGGGTATGCATTGGTATTCTTGTGTTCTCATTTCTCACTAGAACTATGTTCTATAGTATGTGTGATTGCATATTGCAATAATATGCTATGTGTTGAGCATGGCCTTGTCATTGAATTTCCTGTATTTTTTACTAAACTATGTTTGAGAGTATGCATGATTACATGATGCAAATAGAAAAACTCAAAAAGAATTAGTCAAGAGCAAGGATACAAAAAAGTCTGAAAAGTAAATGCTAACATTGGATTGCTGTGTATGAGTCATGAAAAAATTGTTGTGTTGCTTTACATGCATGTATGGATTATCAACAAAAGGTATAAGGGTTTCAAAGTCAGCAATATCAAGCTTACCTAGGTAGGTCTCTATGTCCATAGTGTCATTCTTAAATTAACCTAGGTAGGTTTTCGTGTCCACAGTATCATTCTTTAAATTAATAGAGTTGGAAACATTAGTGTAGAGATGATTAACATTGATGGAGTACACCTTTTTGCTTTGTTCCAAACATCATAATAGGTTTTAGAGGCATGATATTAGACCTACAACTTTATATCATGAGAATACTACATAATAAGGTGTTAATTTGTTGATTGTTTATGAACCATACTTAATTCACCCTCAAAAGTTAGCTCAAGAGAGGAGGATCATTCTAACTTTATAAGCAGTATTCTAACTAAATTCCTACTTGATGTGGGATATCTTAACACGTCTCTCTCCCACAGAGTTGGACATGTAGTCCATAAAGTTTGCAGGATTGAACATTTATGGGGTGATTCAACAATCAACATTAAGATTGGATAGGCTCCAATATCATTTTGCATTTGGGCATGGCCTAACTTAACCTCAAAAGTTAGCTCTAGAGAAGAGTATTGTCCAGCCTTGTAAGGATATCTTGACCATATTTCAAGCCTCTGTGGGGCATGTTTATACATTCCCCTCATGCACAAGATTAGACATTTGTGGGTGGCCTAACCTAACATTAAGAATGAATAGGCTTTGGTATCAAATTAAAAATGGACCGAACGTAACTCACCTCCAAAAGCCAGCTCAAAAGGAGAGAATTATCCAAGCCATATAAGAAGTATTTTGGCCATATTCCTAGCTGATGTGGGATATCTTCACAGTTTCCTATGAGCTTGGTCCTTGGTCAGCATATCCTTGAGCTATTCAATGAAATGGTTGAAATGGCCTTGTCCTTCAAACCACAACTGGACAGCAACAACCTGGGAGGCATTAATAGCAGACTAGTGAGTTTGTCAAACAGAATGAGAGAAACATTAGTGAAACGAATAGCAATAAGCCAACAATGAAGAGAGTACCGGAAAAGGAAGAGTAGGCCAGTTAATGTTAAGGCCCAACCTAGAGAAACAATCAGTTAGCTCAAAATAAGGAGGCAGTTACAAGGGATGGTTGTTATAAAGGTTAGAGTTAGGAGAGTTGCTAGGGTCTCTCAAATATTTCTGGCATTGTATGATAAAGAACTGTACTTACATTGGGTACAAAACTGTGTTCATTCTTAGGAATACAATGCAATCTTTCTTTCTCTTTCCTTGCTGTACCAGTTCTAACAGAAACCGATAGTGGCATTAGTGGAATTGGAGGTGGAGCAGCTGGAAGACTTGCTTGATAAGGTCACTGGAGGTCTAGATAAGGTTGTTAGGAAGTGGGAGGTCCACTGGCAGGGTTGGCAGTGAGCTATGAAGCCTAAATACTTAGTACGGCATGGATACGATACAGATACAGGGGTATGGGAAAATTTCGAATTAAATATACGATACAGCTTAGATACGTTAATATGAATTTAAAGAAATAAGTCAAATAACATACTTTATACATATACAAAATATTTATAAAGAGATATAGATAATTAATTTATATTAATGTTACATTTGCATATCAGTGATCACATTTTACAAAAAAATATATGTGATCATATCTTTCCCTTGTCTAAGTAACTAAATCAAAATATTTCTCCTACTATGAACATATAAAATAATTACATACTTTATCCCATGTTCATGTTAGAATTCCACAAAAGAATTGGTAGTTCTATCCAAAAGAAATATAGAACTATAAAAAAAGAAGTTCCTGCCTTTATACTATTTAATTCTAACATTCTCACACTCATTTCGTCCATCCCTATTGTATACAAAAAAATTCAGCCAATTGAAGAAATCCAACGCCATTATCAAGTGGATCATGTTCATCTCCACTAATATCCCACATCCTTGTCTCTCCTTTAGTATACTTTTCTTCTTTCTTCGACAAAAGACAAAGGTTGGAATGCACATAAACCAAATCCTCAGCCCTTTCTGGATCCATTTTGTTTCTCTTCAAAGAATGAATGAACGAGTATGTACTCCAATACCTCTCACAACAAGATGAGGAACAAGGATGTACAAGAAGCTTTAAGACAAGCTTTTGAAGTAAAGGGATAGAAGATCCATGCATTATCCACCAAGGTTTTGGGTCCAATGTCCACCTATCTTCAACTGAATCAAAGGAAGCAAAGTCACCTGCACAAGATGAGAATTCGAGAATTCAACAAAAACATTTTTTCTTTCCTCAGCATTAGGAAAATATCTCTTCAAACATTTGTTCCAGAGAAAAGGAACAAAGTGCAGAACTGTTGCTACAATGAAACCCTAGCGGTGGCGAAGACAACGCTTGAGGTTGCTTGCCAACGTTGCTTTGACTATCGTCGAATATACCCACTATCGCCGTCAAAACAAAAATCTTGTCACCCACTATCGCTCTAGAATTGAAGAATCGATGCCTTAGGAACTTGCTTGACCAGAATCGATGCCTCAAAGCAACCTTTCTGAATCACCTTGCTTCTTCAATAGTTCTCCTTCCGATGTATATATCTCATTTCCCCAAGAGAATCGCAGCTCGAAGAAGCCCTAGCTGGTTTTTTATTTTGGGTGAGGTTCTGGTTGGGGAGTTCCTCACTCACGAACAATGAGGGAAATGCGGGAAATGGGAGAAAGATTGAAACTCCCTGTTTCAATAATAATTTGACTCAAGTAGTTATTGTTTCGAGCTGAGCTGTATCGGATGATTAAGAGCTGTATCCCAGCCGTATCGGGTTGGAAATTATTTTTTAAAAATAAATTAAATTATGGATACTTTTACGATACGTATCTAGACGTATTAGACACGTATCGGTATCGGATACGTGTTCGACACGGGTACTTTGGCTGTTTTAACGTATCTGGACTTCATGGGGGTGAGATTTGGTGGCTGGAAAAGTGTGCACACATCGAACAAAGAGGGGTGCTTGGGATAGATGCATCGGGAAAGATGGCACATGTGCAATCTGGGGTGGCAGCAATGACAGTTGACTCATCGATGGTGTTTGCTTTATATTGTGGCAGCACAATTTTTAAAGGAGCAGTGGGGAGGCTGCACGGTTACTTTTCACCAAGGCTAGGGCAAATAGAAGCGGAAGAATAGGGACAGCAGAGAAGGATCTTAGCCTAGACCATAGTAGTCAATCCCAAATAGTGACGAAAAGCAGCCAACCATAAAAATGCTTTAACAAGGTAGCGGGCTATTTTGAAGCTTTAACATACATTATATTTACACATACACAGATATATTTAAATTAAAAGATACTACCTAAATTAAAGACATTCGTATTTAATGATCAAAGATTAATGTTTGGGAACAAAGAAGGGCAGAACAGAGAAGAAAACATGGCTTGAGCAGATTTGGAAAACAAAGCAAAGGTGAGTCTTACTGGAAAATGGGCCAAATAATGGTGGGTCTCACTGCAAACTTCCTTAGCACATTGGTACATGATCCAAACTGTGGTGGGTCTCACAAGAAACTGCCTGAACACACTGGAAAATGACCCAAATAGTGGTGGGTCTCACTGGAAAGTGTTTTGAGCTTGAGGTTGGTATCGCTGGAGATGCTGGGCAAGACCAAAATCTCAACAGAGATGCAAGAACTCGCCGGATTCTACCTAGAAATTAAGGTTGACTGCTTAAAATCTTGCCAGACAGTGGAGGTCTTGTCAAAGTCAGTGGCTGCTTGGTAGGTTGGGTGTGTGCAAAAGAAGACCCTGGGGTAAACTGAACTATGATTATGTAAAAAGGGGGGAGAAATTCCAAGATTGTCCCCCTAAAACGTTCAAACAACTTTAAAACAAAGGAAAAATGGTTTTCTGCCTGCGGGCAGAATAGTGGCTGTGATGCTACAAGGTCACCAGGAGCAGCTCCGCGATGCCGCTATTTGGTGCTAAGGCATGCAATTGACTACTCTGGCCTAAACTACTATTACTGTATTAGGTTTTGGTAGCTGTATGTCTAATGCAGACCACATACTATTGTATTTATATTTGCATGAATAGGGTACAGTTGTAAATGCTAATTACAATTGTAATTACACCCTAATATGCATGTGCTGAAAACTAATTTAGACATGAGCTGCATGTGTTAAACATGTTGTATCAAACAGTATGATTAAAACTGTTTAATGTTCTGTAAGAGAAAAAGATCTCAACCTATTTATGTCATATAAAGTGTTCCAAAATTAAAATTCTTAGAAATTTAAATTGAATACAGGTAAATCACCTTGAATGCAGGAGATGGACTACAATAATGAAGCAAACAATGGTATCAAGTTCAGGTAGGTGAATTTTATCAAGATTTTAAAACATGATTCACTCTGCAACTCCAAGGTCAAAATTGTATCATGCATGGTATGAAAGCATGTGAATAATATGGTCTTGTTCTTGTCATAATTATCGATGTTAGAACATAAGCAAAACAAGTTTTAGTACTCTGTGACTGACAGTCATCCCTGCACATTGCAAGTTGGCATGGTGGCAAGCACTTGAGTATTTGAACTACAGCAAATCAGAAAATAATGGGTTTGGACTTTGGTGTCAAAAGTTGAAACTTCTTTTTGTAGTTTACGTTAAGGATTCAGGAGAAGAAATGAATAAATAATTGTGGAATATGCTTATTTTCTGTAGTTCAATCCAGGGATATATGGTTTATAATCAAATAGAGCACTTATCATAACCACATAAGAACCCTTTCCTAGGGATGAAAACTTGATGTATGTTTTGTGCCTTTGTTTAGTGGTAAATTGTGTCCATAACTAATGTGTTATGATGGCTTTGTTATTGGTTATGTATAAGCAGGAATTTATATGGTTCAATACCAGATGTGGTGGTTCCTTTAATGTACATGAAGTACACAACTCGCAAGGTCCTTGTTATGGAATGGATTGAGGTATTCTACTGTTTATTGTTTGATCACTACATTTTAGCAAGAATAGTTCAGTTCCTGTATAGGTTAAGTACCAGATATTCTTTATAATGATTTGGACAAGAATACTTGATATTTAACCTAGAAAAACTATTAAATATCATCAGGAATTAATCTTCCTAAATTATGCCCTGTGCCTTTTTTGAGATTTGGATCCTAAAGTGTCTCTCCCTTGAAAATAAGTTAAGGCATGTAGGGCAATTTTGTCTTGCACATTCTCTTTCGGTTACCTGCTGAATAAATTGAGACTTCTGCTATTGTATTATCTTACTATGGATTTTGTAGGGGGAAAAGTTGTCTGAAGTGAAGGATCTCTACCTGATTGAGGTAATTTTTTAAACTAGTTGCAAATGTTTTATTCTAAATTTTTAATATTACAATTCTTAAATTTTGCAAACATGATGCTAAGTATAGTTGTATTTTCGGATGCTGATTAGGTTGGAGTTTACTGCTCATTCAATCAACTTCTTGAGTGTGGGTTCTATCATGCAGATCCGCACCCTGGAAATCTTCTTCGAACATATGATGGAAAATTAGCTTATTTGGGTAATTGAAGATAAAAAATTTGAGATTTAAATTTCCAAATCATTTTTGTTCTCATATGCATATAATATCTCATTCCTTCTTATCTCATTCCAAATCACTAAAATGACTTTTGTACGCTTGATCTTATCCATGGCTACCATCCACCACTAGATCCTTCATCAACTTGACATCAAGAATGCATTCCTTCACATTGACCTTGCTGAGGAAGTTTATAGAGAGCAACCTCCTGGTTTGTTGCTCAGCAGGAGTCTTCAGGATTAGTTTGTTGTCTTCAGAAATCCTTGTATGGTCTTAAACAGTCTCAAAGAGCTTGGTTTAGTAGATTCAGCATTGTTGTCCAAATGAATTTTGTCGTCTTTCGAAATTCTTATATGGTCTTAAACAAATGAATTTTCACAAATTTTTGTAGGCTACACACTACTCTTTCTCCTGATTTGCTTATCATGTGTTTCACTAGTTTAGAAAGAATTGAACACCTGATCTTACCCATTAAGGTGACTTTTTTATGGAGCAATTATTTGGGATTTTTGGTGAACATTGGGTATATTTGGACTTTGGACTTTGGAGGACCAATTACTTGGACAAGGCTTTGGCAAGGAGGCAAAATTTTTGTTGCAAATTGCCTAATTTAAATTTATGCAGTCATTTGGTGTATGTTTGGAGCAGAATGCTCACATTTTTCAGGTTGTTTCTCTTACCCTCTAACTTGTTGTGGATTAAGATTTTGTCTATATGACCCCACGAAGATTTTGTGAAGATGGAAGCTAGTTGATCCTTTGAAGGGACAGAAATAGTCTTGATGACCAGAGAATCATTCCTATGATGAAAGAGCAACCAACTTCTATATTCTTAGTCCTTGCATGAAAAACTGAATTTGAGAAAAGGTGCAAGGTTGATTGATCGTCACACACTAGTCATTAGTGTTAATCCTATTAATAATATCTGTCCTGACAAAAGATTTGACCTTACGGGATGGATCTTTGCACCTCCATATGGATTGGTCCAATATAAACTGTTCAGAGAAGAGCGAATGAGAGTCACAGACAGTGAAATCAGTGCATCTAAACTGCATAGTGGAGCTGAACTATATAAGCAATAAATAATAAATACCTATATTAGTTATCCTAATTTCCATAATTTTGGCCAATATGGCAAGTTTGTTCTATTTTAGTGTTTACTGTTATGTATACTGATGGACTTCAGAAGATATATTTGTGTATACTGTATAGACACAAATAGGATGTTATCTTTCAATTTCTTTTCTCTTGTACCAGATTTTGGTATGACAGGTGAATTCAAACAAGAGTTGCGGGATGGATTCATCCAAGCTTGTCTACATCTTGTAAATCGTGATTTTGATGCCTTAGCTAAGGACTTTGTTACTCTTGGGTATTTATATTTATTTATGTTCCATTTCAGTTATTAAAGCAAGACTATCCCAATTTATATAAGATTCCACTGTTTGTAAATTCTTTCAGGCTTCTTCCACCAACTGCAGACAGAGAAGCTGTTACAAAGGCTTTGACAGGTTTTTACTTTATTGTGTTTAGTTGAATTTTAAATACTTGTGACCATACGCTGGTGGTAACGTTCCTCCTTTCTAGAGATTGTATTTGGTAATTCTGTCACTATTGGTGCTTTATTTATAGGTGTCTTCCAAAATGCTGTTGCCAAAGGAGTTCGTAATATAAGCTTTGGAGATCTTCTAGGAAACTTAGGAACAACCATGTAAGCTCGATGCTGATGCATTAAATATTTAACTGTAGAATCTACATTATATTTGAAGATTCTTTTCATCTGGCTCTGATAAGAAAATAAGAAGGGCATACGAAATATAATCTGGAAGGTCTTTATTTTATCCTACCAAGCCTAATCTCTTTGCTTATCAGACAAGGAAACTTTGGAAAATGCTGTGTGCAGAACACCAACGTCACTGCTGATTTATTGTATTCATATATTCACACTGGATCGCATGCTATATTTAATTAAAAGGAAGGGAAGAGAATATATAGTGAAATAAACAAAAAGAATAAAAGAGAATATTATAATTCTCTTGACTTAAATTTTGCAATTTTAGTGAGAGGAGGTGGTATGGTTTAGGGTTTAGGAAGAGTACCCCACACTTGCATATTTGCAAGAGGGCCCCAAAAAGTATGAGACGAGAGAGAAATGATATGCACATCTTGTTGTGTGGGAAATGAACATATGTACTCTGTCCTAAAATCCCGCAACCCGGTTAGCGACCCGACTTCATAAAATTCGATGGATACCCTGAAATTCCAAAAGACCAAATCTGAACTTCCTTGCTCCTCTGCTCTATGACTCCTTTCCACTACACAAAAGCCAGTTTTTCTTTTCTCTAGCGACTGGGTTAGGCTTCGGCGATTGCAATTTGCTTTCTGATTCTGCAATTGGGTTTTGCTCTGCGTTGGGAGGATTTTCTGATTTCTCTGCGATTGGGTTTTGCTTTGTGTTGGGATTTCTGATTTTTCTGCTCTGTTTTTTCTTTTTGATCTTCATCATCTTGGGGCAACTGTGGGTACTGGGTGGGACTATTCTTTGTTCTGTTTGCTGTGTGGGTGGATTTGTTCACTGCTGTTACAGACAAAATGGCTTCAACTACTGGTCGGCTCCTCCTTCCAAGTCATTACCAAAGAATGCACCAGAAAATAAGAGCTATGTAGCATGGCAACATCGGATTGCAAGTGAAGGTACAAGAAGAATTAAATGCAAATATTATCAACAAATGGTAAGCGGAGGTGCTTATTGATTGAAGCATCACTTGGCTCAAACAGCCAAAGATGTTGGAGCATGCAAATTTGTTCCGGATGAGGTCAGAAAGGAAATGTGGAATTTACTTTTAAGTATGTAAGAAAATTTGAATAAAAAATCGAATTTCCTTGCTGGCTGTTCTGCTGACCAAGAGATTGAGAAATCACATTTTGCTTCTTTCTTTTCCAAGAAATTAGATTACTTCCAATTGAAACACACCATAGTCAGAAATGGACCTCCTATCATGAGAGCTTGCATAACCTACATCAAAATATCCAACAGTCTTATCATGACCTTTGTCCTTTTATAAGAGACCTTTTCCTAGAGCACTTTTGATATACTTCAAGATGCGGATCTTGCATCCCAGTGTCCTTCACAAGGAGCATTAAGAACTAACTTACCATATTAATAGCAAAAGAGATATCAGGTCGAGTAAACGTGAGGTAATTTAGTTTACCAACCAATCTTTTATGCTTTTTTGGGTCAGTAAGAGGCTCCTCCTGACTTGGTTGAGGTTTAGAATTAGGATCCATAGGAGTATCCACAGATTTGGCCCCCCCATCAAACCTGTTTCTTCTAATATATCCAATGCTTACTTCCTTTAGGAAATTACAATACCATGTTTGGATTGTGCCACCTCAATTTCCAAGAAATATCGAAGTTTTTCCAAGGTCTTTTGTCTAAAAATAGTGACATAAGTGATTCTTCAATTGTGTAATGCCATGATGATTACTGTCAGTGATAACAATATCGTCCACATACACAACCAAGTAAATGTATCATGTGACTAAGTGGTGATAAAAGACTGAGTATCAGTGTCATTTTGAATCATCCCAAACTGTTGGACAACAATGTTGAATTTACCAAACCAAGCTCTTGAAGACTATTTAAGACCATACAAGGATTTCCAAAGACAACAAACTAATCCTGAAGACTCTCCCTTGAATAACAAAATCAAGAGGTTGCTCTATATAAACTTCCTCAGCAAGGTCGCCATGAAGAATGTGAAGGTGCCAATGGCGAATGGCAGCCATGGACAAGATCAAGCGCACATAAGTCATTTTAGGAAACTAGTATAGTTATTGTCAAGTAGTATAAAAAATATGTAAGAGTAGAGTATGAGTAGTTTTAATAAGGTGTCTATTTTTTCTTTCTTAACAACTCCATTTTGTTGAGGAGTATGAGCACAAGAAGTTTGATGAAGTATGCTATTAGACACCGTGAAATTTTGAAAAGAATGTGACAAGTACCCCTTAGCATTATCACTATGCAAAATGCAAATAGGAAGACCAAATTAAACTTTAATTTCATTAAAAACACTTTGAAAAATAGAAAATAATTCAGAACGATCTTTCATTAAGAATAACCACATACAATGGAAATAATCATCAATAAAAGTAACAAAATACCTAAAACTTAAAGTATAAAAAGTACTACTAGGAACCAAACATCAGAATGAACTATACTGAAAGGAGATGCGGCTAGCTTATTTTCACGACTCGGAAATGAACTATAGACATGTTTTCCTATTTGACTCTACTCACAAGAAAGTGTAGATGCCCAGGAGAGACTTGGCACCAATAGTTGTAGTTTTTGGAGACTCAGATGTCCCAACCTAGCATGCGAAGGAAATCCATTGCCGAACCAGCATGTGTGATGGATTAGAGTTGATAAAGTCCATATGACTCACAGCCTGTGCCATTTTAAGAAATTTGGGCCTAACTCACTTCCAGAAGTTAGTTCATAAGAGGATAACTACTCTTATAAGGAGTATTCTAGCTCTATTCTTTACAAATATGGGACATCTTAACATGTTTAATCTAATTCCGCATTTTAGTTAGCACTTACCATTTGTGTTTTAATCCAAGTCAACAATTCGACGCTCCCCTTTCCGTGTCATTGTTAAAACTCAATTTTAATAACCTTGCTTAAAATATACAATGACTCAGATAAATTCAATCTGTTAGAATCTATTAGAATCTTGTAAATATAGTAACTGTATATCTTGTAAATATAGTAACTGTATATCTTGTAATTATTTACACTTCTCTATAAATTGGAATAACTCCGTTGTGTCCTAAACATAGATTCAATATTTTCTCTCTCAACATGGTATCTAGAGCCTAGAGAGGCAACCCTAATCCATTTTTTTTGCTGGTGGACCCACTATTCACCAGTGTCTTTTTTTTTTTTCCGGCTCCGCCGCCACTATTCCAGCACCGCCACCACTGCCGCCGCCATCCGACCTCTGATCACTACAGAAACCCGCCGTCGTGATCGCCCTTGTCAAATCGGCCGAACCCCGCTGACCGTGCCTTCATCGAAGCCCTCAGCGCCCCCCACGCACCACCTTCTCCTCAAGTGGTTTTCTCACGCGCCGCCTTCTCTCTCCGCGCATTCGGCGTCCTTTCCTGACGCTGTCGACTAGGGTTTGCTCGCCTCTCTCTCCTCTACCTGTATCCGGCCTCGGTTTGCTAATTGGACATTTATTCCCCCTTCTTTTTCCCTTTTTCGTGCTGTTTGGGCATTTTCTCTCTCTTCTCGCTGACCAATGGCTGCCTCTACCACTCCAAAAGTCGATACCTAGATTTTTACCAACCATGTCACTGCACCTCTTTCTTCTGAGCAGTTGGACGGTAAGCACTACTCCTGGGCTTCTCACATTGAACTTTGGCTTGTTGGATAGTTTTATGAGACACATCTCACCCAAACAGCAGATGATGTCCCGGAGGCCGACCGTCTTCTGTGGAAAAAGGTTGACGCCCAGCTATGCTGTATCATCCGAGCCACCATTCATCCATCTCTTCGTGATGTCTTTCTCACTCACAAAACTTGCAAAGCTGTTTGGACACAAGCCCAACAACTCTTTACAAACAATTCTCGACGACTCTACCAAGTTTGTGAAGACCTCATGACTGTCCTTAATGCCCATCAGATTAAGGATTCTATGTCGACCTATCTTGGCTCGGTATCAAGCCTTCTTTGTGAGTTCAACAAATTGCTTCCTCCCACTGCCACTCCAGATGCCGAACTTGACAATCGCAAAAAGTTTTTCATGTCCTTGGCTCTATATGGTCTGCCCCCAGAATATTCTCATGTTCGTGATCAGATCCTGGGAAGCCTCAGAGAATCTGCTATGGACAGTACCTGGGCGACCCTCCTCTGTGTGCCCCCCAAATCCTCCTCTGAGCCTTTACTTCCCATTCCTATTGACTCTTCGGCTTTGGTTTCCCGCAACACCAACCAAGCTCCACAGCGCAAGGGTGGCAAAGGACGTCCTTGGTGTGATCATTGCCACTGCTCGGGACACACAACTGATAAGTGTTGGACTTTACATGGTCAACCTCCTCGCACTACCCAGGTGGCCCAAAGTTTTGTTCTCCTTCATCCACTTCTGCTCCGCCATTGGCTTCGGATCCACATCTATCACCTTCTTATGACGATTTCCTGAAATGGTATGAGGATTGTCAGGCCTCTAGTTCCACTGTTGCTGTTGCACACACTGGTAATTCCTTCAGGCCCTTCGCTCCTTGATTCTGGGGCCACCGATCACATCACTGGTAATAAATTTCTTTTTTCTTCTCTTTCTACTTCTGGTTATTTGCCTTCTATCACCATCGCAAATGGGTCTCAAACTCAGTCCTAAGGTGTTGGTATTGTTCATCCTCTTCCTTCTCTTTCTATTAACAATGTCCTTTATGTCCCCGAGGTCCCTTTAATTTATTGTCCATTAGTCAACTTACTCAGTCTCTTGATTGTGTTATATCTTTTACTAAAAATTATGTTTTCCTGTAGGACCGGATTACGAGGAGGACGATTAGCTCCGGATGTGAGTCTCATGGCTTCTATCAGCTAAACAAGCCCTCCCTTGTTGGTTTGGTAGCAACGTCTCCACTTCTGATACATGCTCGATTAGGACATCCAGGTCTTGATAAGTTAAAGCAGCTATACCTTAGTCTTTCTAAGTCAGAGTCTTTGTCTTGTGAGTCATGTCAATTAGGCAAACATGTTCGTAATTCTTTTTCTAGTCGCATTATGAGTCGGGCTTCATCCCCTTTTGTTTTAGTTCATTCAGATGTTTGGAGTTCAAGTCGTGTTTCCTCTACATTAGGATCTAGGTATTTTGTCATTTTTATAAAAAATCAATTTGGTATCCCTATTCGTACTTACAAAGTGATAATGCACGTGAATATCTGTCTACTCAGTTTCAGACCTTTATGGCATCCCATGGTATGTTACATCAAACATCTTATCCTCATACCCCCAACAGAATGGAGTTGCAGAACGCAAATATAGGCATCTACTTGAGACCACCGGGACTCTTCTTCTCCACTCTCATGTTCCTCATCAGTTTTGGGGTGATGCGGTACTCACTGCATGTTATCTCATTAACCGTCTATCTTCCTCTGTTTTACAAGGTAAAATCCTTTATCAAGTTCTATACTCCCACCACTCTCTTCATCCTTTACCGCCTCGGGTCTTTGGTTCTACATGTTTTACTCATGTTCTTGGTCCTGGCATTGACAAGCTCTCTCCTCGGTCTCATAAGTGTGTTTTTTTTCGGGTACCCACAGTCTCAAAAAGGATACAAGTGTTATTTCCCTACTCTTCGCAGGTATTTCATTTCTGCTGATGTTACTTTCTTCGAGTCCATTCTATTCTTTGAACCTAGAACATCTACACTCGAGTCTTCTCCGTCCACGACTGCCCCTAGTTCAATCCTTTTCCATCGCCTCCACACCCATCTCCTCCACCTTTGTAGGTATATCAGCGTCGTACTCGTCCTGTTTTGGAGCCACCAACCACTGACAACACTATGGACTCACCTTTGGAGCCCTCTTTCACCTCATTTTCCGATCCCGCCCTCTGAATCTAACATTCCCATTGCCATTCGAAAAGGTATACGTTCTACTCGTAATCTTTCTCCTCATTATATTTCTTTAAGTTATCATCGTCTTTCTCATTCCTATTATTCTTGTCTTTCTTCCTTGTCCTCTATTTCTATTCCTAAAAGTGCAGGTGATGCATTTTTCCATCCCGGGTAGAAACAAGCTACGCTAGAGGAGATGTGTGCATTACAGAACAGTGGGACTTGGGACCTCGTTCCTCTACCACTAGGGAAGTCAGTTGTTGATTGTCGGTGGGTGTATACAGTCAAGGTAGGTCCAGACGGCAAGGTTGACCGGCTTAAGGCCCGTCTCGTCGCCAAAGGCTATACTCAAATTTTCGGTTGGATTATGGCGACACCTTCTCTCCCGTGGCCAAATTGCCCTCTGTGCAACTATTCCTATCCATTGCTGCCATACGTCATTGGCCTCTCTATCAGTTGGATATCAAGAATGCTTTCTTACATGGTGATTTGCTCGACGAAGTCTACATGGAGCAACCGCCTTGCTTTGTTGCTCAAGGGGAGTCCTCTGGTCTTGTATGTCGATTGCGAAAATCTTTATATGGCCTCAAGCAGTCACCCAGAGCATAGTTCAGTAGATTCACTACTGTGATTCAACAGTTTGACATGACTTAGAGTGAGGCTGACCATTCTGTCTTCTATCGTCACTCCCCTACCAGTTGCATCTACTTGGTTGTTTATATTGATGACATTGTCATCACAGGTAGTGACCATCAGAGCATCGTACAGGTGAAGCAACATCTCTTCAAACATTTTCAGACAAAGGATCTTGGCAAACTCAAATATTTTTTTGGGAATAGAAGTAGCACGGTCCAAAAATGGGATCATCATTTCTCAAAGGAAGTATGCAATGGATATTTTAGAAGAAACAAGAATGTTAACTTCCAAGCCAGTCGACACTCCCATGGATCCCAATGTCAAGCTCCTGCCAAATCAGGGGGAGCCTCTTCTAGATCCTGAAAGGTACAGACGGTTAGTAGGGAAGCTGAACTACTTCACTGTTACCCGTCCAAATATCTCATTTGCAGTGAGTGTAGTAAGTCAATTCCTCAACTCTCCATATAAGGAACATTGGGATGCAGTGATTCACATTGTTCGATACATCAAAGGAGCTCCAGGAAAAGGTCTTTTCTATGAAGACAAAGGACACACTCGAGTTGTGGGATATTCTGATGCAGATTGGGCAGGATCTCCCGTAGATAGAAGGTCCACCTCTGGATTCTGTATATTTGTCGGAGATAACCTTGTCTCTTGAAAAAGTAAGAAGCAGTTGTAGCCCGGTCGAGTGCGGAAGCGGAGTATCAAGCTATGGCTATAGCGAGTCAAGAGCTTATATGGCTCAAACAGTTGTTTCAAGAACTAAAGTTAGGAGAGGTCACACATATGTCACTTATATGTGATAATCAAGCTGTTATGCATATTGCCTCAAATCCAGTATTCCATGAGAGGACAAAGCACATTGAAGTTGATTATCACTTTGTCAGAGAGAAAGCCATGTCCAGAGAAATATCTACTAGTTTTGTCAATTCCCATGACCAACTAGCAGACATCTTTACTAAGTCACTAAGGAGTCCTCGAATTAACTACATATGTAACAAGCTTAGTGCATATGACCTATATGCTCTAGCTTGAGGGGGAGTGTTAGAATCTATTAGAATCTTGTAAATATAGTAACTGTATATCTTGTAATTATTTACTCTTCTCTATAAATTGGAATAACTCCGCTTTGCTCTAAACACGGATTCAATATTTTCTCTCTCAACACAATCAAATCACACAAGAAATAATTGAAATTATGGGGATTTAGTTATTGAGGAAGAAACTTTGAGAAGAAAGGCTTCAATTAATATTCTCTTAATATTGTGATGTGTTTACAATTTTATGATGGTCATAACAACTAAAACACTAACACTTACCTTCATACATTGTAACAATTATCATCTACATTGAAAGCTGACCTCAAAAATGATATTTGTGGCTAATAGTTCTTTCAAATTGCACACACTGGCATCTACAGTTTTCTAAACCCATCTCCCACTTGCAATGCACACATGATGTACTAAATTATGATAGAGATTTTGAATTCCTAAAATCATAATTCATAACATATTTTTATTCCCTGTTATTTACTTCTACCTGATGTTAGTTGTCTCACTGTCTACATTTCACTTTGACTTGCTGTCAGTCTTTTCTGGTTCTTACTTTTTTCAGGTATAAATTCAAATTTAGGATACCTTCATACTTCTCACTTGTCATTCGAAGGTAGTGGTTTCCACACATGACTTAAACTAACAGTGTCTGAACAAAATCCTAAGCTGTATCTTCTATCCTTTAGCCTTGCTGTACTGGAAGGAATTGCAATCAGCTTTAACCCTGAGTACAAAGTTTTGGGTAGTACTTACCCTTGGATTGCTCGAAAAGTACTTACGGATAGCTCTCCTCAGCTTAAATCTTCTTTAGAGACTCTTCTTTATGAGGTAAGTATAGAAAACCCTGCTTTCCCTATAGTACCTTAGATCTTGACCAATAAATGCAATTTTGATTCTCATAGCCGTATCTCTTTTTCTACCTTTCTTTGTTCCATACCATAACTAATTACTTTAGAATGTTTTTAAAAAATTATTATTTTTCACTTAATTTTGACTCTAATAGTCTTTGGTCAGGATGGTGTTTTCAGAATAGACCGTCTAGAGTCTTTGCTGAGAGAGGTAAAATGTTGCAATTTTCTTCTGTTTACTAGTTTTTTTTATTATATTAGTGCAAGTGCATAGTTATTGTCAAGTAGTATAAAAAATATCATATCCACGGGACTGTGCTATTAAGTACCGATTAATTGCAACGTAAATATGTAAAGCCTACCAATTGACAAGATTAAATGAAAAGAAAATATTAGAAAAAGGAAAAAAATTTAAAACTCTATTGCTTTAAATCAAAAAATTCAAATTCTAATTAAGTTTTAGGGATTTTTATTACCAATTAAAATTGATGAACTTAACTAAGATCCTTCTTTTGTTAATTCTTGATTTATTTTGAAGGTGAATTACCCTAAGGTGATTATTATTTCCTTTTAGAATACAACAACGTATTTAATTAGAATAACTTGTACTTTTATGATAATTAAATCCAATTAAACCCATTAAGTTATATGGTGATTTGGTAATTTCTCAAAAAATCCAATCCAATTAAATCCAAACATTCCTATTAGGAATAGCATGAAATCCTTGTTATTGAGTTAAATCAATAAATTTTATGGAGATATTCAACCCAGAGCATTGTTGAAATGCTTTGAGGTACCTTGTGCAATTTGGCATAAGATAATGTTTTCAATTTCCTTCCTAGTAAATCCCACTTCTCAATGAATTTGTTCAAAATGCCATCCTAATATGGTTCCATGACAGTCTCTCCGTGCTAAAACAGAAAAGCCTTTGGTAAAACAACAAACTGAAGGCACTGATTCAAGGATAGTTGTGAAGGAAATTCTTACTTTTACACTAACAGATAAGGTACATATTGTTTTTCGTCACTGATTAACATTATATTCTGTGACTACCTTTAACTTACTAAAATGGATTTCATGATAATTTTTGCAGGGTGAATTTGTGAGGGAAATACTTGTTCAAGAATTTGCTAAAGTATGTTTCTTCTAAGTTGTTTATTAATACTACAATTGCAGTGAGGAATATTAAAAATTGGACATTTGTTGTTTAAATCATTTGGCGTTATCATTTGGATGGATATTTTAGAGTATGTTATGACTGTCAGCATTTCCCTATTTGATTGCAAACTCTTGCATTGGATGAATTTTTAAAAATAATTGATACATTGTTAATAATATCCATATCATGATGTCACTGAGCTCATGTTAATGGAAGGGAACTATTATTTTTCTATTGTAGGATTTCTATGGACATACTGCAACACAATAGAAATTTAGCTACAGCATTGATCTTAAATTGTCATAATTGTATTTTATTGCAATTGCTTTTCTGTCAGTCTATCAGCAAGTTGTATAGATTCTAGAAAGGAAGCAATAATAGTGATTTAATTCCATTCCATGGGATCTTGGCTTTCATCTGTATGTCATGTTAATAAACTTAGATTTGTGGCTCTTTGTGCATTTTAGGCCAAAAATGCAGATGATTAGTTTAATCATTTTATCTTCATAAGATCCTTCATTCTTCATTTCTATTTTTAAACCCATCCTGCAAGTGTTCAAAATTTCTTTCAAAACCAAATACAGGGTTTAGATGCACTTGGGCTAGCAACATTGGAGACAGCTGCTGCAAGAGTTCCTTTCAGTGCTTTCTGCTTTTCCTCTTTAATGACTGAAGAGGATATAATCAACTTGAGAACCTTCCAACGCCTTATGCTATTGCTATTAGGGACCAGAAGAAAAGAAGACTACGATAATGTAAGATTTTTATTCTACGTTAAGAGATCTACATCTATGCATTATTATCATTGTGTATCATTTCTAATTTTAGGGCTACTTGACATTATGGTCTAATGTTCAGACTAGGAAGCAAGGAGCTTAGTATGCCTCTTACAACAGCACACCCCTCACGTTATAAAAAACTAGATTCATACTACATTATACCAAATCTAGGACTATTTATTTACCAAACTGTTAAGTTCACCAAACACAAATGTAAAAATAATGGTTAAGAATAGAAGAAATCAGAAATGGAGTAATCATAAGTGTACTGTTCACTGTTGGTACTGTTCTAGCGACCTACCTTTCTGCTGGTGATCACATGAACTAGACACCAACAAAGTGACCATTCCCTTCTCCTTCCAGATTTGTGGCAGCTTCATTTGCCCCTTCTAAGCTTATGGCTCTGGTTATGCCCTTAACTTTTGCTACTCCTCTCACCTACAATGACTTCCTTCGATTGTATAAGGAGCATCACGCTTCTAGTTCCACTGCTTCCGTTGTGCACACTAGTAATCCCTTCATCGGTATCTCTCATTCTTCCTCTCTTGCCTCATTAGTCCTTGATTTTGTGTTACTGATAAGAAGTCTCTTTTCTCTTATCTTTCTAATTCTGATTATTTACCATCAGTTTTAACATCCCTATTCTTTTTATTCATAAATTTCAATAAAACTTCATTAAAATAGGTAACATTTTAGATGAATTAGGAAATGTTCATGTTGATTTAAATCTTAAAATAATAGAAGTTATCAAAATCTTAAGACTTTACATATAAATTTCATTCATAATACAAAAATGTATTTTCACAATTTAAATTTAACATAAAAAAATTAAGATTGAAGGAATTAACTACTAAATATTACAAATATAATTCAAATAATTATTTACAGTAAACATTATCAAACCTTTTAAGTTTCCAAATTTGACATCAAATTGTATACATACCAAAATTAATTTTTAATTAAGAATTAATCAAAATTATAACTTCCTTAATACAACTTAAATCCTATCAGAGCAGATTCTTTCTCGCAACACCACTGAGAATATGATTCTAGAACGGATCTTTCTTCATTTTAATTCCTGAAAAATAGTTGTAAGAGTGAGTATTCATCACTCCACTAAATCCTTTATTTTATAAAAGAAACAAGTAATACAGAAACATTCTTAAATACAATATACACCAAAATAATACTAGTTTGCATTTATATTAATAAATTTACAGCAGAACAACCATCATAACAAGCACATCATTAATATTTCAAAACATACACTAAGATCATGTAATTTCATATATTTTTACGTCAATCAATATATCATAATACATGAGTCCTAATCATATTAATCAATTCAATTCAATACATGCATTATAATCACACCTGTCGATGTATTACAATACCTATATTTTAATCACATCAATTAATCTATTACAACACACGTATTATAATTACAAAATCACAATATTATAATACAAATATCATAATTACACATTCATTGTCCTTGGGATCCCTTGAGATCTTCCCTAAGTATAGATAGTCGCTGGTTAATCGAAATAACACAAATACTCCGTGTGTCCACATAGCCCTTTTTAGCAAATATATAATTAGGAGTTTAGTCGAGAAATGAGTATGAGGCATGTGATGCTGTCATTTTCAGTAATTCATGTGCATCCACTACGAACAACATTCACCACCTCTATTTTCCTTAGATTTTCCAAATTGTCTCCGCACTATATACCCCTCAGTATATCTGTGTAACTATCCATACTTAATCTCGTCAGTTTTTCATAACACACCACTTTCTCAACAATTCTCTTTTCATGGTTTTCTTTCACATTCAATCATTTTCACATTTTCTTAACAGTTCAAATAACACTTTATACAAATCCATGCAATATGCCAAAGGTGTGCTACCTCTGGACTCAATCCAAATCATATAATTTTGAAAAGTCATATTTGTACTCCCTTTAGATAATACTCAAATACATATAAATTTTCAAACAACAATACACAATAATAAGGTTCCATTAAATTACAATTAAATCATCAAACAATTTTGTCATAGGTCGAACACCTTTAGATAAATCACATACTACAATTACATTGCTAGAGAGCACACTCTCTCTATCTTTAATAAAAATCATCTATTCTAAATTTTAGCCTTTCCCGAGTACACATTGTTCAAGATAATACTTCACAATATCAACCGTATATACATAATAATCAATAGCAAAATCGTAGAAACTTTTTAAAACATATTTTATTCATAACTTTTACTATAAAATTTTGTTTGGGTAGGTCTGGAAACAAATCATAAGTTTTTCATGCCCGAGAATCCATTTTTAACATTGTAGTTTTAGGAAAATATTAGAGTTCTACTATCTAAAATAGAAAAATTTGAGTTTTTTAAGCCAACAACATATAAACAAGAATTAGGATTTAGGATCAACTTCCCTTACCTGGAAATAAGTCTCTCAAAATAAAAGAGATGAGAGACAATGTATCTAAGGTTAAATGGAGGTACAACGTTTTGGTAGAAGATATCGTCCAAAAACTAAGATCTTCCTATATATTTAAAGTGGAACATTTTTTAGAAGAGACAAAATGGAGAAATTAAAGTGAATTGAGAAGATTGAGCTTCCTTACTAAAAATCAAGAAGAAGAGATATCCAAGCTCGGATTCAAAAGAGATTTGGAGTCCAAGGGTGTTTTCTTTGAGAAAGGAAAGTGAGAAAACAGAGAAAGAGATGAGAATAGTTTCTTGCTTTGAGATATGTGCTTTTAGAAGGCCAAAATCACATAAACACCCTTTTTTTCTCGCGGTTTCTCGCTTGATCGAGAAAACTAGACAAATATTGCTACTTTTCTACTGATATTTTTGCTCAAGTGAGCTTGAGCGAAAACATGGCAGAGAGCTACCCATTTCTTTTGCTAATTTTTGCTCAAGCGACATATTTCTCGCTGGAGCGAGAATATAGGTGAGAAAATCTTATCCTTTTTTGCTTGAGTTAAAAGGAATATTCTTTTGTTCTTTTTTTCTAGAACTTCTTCCATTTGAAAACAAGAAATACAATTGAAAAATTAGGGTGTTACATCAGTCACTTTGGCCAATGCATCTCAAATGGATTTGGAGCATCTCTAGTTTTGATGTGAATCCTCCTCTTTCTCTCTCTTAGCGTTTGAAATTGGATCTATTGCTTTGTTGCATAGAAGTTGCAAATTTTCCTTTGCTATACGGTTCTGGTAGTTATGTGAATCTTGGAGTTTATGTGGTGAACTGCTCTGTAATAGGGCAACTTCAACCTACTCTAGCTTTAGTGCACAACATTTGGATAATGGATTTGAACCAGGTAGTTATGTTGTATCCTTATAATGCTGAACTTTGAAAAAATGACAACTTCTGTTTTGCTCATGGTGGTGGAAAGAGGTGTGTTGTTGTAGGTTGCACCAAGAGTGTGTAGCTGTACTAACTGTTGCATTAGCCATGGTGAGGGGAAGCAGTGCAAGTGTGAAGGTTGTGGAAAAAGTGCTAAGGGGAGCACAAATTTCTGCAAGGCACATGGTGTTGGAAAGCAATGTAGTTTGGGAGATGATAAGTGTGAGAAAGAGGAGGTTTTGCTTAAGCAAAATTTATGCGATTTCTCATCATTCTTGTATGAGTTGCTTAAGCAAATATTGACTGACCATTATATTCAGGCCAAAATTGGAGACGACCCGAATCCATCTCAAACACAATCTCAAGGTCTTGGTATTGTTCATCCTATTCCATCACTTTCCGTTAATATTGCTCTTTATGTTCTTGGATCTCCCTTTAATTTGTTATCTCATCTTAGCTGATGTTACCTTTTTTTAGTTGATTCTATTTTTTCAGTCTTCTCCCTCTTCTAAACCTTCAGAACCTGAGTCTATGTCTTTCACACTTCCCTCTTATCTTCCTCCTGTTCCAGTTATTTTTGACCAACTAGGGACATCACCTGATAGTCCCCTTTAGCGTCCGTTGCAAGTATACCATAGACAGAACCATACATCTTCTTTGCCACTGCCAACCAATGATTCACTTCCTTTTTTGACTTACCTCTGGCACCAACTTCTTCGACTCTTCTAGACTTGCCTCCTGAATCTAATTTTTTATTGCTCTTTTGAAAGATATATGCTCCACTCGTAATCCCTCTACCCATTATGTTATTCTAACATATCATCATTTGTCCCCTTCCCATTATACTTTTGTATTTTCTCGTTGTCATCTATTTCTATTCTTAAATATACACATGATGCTCTGTCTCATCCTCTAGATTAGTTCATCTTCTGTGAAAATCCTTGTATGGACTTAAAACAATCTATCGTCATTCTACCTTAGGATGCATTTATTTGATTGTTTATGCCCAAGAAAATATGTTGTCACTCCTTGACAGCAAAGAGTGGGCCATGGGATGACCCCTTTGTAATAGCACTGCTCCAATTCCTTGGCTAGAGGCATCTGTCTTAATTGTGAATTCTTCATCAAAGTTTGGCAATGCCAACACTGGTGCCAAAACCAATGTCAGTTTCAAACTCTAGAAGGCCCTTTCAGCTTTGGGTGTCTAACTAAATTCAACATTCTTTTATAAAAGAGCCGTTAGAGGGACAGCTATCTTACCATAATTACTGATGAAATGTCTATAATACCCAAATAGACCAAGAAAACCACGCAATTCCTTTACTGATTTAGGGGTAGGCCAACGTTGTACTGCTACCACCTTGTCAAGGTTTGGTTCTACTTCCCTAACTGAAATAATATGTCCCAAGTAGTCCAATCAACGTTTCCCAAAGCTACACTTCTTCAAATTCAGCACCAATGTATTATTCCTTAAGATTTGTAGAGTTTCCTGCAAGCACATCAAGTGTTCCTTCTAGTCATCGTTGTAAATTAAAATATCATTGAAGAATACCAAAATGAACCTCTGCAAGAATGGAAGAAAAATGTTGTTCATGAGATTTTGAAAGGTTGCAGGCGCATTGCCCACTATGAGTTCTAAAAGCTGTTTTGTGAATGTCTTCTTCCACCATTCAAATCTGGTTGTAGCCACTGCGTAAGCCCAATTGGGAAAAGTATGTAGTCCCATGCAATTCATCTAATAAATGGTCAATCAGTGGAATGGAAAACTTGTTTTTTATCGTGGCAGCATTTAACCTCTTGTAATCAGTGCAGAATCGCCAACTCCTATCCTTTTTCTTGATGCAAAATCGCCAACTACTATCCTTTTTCTTGATGAGAACAATTGAAGCAAATGCACTGTTGCTTTCTCTGATGAATCCTGTAGCCATCATGTCCTTGACCATTTTTTCAATTATGAGGGTACCTGTAAGGTTTAGAACATACTGCTTTGTCATCTACCTGTGTGATCTTATGATCATATGTCCATTTAGGGGGAAGGCTGCAAGGTTCCTAAAACAAATCCTCAAAATCACTCAAGACAATAGTCAGCTGCTGTTGCTGTTCAACCATGAGGCCATTGTGATCTTTATCATCCACAGGACTAGGACAGATTGAGTAGATTGAGTATGGAGCTGAAACCAAACACATCATCGCTTCCCTAGTTATAGACTTCAACTTTCCTTCTGTTGCCCAAATTTCCTGGTTTTGCTGCTCACCCTCCAGCATGACTCTCCTGCCCTCATGCTCAAATCGCATAGTCAAACAGGTACAATTCTATTGGATTTTCCCCAACATTTTTAACCATTGCATACCCAGGATGGCCCCAGAATTAGAACCCAGCAAGACCAATAAATCTCCCACAAAATTATTATCCTTGAATCTCCACTGCAATTGCTTGCAATTGCTCACACTTCTTAGTGATCAATATATGTTTGTCACTATCAACCAAGACAGGAAATTCTTTAATGAATTGAGTCCTTAACCCCAATTACTTAGCCCATTTTTCACTCAAAAAGTTGTGAGTGCTGCCGTTGTCCATCAAAAAAGGAACTTCTTGCTTCTTGATGATGCTTCTTGGCTGTAAGGTCTGACCCCTTGCTATCCCATGAAAAGCATGTAAGGATATGTGGACATCCTCTTCATCCAAAAGTTGTTGTCCGGCTGCTGCCAAAGTCATTTCACCTTCATCTGATTCAGCTTGTCTAGGATGATCTTCATCCTCTTCCTGAGCACTGAAAATGGCATTCAATTTTTCCCAAACTTAGCATTTTTGCCTGTGGTCATGTTCCCAAGGCTCTGCACAAAATCTGCATAGACTTTTTGCAATTTTTTCATTCATGTCCTTCTCTTTTTCTATGGATGAGAAGCATTGGATGATCTTATCGACGAGCTTTGCTACAAGTTGGTGATAGGGGTGCTTCGTCTGTTGTGACCCCACTGAAGACCATCCCTTGTACTGGTGACTGAAGGCTTATGTGGAAGAAGATTTTGGAAAAAGAAACCTCTTCTCCTATTCTTGCAAAATATCTGGCTGCAACCTAGCCAAACACATGGCATCTTGAACGTTTCCAGGATTATGAACACGTACCCATATTTTGAGCAGCAATTGCAAACCTCCCAAGAAGAAATTAACTACCATCTGCTCACTGACTTCCACGCATGCTAGCAACTCATCAAATCGGTCCATGTACTCTTCTAACAATCCATCTTCCTTCAGCTTTGATAAAGTGGTGTCCCATGTCCTGCAAGATTTGTTGCCAAGACTTTCTTTTTAAACTATTATGTGTTATATAATGCCACTGCCAAGCAAATGCATTTCTGTCCATAGATAATAGCAGCAACTTCTCAGGTGTTTCCTCCAATTCAAAGAATCGCTCTGCCTTTGCCTCCATTCTCTGTAATTCGTTCCATTAAATGTTGGGATAGGAATCTGTGCACGTTCGACAATCTTGTTGGAATCCAAGATTGATTCTGCATACTTGGTTTCTGTTGGGTCCAGACCAATTGGGCCTCTTCTCAAAACATATCAGAGGAGGAGGGGTAAAAAGGGGATTATAAGCAACGAGGCTGTTAGGGAAGATTCTAACGGAATAACAAATTGAATGACGTGGAGGAGGGAGAGAGCGGCTGAGGGAGGGGATATAAGGTAGATTGATCAGAGGAGAGAGGGGGGAATTATCTAAGAGGTGATTGGGAGGTGGCTGCTGCCTAGGGGAAGTTTCCATTTTAATCATCATTGCTTTTCTGTTATTCTTATTTTTCTGCTGTACTATCAAGGGGTTTCCCTGAGGTTTTGGTGCAAAATTCCACAAACATACTTAGTTCCTATCAGTTTCCAAATTATTTGTATTACCTACCAAAGATATTGTTGTAATATTGTTCAGGAGTTTCTGCATATTATCCATTGCGTGTTTATTATTCAGCTGTGATTCCATCATGATTTTCTCCAATCCTTCAATTGTTACTTCCAATCTTTATTGGAGATAGATCCCCCAATCATTGCAGACTATTGATACCAATTGTTAGGACTGAATCTCTTCACTCTTCTCCTAACTGAATCATAACACACGCACACACAAATTTCCTCAAAGAGAATTATTAAACTGGGCCTCAATCAGATGATTATTTATATGCTATTCCCCCACTCCTAAGGACAATTCCCGTGTTACAATGCTTCTCAATTACGCTTGTCCACCTAACCTACTGTACAAATAATAGAATTAACGACTAAACGGGAATATACTAATCTATTTATAACATAACCCAAAATCAAACATTAATACAAAGACATCTTTATGTATGGAAGCCCAAGAACAGGCAGCAAAACTAATGAAACTAGCTTAGAATAAGGGAGAGAAATATCCATGCATGCACTTTTGGCAGAGTCATGAGCAGTTCCTTTCCAAGCAAAAGCATCTTCAATTTTTAATAATTATTGGTGTAACTTACACTGTAGTAATTTGATAAATATGCATTATATATATATATATATATATAAGAATAAGAAGAAGAAATTGAAAAAGTTTGGAGGAGCCATGGCTTCGTTCTTTCACAAAGAAGCTTTGCCATTGACCTATGTAAAATTATCCTAATATAGAATTTTCTTCTGTTTACTCTTTAATGAGCATGGTTGTAGTCAGTAGTCACCACTAAAGGTTTCCTTAGATATGTATGTATTATTAATCCATCTACTAAGAAACCAGATGCTTTTGTATTTTCTTTTTTTGTGGATTGGGAAGGTGTGGAAAAGGCAAACTAGTTACACAACTAAATTATCGATCTCTCATTAAGGAGCGTTGATGTGTAAAAATCTGATCACTGGGCAAGTGTACCCGTTGTCGAAGTAATATTATTAAAATTAAAATTAAAGTACCAAGTATCGTATCCACAGGGACTGTTATTAAGAAACTTTTCCTTAATTGCGTAATTGTTAATAAATATGAGAAATAAACCTTGTTGATGAAATTGCTAAAAGTAAAAGAATAATAAATTAAAAGGAACAGATATTCTAGTGAAAATAAATTATAAAAAATTATGACTAAAGGTATTCAATGTAAAAAGGCAAGTATCTAGACTGTAAATCCCCCTAAGTGTCCAAATAACTGAAATTCTTCTTCAACTACTTAGTTCCAAACCCTTATCGCTGCAGGAAATTCCAAATTAAATCAATACCTTTCTCAAGAATAATGATTCCTAACCCTCAGTTGATTAATCGGAATCTCTTCCTTAATTAATACCCCTAGGTTGCATTAAGTTCATTATGAATTCCATAATTAGGGTTAATCCTAATACAGAACACTCACGTCTTTCTATCTCTAGAAATACATTCAAATCTTTTTAATTGAGCAATGTTAATTTCATGTAGGAATTTTACTCAAATTCAAACAAGAAAACAAGATAGAGAAAATTGATATTACTCAATTAAACCCAAGAGAAAAGAACATGAAATAGCATTAGAAGAATTCCAGAAAATTTAGTCAATTAGGATTCATTACGTCTAGATACTCAAAAGAAAGTTAGAACCTAAACATCTTGAAATTAAAATTACAAAAGAGATGAAATAAAATACTTAATCCCATCTTCTTGCCGTCTCTGAGTCTTTCGTCTCCAAAAACCGCCTCCCCTTTAGGTTTGAGTTCAGTTCTCCTTTTATAGAAATTATCCTAGGGTTTTTCTTGCAAAAGTTAAATTTCTGACGCGCGTAAAAGTACACGCCCAAGTACACGGCCATGTACTTGGCCGTGTACATCTCTGTTTTCTAATAGATGCCTTTCAAAGCTTTCCATAAAAGTACACGCTCATGTACACGGCCATGTATCTGGCCGTGTACATCTCTGGTCTTGACGATACACTTCAATTGACGCGACCAGTGAGATACATGCTCATATACACGGGCATGTACTTGCCCGTGTATATCTCTGGTTTCTTTTTTTCTTCAATTCTCGACATCTTTAAGGCTTTCACTTCTTGATCTTTTTTCCTGAAATATGAATAAAATGAAATTAATAATAGTAAATTTTCTCAATGAATAGCTTAAAACTCTCAATTATCATTCATGAATTACAATGTAGGATCAAGTATAGAAAGCATTTATCAAGCATAATGCCCTGTTTCATCCAATCTTAATTCAGAACATATGCTCTGAATTGATGCAGTTGTTTTCTTGTTGGTTTCTATATTGCAATGAGAATCATTTTGGTTTTTACGTGTTTAATTATACCCCAACACTGTCAGTCAATCTTTCAGCTCCCGTGTTTGGTTTGAGATTAATGTTGGGCAAATAATTGCATTTTTGTAAAAGTTCTCAAAAAAATGATGAAAATAAGCAATTATTTTTCCAAAATACGCTGAATCAATCATACAAATGAATAGTAAATGGGTAATCATTTTAATGTGTTGTTTATGCGTATGAATATTATTTGTACTTTCTGTCAATGACATGTAGGGAAGCAGACAGGTCAGTCCTTACAGGAATCAAATACTGTACCCGGAGGAGCTGACGTCAGTTTTGAATCAAGTTGAATCTATTCAAGACATTCTTCCTGTTCTTTCTATCATTCCTGAGGTAAATCTAAGGATTAGGATTTTATTTAAGAAATGTAGCCGTTTACCCATTTATCAATTAACAGGCACAACTCATAAGTCATTAGCAATTTGGCATTTTGATAATCTTTATTACTGCTGAAGCATGACTTTCTATTTAAATGCTAGCTCCCACAAGAATCCCAGCAGCAATTAGTTGAATTGCCAGCTAGAATGGTTAGACAGTTAATATCCCGGGCTGCTGCAAGAACTATAAGGAGGGTGTTTTTGTGATTTGCATGTACAGAAGCAGCTGAAATCTGTTTATGCTTCTCATCAAGTGACCAGAGAACATTTTCAAAAAATAGGACTTATTACGAGGCCTTCAATCTGCGTAATGTAAGCTTGAATACATTTTTTATTCCACAATAATTTTTTTGTTTTCAATTTAATCTATTCTTAATTTTATTTTTATTGTAAGTATTTGCTGAAGGTAACTTAGATTCTTTCCATAAACCTCAAATTATAATGTAGACCCAATGCATCAGTACCCATCACCCACACATTCTTTTGTGTTCAACAATCATCCCAATGCATACTTTATTTCTTCATATGTCAAAAACTATGTGGATAACCCTTGAACTACGCCATGGATGACTTTTTTATGAAAAGTTGATGTCTTTATCATTTATGCAAAATCATCAAAGTAGTTCTATAGAACGTTTGATAGATCTAGATTAGAACATCCGTCCGTAATAACGCAATTCAAAACTTCAATAACACTGTTGGGATTTGGGAAAGCTAAGAACTATAAGAAAAATGAACCCCATGAAGAATTTTTGTATGTATCTATAAAGGATATGTAATAAGTTGAACTTTGTGGTAAAATGTCAAGTTCAAAATAGAATGATCCACCTGAAAAAGACAACAAAACAAAGAATATAGTTGCTAGTTCTAAGAATAAAATAGTTTTGGCAAGTAGATCAAAAGAAACGGAATGCTTGCATCAAGATAAAATATGATTTAGTCTTGTAAATAAGATTAAATTTTGTTTTAGTTCTCTATTTTAGTTATTTATTTTTTGGTTCTCTTATCACTTTACACTTTGTTCTCTCAGGATCTAATGTGTTCTACTCTACATTAATTCACAAAGTAAATGTTAAATGCTCAACTAGTATCATACCTATAGAAAGGGTCTTTTTATTCCTTCAAAAACTTAGGTTACAACATGATTTGTAAACACGGATTTAGAAAACGTCTTATGCAATCTTCTAAAAAATAAAATAATCAATCTAATTCAATCTGATTCTTATAATTTCTATTTACATCCAATTTTATAATTACATGGTCCTAAATTAGGAAATATATAATTGACCAATTTGTCTTAAAATGGAGACAAAATCAACCAAGGAATCAAGGAAAGATTATGTATATGATATGATCTCCAACACTCTCCCTCAAGCTGGGTGGTGAATGTCAATCATCCCCAACTTGTAACTTAGGCTTTCATAATTATGTCGTGGAAATCTTTAGTGAAGATCTCTGTTCTTTGTTGACTTAATGGAGTAAATTTCAGTATAACCCTTCCTTCATCAATCTTTTCCTTGAAAATGTGGCGATTTATTTCCACGTTTGGTTCAGTCATGGTGGACTGAACTTTTTGTAATGCTTATAGCTGCTTTGTTATCGCAAAGGATACTCATAGCATGATCTGATGGCACAGTCAATTCCTTAAGCATTTATTGAATCTATATTCCTTCATATATCCCTTGAGCTATGGCTCTAAATTATGTTTCAGCATTACTTATAGGAACTATGGATTGCTTCTCCAACTTACTAGGTTACCCCATACATAGGAACAAAAGCTTGTGGTTGACCTTCGATTTGAAATAAAACTAGCCGAGTCTTCATCTGGAAAAACATCTATATTTCTTCTTGAATTTTTTCATAAATAGTGTCCTTTTCTAGGTGTCTTTTTCAAATATTGTAGAATTTGATTGACAGCTTTCATGTGACTTCTTGAGGGATTGTTCATGAACCAACTTACCATGCAAACAACATAGCATATATCAAGACGTGGATGTGTCAAATAAATCAATCTTCTCAGTAATCTTTGTTACATATCCCAATTTCTAGGCGAGCTTTCTTTCTCATCTCCAAGGTTTACATTCGATTCTATAGGTGTATTTGCTAGTTTGTAACCTAGCATTCCTGTTTCTCTCAACAAATCTAGAGTTTATTTCCGCTAGGATAGCGATACCCCTTTTTGTTAGAGCTATTTCTATCTTGGGAAAATATCAAAGACGATTCATATCTTTGACTTCAAATTCTCTGGCAAGAAAGCTTTTTCAGTTTCTGAATTTCTTTTTCATTGTCCCCTATGATGATAATATCATCTACATAGTCAATGAATAAAGCTATCTTTCCATTTTCTTCGTGCTTTACAAACATTGTATGATCATGATTCTTCACTAGACAGGTTAACTGCTCAAACTGGGCCCTCAAAGATTGCTCGAGACCGTAGAGGGACTTTCTTAGTTTGCACACCTTGTTATTCTCTAGGGCTTCCAATCTAGAAGGGATCCTCATGTAGACTTCTTCGAGTTCACCATTCAGAAATACATTTTTGATATTTAGCTGATGAAGGGGACAATCTAGATTAGCTGCTATAGACATGACGATGCGAACATAGTTCATTTTTGCAACTGGGATAAATGTCTCTTTATAATCTATTCCATAGGATTTTGTGAACCATTTGGCCACCAACCTAGCTTTGTAATGATTCATTGTGTCATCTATTTTATATTTGATTGAAAAAAAATCCACTTACAACATACTAGTTTCGTTCCTTCTAGCAGATTTGTGAGTTCCTATGTTCCATTTTTTCTAGTGCAGTTATTTCTGGTTCCATGGAGGCCTTCCACTTTGGTTGTTGGAGAGCTTTTTCTACATCATATGGTACATTTATGCTGTCCAGATTAGTGACAAGAGCCCTATATTCCTATGACAAATTCTCATAGGACATATAGTTACCAATAGGGTGCTAAGTGCAAGACCACTTCCCTTTTCACAAAGAAATAGTCTTATCAAGATCATAAAAAATTGAATAATCATTTACGGGATCAGAAGGTATGTTACCTAATTCACTTACATTTGTATTCGGGTCATAGGACTGACTTTGCATTGAAGATATACAAGTCTCTAGTTCCTTTTGAGTCTTCCTTTTCCTCAAGTACACTAGTAGTATTCTTGACCATTATCAGGTCTCTAAGTAATTCACCTCCATCTTGGATTCCTTCTTGTAGAGGAATTTCTAGTTTTATGGTGGATAGAGGAATTTCTAGTTTTATGGTGGATAGAGATACTAGTCTGCTTCTGGAATAATTGCTAGTTCAAATAAAACAATGGCTCGTTTAATAATGATATGATTTGAGATCTGCTCAAGCTTTAAAGGCTGGAATTCTTAGTCCAATATCTCCCCCGGAATGCCAACTTGGGGTAAAAAGCCTATTTTTCAAAAATTGTCAATGTCCATACTTGTGTAGAACTTCTGTGTAATGAGTGAATAGCAATGGTATCCTTTTTGGTTAGGGAAGTAACCAATAAAATTACATTTTATTTATTTTGCGTCAAGTTTGCTAGGGATGGGTTGGTGGTTAGGGACAAACGTGGTACAGCAAAATATTTTGGGAGGTAAGTGGGTAAAGAGATGTGGGTTAAGGCAATGTGGTTGGAGAGTTTGGAGAGGGATTTTATACTTGAGGGCTTTGGAAGAGATTCAGTTGATTAAGTAAGTTGCGGAAAAGACGACTTCTTCGCAAAAATGATTTGGGACATTTGTTGCCATCACAAGAGACCTAATGACTTCTAAGAGGTGTCTATTTTTGCATTTTGCAACCCCATTTTGTTGGGTTGTATCAACTCACGATGATTGATGGACAATCACGTACTTGTGGAGATAGGATTCATGCATAGTATTGTTGTATTCTCAACCATTATCAGCTCTTAGAATTTGCACCTTGGTTTGAAAATGTGTTTGGACCATTTGGTGAAAGGATTCAAATATTTATGTGAACTCTGATTTGTCTTTTATATAAGGAAAACTCGAGTAATCCTTGTGTGGTCATCTATGCAAACGGTTTTGAGGGCTTGTAGGATTAAGGATGGTAACTACTAATTGCAAGTTTGGCTAATTGACAATTTCTATACTGAAATATGTCCTTTTTTTATTAAAAATTGAAAGCAATATTTGGTCAAGATACATGAAATTAAGGTGGCCAAGTCTATGGCCATAACATTACATCATCATCCTCTTTTCTATGAGCAACATAACCTTTTCCTCTTGATTCTTCGTGATTATCAACTTGAAGGAAGTAGAGACCTGCAAATTTTTCAATATTGCTAATCCTATTCCCCGAATCTATTGCTTGATATTCACACATATTTGGAAGGAATTTAGTAATGCAATTAAGATCTCGAGTCAGTTTGTTGATCGATAAAAAATTGAAGTCTAATTTTGGAACATAAAGGACAAAATTGAGTGTAATATCTTTGGATACCACAATTGATCCTTTACCAGCTGCTGTATATGTTCCATCAACAATTCTTACCAAGGAGCTATCTTCACATGGAATGTAGTGATTAAATAGAGTAACATCCCTTGTCATATGGTCAGAAGCTCCAAATCTACTATCCAAGACGTGTTTATCATGTCCAATAGAAAATGCACTCAATGTGTTACCTTTTTGTGCCAACAACCTATGGTGGAGGAGGCTTTAACTGTTGGTTGATTGATTTGTTGGAATAGTTTTTCTAAGATCTTCATTTTCTCTTTACTAAACGGTCTTAGTTTTGATTTCTTAGTTTTACCAGTAATGTACTCCTCCTTTACCTTCCTTCTAGGTAAATGCAAATTGATCTAGCCCATTGAGTGTAGTTTTGGCTATTTAATTTATAGCCTATTGGAAGAGCAGTTGGCTCAGTCAGGCTTGGAACTTGGGAATATTTCTCCCTACCTTGGATTTTGGGTTGGTGATCTCGTCAGCCATTAGAAAAAAAAAATGAAGGAACCTATGCCTGAATCATTGTTAGCTTTGATACCATGTAGAAAGGGTATATTTATTCCTTGAGAAATTAGGTTACAACATGATCTATAAATACTAATTAAGAAAACATCTCATGCAATCTTCTAAAAAAGGAAACAATCAGTCTATTCCATCTAATTCCTGTAATTCCTATTTACATTCAATTCTATAATTAGGAAATATATAATTGACTAGTCTGTCTTAAAATGGAAACAATATCAGCCAAGGTATCAGAAAAATTTATGTATACGATATGATCTCCAACACCAAATCGGCAGAATCCAACATCAATTAATCATACATTAATAGTTTTTAAATATCTTATTGTATGATCATGATTCAATCTACGTGACTATGTTTTAGAGCATAGCATTCATGCTAACTTCAATTTCGCTACAATCAAGTACACTTGGGTCTTTAGACACAACATTGAAAATTTGCAAAACAAAATATAAAGGAGAAGAATGAGACTTTTCAAATAGTCATAAAATAGTAAGGATATAAAAGAAAAGAAAGAAAATATAGGTGAAAATAAAAGTTGGTATAAAAGTTTGAATATTCTTAAAAATTGAATTAGCCAATATCATATATAAATTCTATTTATCCACCCATAAGCACACATATTTTACAATTCCAAAATAATGCAAGACAATGATGCATAAGACTTATACAAATGTTGACTCTTTTGGCAAAAAAATAAATCCTTTATCATGTTCATGCAACTCTTGAAACTAAAAAAGCACTTTAATCATCAAAAGTTGATTGGTGTTTTACAAGTGAGCCTCATGGCAATGCACAACATGTTGCTGCAATTAGCTCTACCAATATGATAAGACTCAAAAGAATATTAGGATAATAGGAGCATTGCTTGGAGACTCTTAGCTAAAGGTTGAAGCTCTCATAAGGCTATTGAAGAGTCATCCATCTTCTAAATGTCTAGATATAAGTAAATAGTTTTTAATTGAGTCTCTATCTTATTCTTTTTTTCATGATATAAGTAAATAGTTTTTATTACATTGAGTCAAAATCTCTTTAATTGATCTTGATGATACTTTATTTATTAATTAGATATTTTATTCATAAAAAAATCTAAGCATGTCTAGTCTTTTTTTTAAAACCAAAATAAAATGTTTTTGTTATATATATAATTATTCTTAATATAAACTATAAATAATAATCTTTAACTTAAATGAGTTTTTAGATTCTAAAAAATTTACACATGTAATTAACAATTATTTATGCATTACTCTCAAAATTTAAAAGAAATTATATTTTAATCTTTATACATAATTTAACCATAAATAAAATTATAATTCATTTTTTCTATTATTTTTAAAATAATGTAGTAATATTTTTTTATTATAAAATATTTAAATAAAGAATGATACTTTTATTGTATTAATTTATTTTGTTCCAGTCTATATAATTCTATTCGGTATACATTAGTTATTAGATATTTAAATGAAGCATACATTCATTTATTTCATTAATTGTTTTATTTATTTATTTTTTAGTTTGTCACTTGAAAAAAAGTTATTCAAGTAAAGAAAATAACTAATAATATATTCTTTTAAATATATTTTTATTATTTATTTTTTAAAAATTAAAATATTTATCTTATCAATTAATATTTTTAAAAATATAAAATTTAAATATAATTTTTAATTATTTATCAATAATATTAAAGTATACTTTTTATATTGCTGTAAATTAATTAATAAAATTTTAATTTCAATTAACAAATGATACTTAAAAATAAATTGTATAATATTTGTATAAATTTATGAAATTTTAAAATAGCTATACAATACATTTTTTTTCGCTATTAGCTGCACAATACATTTTAATTATTCTTTTGAAATTTATTATATTTTAAAATACTCGTTTAGTATATAAGAAATTATTAGTTATGCTTAAATTTTATTATTTTTAAAATTTACTGTCTGTTTTAAAAATTAATTAGCTACGGAAATGAGTTGAAAAATATCTTTAAAAAAATATATTGATGGGATTTATCTTGTACTAAATGCGCCAAAAATATAAATATTCGACGAAAGCAGCGAAATCACTGTCTTGTTGCTGGCCGCTTGCTTGACGTGAGAAAACCAAACAGACTAGAATCTCCTGAGAATTTTTCCTGAAATTCTAAGATGAGGTATGCTTTTCCAACTACTTCGTTTTATTTTCTTCTACTGTTTGTCTCACTGGACAGTAGCGGAACTGAAAATTTTCGAGTACGTGCATACTGAGTTCTGTTTATTTTTTGAGTTTTTTTTGGCAGATTATTATTATTTGTTAACTTGGATAAAAAAATTTAGTACTTTGTTTTTCAGTGTTTCCTTCTTCTTTATCTTTTCTTTTGTTTTGTCATTTTTACTGTCAGCTGGTTTTTTGAAAAAATAATTAGGGTTTCTAGCATTCTAGATTCTCTTTAGAGCGATAATTTCTAGTTGTTATTTAATTCTCCTTCCTCATAAATTATGAAATCATCGCCATCTTTCATGTATTTTTTTTTTTTTTCTATTTTCATTAGAAAACTATGATTACTCTTGAGTTGGGGCTATAATTTATTGGTGTTAGCTTAAGAAGTAGAGGAAACAGCTAGTTTGTAATTTTGTTCATATTTTGGTAATCAAATTTGCAAGCGTTTTGTTGTGGTGCCCTGCCCTTCCATGATCTATATAACAAGTTTAGATTTGGTCTCAGAACTGTATGTTTTGTTTTTATTATATTCTGGAGTTTAACTCTTATGAAATGATTGTTGATGTAAATGATGGGAATCTTATATAGCCCGTATATCTAGAGCACTAGTCTGGAGTTTGATGCTCATATTAGATGAATGGTATTCTTTTGCTTGGATCAAAAACACATTTTTCATTTAATGTGAGCTTCCAGGTCAAAAGAAATTGATGTCATTTTGATTGAGGAACTTTTAGTTAAGGACAAATTGATGTCCTGTGAAAAGTAGTAAATAAATTCTTTCAGTATTAAAATCTTGACTAGTGCCAAGTTTGGTGGACTCAAATGTATGCCATCCAAGAGGTCATCATATAACTTATTTTTTTGGTGTTTTTCCCTTTTCTTTAATTTCATTTTCTCTTTCTTTTTTCTGGTTGATTTGTCATTTGATGGAGTATTTTTCTGTTTCTGTAACTTCATGGTGAAGTTTAGATAGTTTTTTGGATTTTTTTTATTTACATTTAGATGAGGAATTACAAAAGAAAATTCTGAATTTGGTATAACAACTGTACCCCTTTACATTGGAAAACAAACTTTTGAAGCTCTAGATGTTCATCTGCATATGACTCCCACAAATCAGTTGGGGTCTTTTTCTGATGGGTTGCTCTAGTTGGAGCTATCAAAAAGCTTTTGCTTTTTCTTGAAAGCATCAATTTGAACATCAATCCTGACTTGTTCTTCAATATCAGTTCCACTCTTACCTTACGATCATATAGTTATCGTTTAACTTCAAGATCAACTTTAAATTCATAACTAAATAGCCAGCAACACGCAAAGGCCTATGAAACTGTTTGTCCCATCTATTATCAATGATATTCCATAGAGGCATGTAACTAAAGAATACAATTAAATGGGTTAATTTTCAAACAAAGAGGAAAAGATCACAAAATTTTAATTTTAACTAAATTTGATAGATAGGCAATTACCTCTTCTTGATACCATTGAAAGCTGCATGGATGGCCGCTTTAGCTTGGTCCATTGCCTTATAAACAAAAGTCGTGGCTGGCTTCTCATTTGAATCAATCAAACAAAGGACTTTAATTAAAGAATATGCACCCTTTAAACTGATCAGAACATGCTTCCAAAATTGGTTGTCCAAAACAACTTCCTTGTTCAATTTCCCCTCTCGTCCTAGAAAACTTACTAGACTTCCATTTGTTGCCTGAGAACATTCTTAACAAATCTCCTGCACCCCAAAGTTAAATATGAAGTGGCAAATCGAGTGATACCTGGTCTCACCAAATCTTTTCCTTTTGTGAAGCATGAGAGAGGTCCTTGAATAAATATAGGTTGTGATTTTTCTGCCCTTGGAATTGTTTCCTCATGGAAGGGTATCTTTTTCTCAAAGTCTTTTAACATTAGATTAATGTAGTGTGCAGCACAAGGAATCCAATATAAATTTGTCAGCTGTTTTGGTGATGTGATGTGAGAAGCATCAATTGACTTATATATATATATATATATATATATATATATATATATATTTATTTATTTATTTATTTACAAAGATAGAGTGCTATCTCTGTGAGCAAAGGAAAAAAAATAATACGAAAAGATAAAAGAAAATAATGGTGACGGTTATGAGATCCATGAAATGCGAATTTGCACCAAGGGGGTGATTCTCAACAACTAACTTCCTTGCTTCTCTTTATCATGCTGTTTCTCCTCATCATGCATGATGGTTCTAGAATATTCTTGCAACTTCATGACTCCTCCTTTTGTCAGTCCACCCATCTGTCATTATTGTGCAACCAACACTTCCAAACAGCCTTATGTTCTTAAATAAGGTCCATTATTAACTTCACTTGCTTCAAGTATTTCACTCTAATTTCATGATAAGAGGGTGGCTTAAATCCTGCGCCATGTTGCACAATTAGCTCACATATGACAGAAAAAGAGAAAATGGTTCTTGAAGATGATGATGAAGAATTAGAAGATGAAGAGATGTCAAAAAAAACAAAAGATGAATTAGAAATTAATCTTCTACAATCTGAGGGAGAAGAGGAGAAGGGATATGCTTTGGTAGATGAAAAAGAGGATGATTATGTTGGAGTTGAAGAAGAGGATTAAATTGATCATCTTTGTTTTTATTGTTAACTTGACTTTTGATAATTGCATATTTTATATTGAATTATATTTTGGATTATAGGTTATGCTGCATATATTTTAAGTTAATTATTTTCTATCATTTTCTGTGACCTATAGTATTTTTTTTATATATTTTATTATATCCGCCATAACTCTGCAAAATCCGCCATGGTGGCCGCCATAACTTTATGGCAGTTTTTTTAGTTTTCACCATGAGCCGCCATTTGCCATTGATAACATTGACTCCAGCAAGACTCTTTTTCATAAGGTATGCAATAGGGACACTCTACAACTCTAATGAAAAATATTAGGGTTTATAATTTAAGATTTTATTTATTTTAAAATTTAATTTGTTTAATATACTATTATATTATAAATTTTATGAATTTTAAATATGTCATTCTAATAGATCTAATAGACTTTTTTTTAAGCTCAAGTTTGACTTATTTAATTAATTAAGCTTTTTAAAAAGTTTAAATTAAGCTTCTTATTTAAATAAGCAAAGCTGGACTAGGCCTTAAAAAAACTAGACTGTAGACTCTGTCAAATAGCCTGATCTATTTTCATCTTACCCTCTAAGTATAGGAGTAATATGCCTTATTTCTTCCACAATCGACTAACTATTCATTGTAACTAACTATTAATGAATTCCTAACTAATAACAAATGGGAATTATACTACCCCCTAAAGTTTCACATAGGAAAACATAGTTGTGGCAGCTGGAAAGAAAGTTCCATTGGGGTTCTAACTAATTGAAGCATGATGATCAACCCAACTACACTACTGCAGTCCCAAAATAGTCTCAAGCCCTCCTAGGTTAAACACAAACAAGTGGCTGCAATCAATTTTCTTCAATGCTTGTTTTCTTTAATATTTTTAGCCCTGAAACAAAGCATCATTGCCCTTGCAAAAATGTATTGAGAACTCAAGGTTTTTTCTTGGAAAATCATGGTTCATTATCATCCTTCCTTCATTTCCTAAATGATGCTGCATGTGTTTCTGCATCTCATAACTGAAAAGATGGTCTCCTTCCGCAGAAGAAACCTTATTTTCAGACCTCACAGCACTCATCTCTCTATCTCGAGCCTCGACTACTTGACCCAATTCCTTGAGCTCTTCCATTTTTGGTTCTTGATCCAAAATGTAAACTAGTTCCCTTTGAGTTTCCTAATCTTTGTCTTTGATTCCAAAATTTTTTATTTCCATGATTTTTGTTCGGTTTTTTGGACAATAGCATATTTTTCTGCATTGTTTTTGGCCTCCAAGCTTCTTGTTCTTTTCTCTCCAGATCTTCATCTTCTTTTCTGCTTAATGATCATTATTCTGTAACGTATTGGTTCCAGATTTAGTTGTGGTCTCATGACTTAATATATGTGTATAAGTTGTGCAAAATCTTGTTATGCTTGATTCTTTTAGTCATTTGAGGACATTATATGAAGAGGATGATTTTCTTTATGTCAGATCCTTACGTTTATTTGAATTTTATAATGCAGCCGTCATCCCCCTGTCAAATGGGCCCAGAGGTCTGACGTACTATACATAACAGTTGAGTTACCGGATGCCCAGGATGTTAAGCTCAAACTGGAGCCAGAAGGAAAATTCTACTTCTCTGCAACTGCTGGTGCAGAGAAGAATCCTTATGAAGTTGACATTGATCTGTTTGACAAGATAGATGTGAATGTAAGAGCAGCCAGTTCATGGTTTGTTAATCACATCCTTTCTGTTTATCTTGTAATTGGTGTGTTAATATGTCTACCCAGAATAGCAAAGCTAGTGTTGCTTCAAGAAATATCTGCTACCTAGTGAAAAAGGCCGAGAACAGGTGGTGGGACATATTATTGAAGCAGGGAGGGAAATCTTCTTTCTTTCTGAAAGTTGATTGGGATAAATGGGTTGATGAAGATGAGGAGCAAGATAATAAACGTTAGTTATTTTCAAAATTTCTCTGAATTTATATTTCATTTTACATTGGTTTGTTTCATTTCCACTTTTCTTTTCTTCAGCTGGATCTGAGATGGACTTGGGCGATATCGATTTTTCTGTGAGTGGCATAACTCAAACCATAGTCTAAAAATGTTTAGCTAGATGGGCACTTGAGCGTAAATTCACTTTCTATGCAGAAGTTGAACATGGGAGGGGGTGAAGGATTAGATTTTGATGCTGCAGCCAATGATGATGGTAAATATATACAAGTTTTGTCCATGTTATTATGGGATACAGTACGATCAGTCTTCCTTTTCTTGATTTTTAATTCTATTGGTCTTTTTGTTCAGATGATGAGAGTGACACAGAAGATGAGGTTACAGCACAAGCATCTGCTAGTAATGAACTCGATATACAGGACACCGTGGGTGGCACTGCAAGGGATGCACCTGATACTAACGCATAAAAATTCAGAATCTTGAACCGTAACATAGCTTTGACTGTTATAAGGACGAGCATTCCTGGAAGGTTGCTTACCAAAATCCTTCGCAGATTTATCTGATTGTTCGGGGCTGACATGTTCACTTCTTTTCAGCGTTTTGACCCTGGATTTTAACTAGTTAGGCATATACGAGTTGGCCATGCGTGATAGTATTTGAGAATGTTATGTCTTTGTAATACTCACAAAGTGCAGTGGATAATGAATTAGAAGAGCTTGATGCTATGTTTATGTTTGCATAATTGAGCTCTACACTTTTCAGCGAAATTATACTACAGGAATGACAAACTTATCAAACTTCTGATCGATGTTGAATTGGTGATAATAAGTATATTTTTAATATTGAATAATATATTAAGTAATAAATTATTATAAAATTATAAGAAATCAGTATAGTTGGGTAATTCTTTATAAAAAAGGTGGTTGCGTAAAAGCACCTTTTCTACTTATTTATCACAACTTTCTCAAGGCCAACAATGTTCAAACCTCAAATTTTGTTTACTCCTAGGTCATGGGAACCAAGGTAGCAGGGGGTTAAAAATCATGCCAGTTATAATTAATGTTACACAAGTAGAGATAACAATGGATGAAGTATCAAATTAGTATGCACAGTCGTGTTTATTATTAGAGTTTTGAAACTCTATTTAAAGAGCTTTTCGAAGATTGTGACTTAGATATTTTTTTTACTAATCAATCTTGATTTTGTCCAACTATAAACAACTTTTGGAGCTTTGGTAGCACGTTTTGGGATTAAGAACTCCCTTCATATCTTATTCATTGTGGACTCTTAGTTTGCGCTTACTTCTCGAATAACTTTGAATTGATTTATTATTTTTTTAGTTTTCTAATATATTATGTCTAACTAAATCTATAATTGAGGTTATACTGGATTCTTTGCATGATTCTATGTGATCTTTATGTTTGATAACAGTTTCAGTTTCCTTTTTTGACTGGTGTTTATCCTATTGTGCTATATTCCTATATTCTGAATTGACAACTCTTAAACATACTATAATTAATTATTTATAGATGACCATACCACATATAGTTAATGAATTTATAAAATAAAAAATTAAATAGACTTAATTTAATTTTTTTTTCAATCATTATTAAATTAACATAGTCATAAATTTTTTATATTTTCTCTTCATTTTCCTTTGCATGATCATTGGGTGTTAATAGATTTAATATGAGTGATTGAAAATTATAAGAAAATCAGAATTAGAATTAATCTAAAAATGAACATAAAGAATTGTAAAGGTGAATTTATATGCCCTAGAACTCATCTCAAATTGTTTATTGTCATAGGTGGCGTTGTTTTATTTCCTTTTAATTACTTTTAAATCTAAATTATTATTTATTTTATTTCATTATGCATCTTTTTAATTCAAACAATTAAATTAAACTATTTTTGACACTTGAGAATAATCATTATGAGTTGATATTCTGAGAACTTATTTGAGAATTCATTTTTACTTTTCGATTAGTACACTTGTCCACGAACAAGTTTTTGGCACTGTTGTCAGGGATCAAACTTAGGTTGCCTATGTGACAGGTGAGAATACTCATCACTATACATTATTAAAATCACAAGTCATATACTGTGGGTGTTACTTTGCATCCCATGGGGATTCATTCCATCAATAGTCATTTTTATTACAAAATCTTCATATTCATCATTAAATATTTTTTGCTAAGGAGAATCTCTTGGGTTCCTAAGCTTCTCATATCTAATTCTGCCTTCAACATGTCAAGTCTTCTGCTTTGCATTTTCTGCGAAATAAGCGTCTTAATCTCAGTATTACTGGAAAATGTCACATGACCTTCATTGGTGTATATTCTTTCTTTAGGTACCATGACAAATTACACTTTGGACATTCTCTTAATAATGCATATTCATTTCAAAACAAAATGCAGTTGCTAAGACAAGTATGTATCTTCTCATAAGTTAATCCAATGGAAACAAGTATTTGCTTAGCATCATATGTTCTTATGGAAAGCATATTATCCTCTAGTAGCATATCATTTGATAAACTTAACAAGTTTCTGAAACTCTTATCATTCTATACATTCGAGGCTTTTAAGTTATAAAGATTAAACACCACACTCAATCTTGTGAACTTTGCGCATCCACTGTACAATGATGTTTCTGTATCATCTTTCAACCTCTTAAATATCTTTGGACAATCTTTAAGATCTTCTTTAACAATATTAAAAATGGCTTCAACATTATCACCCACATCTCTAATTAATTTTTATGAGTAATACACACTAGATTCCATATTATGTGATGTACTCTCACTTTGTATCTCATCATGCTTTGTCCAACAAGTATATTTTTCATTAATCTCATTACATATTAGATGTTCTTCCAATTTTCTTGTATTTATTCACATCATATTCAAACACCACCAACAAGGGTAAGGAATGAGGTTGATATTAGTAGCATGCTATATTGCAAATCTAATAAATTATTTCACTTCATCTTCATATTCTTGGTCAAACAATCAACTAACATCCAACTTCGATTCATATTTGCTCCAACTATACTTACAATAATTACATGAATCAATGTCTTATTTTCTCTTACATCGTAAGACTTTATCCTATTTGGGAATAAAGTTTTCTATGCATTAATTAGCATTTGTATTTTATACTTGGCAAAATTTTGACAGTATTTCGCATTAGTCTCCTAGTACACAACTTGAATGTGGTATCATTTACCTCAATCAAGCATGCACCAAGAGAAAATTACACTTGTACTAAACTAAAATTTTGTCAAGTATAACATGTCAAGATTTTAAGAAGCAATTGTTAATTATTTAATGAAAAACTTTGTTCCTAAACTGTCTAACTTGAATAATTTGAGATTCAAAATAATGATTTCTTCAATCATTATTTTGAATCTCAAATTTTTGAATTCAAATCATAAATTTAAAGTAAACTTATATTACAATTTACATTCATTCACAACATTTCATAAAGCATAACAATTTGCATTGTCATGTGTTTCATCAAATAACAAACATACCACAAATGTGTTTTCATGGCCTAGTTTTCTCTAGGGATTATTTTCTAATTTCATTTGGCTTTGTTATACCTAAATTCTTACCCACATTACTACATAGTGCGAAAACATCAAAACTAGTCTTTGGTTCTAAATACAGCTTCAAACTCTTTAAATCTAATCTTATTGCTATCCTCACTCTTGCTAGCTTAATCATCCTATATGTTTGTCATTAAGTTCTTTGCCTTAGTCATGAAAATGTTCATCAATCTTAACTTGCTTCTCTAATTCAATTTAAAACTTTTCATTCAGGGAATCAATTACGCTAAACTTGCAAGTCATCCTCTAACTATGGGACTTTGTAAGTGTATTTATTTAGGTAAATTCTATGATACCCTTAAAAACTTTTAGAGTATTGTACAGGAAAGATTTTCAACCAATATTACTTAGACACATGTTTAAGTGAATTTTATATAATAATAAATTATATATGATAATATATATTTATTATAACTTTCCTCATGTTTCTTTCTTATTGGTACAATTTTTTGAAAATGATATCCATGAAACATTTTGGAAGTACCACAGTGCACCATTTATTTATTCCATAGTTTGTGCTTAATTTATGTTACATGCTTATTTATTCTACAACACTCAATTTTGTTTCTTCAACTAGCTTTTACTTTAACATTCTTTGTTGGTCTATTTCAAGCTTCTCTTGGAATCCTAAGGTAATCATTTTTATATTTTCATATTATGTAATTTTTAATTCTTTTCAAATGTGAATAAGTATATAACCTATTATATTAAATTATTAAATGATAGGATTTATCTTTTATTTTCTATCTAAGGCCATCTTAATTGGGTTTATGGCTAAAGCAACTATACAGGGGACTAGGGTATCTTGAGAAATATATTAATTGTTGGGATAGTTCAGAGGGCAAGTGTACCCATCGAGAAGTAATAAATGGTTCTTAAATTAAGTTTCCAAAATATCGGTCCACAAGAATTGATTTTCAATTACTAAGAATTTCCTAATTCAATTGTTTAAGCTTCAAAGATACGAGATTAATTAAAAACAAGAATTTATAAAATCAATTATAAAACTAAGAGTAAGGAATACAATGCACATCTTGGTTAAACTTATCAGAGAGTGTAACATCCTGCATTTTGATTTAAATAAAATGAGGTTTGTTAAAGTATAATTAGAATAGATTTGGATAGAATTTATATTAAAAAAAAAAGTGAACGGTAAAACTGCCTATGTACAGTGACGATGACATCATGGCTGACGTCACATCTGCGTACAGTACGCGTACAATCCATGTACAGTACGTGTGCACAGCGTTTCTGGAGTGAACAGTGACCGCGAATAGTGTTTTCGGCGTGAACAGTAAATTCCAAAAAATTTCTATAAAAAAGGGGTTTCATAAGAAATTTTTATTTCTTCACTCCTATCCAAAGTTCTCAAAGGTTCTAAGGCTATATCTCACCATTTTCTCCCATACTAAACCTTCTAAACTTAGATTTTTCTTCAGATCTGTGATTCTACGTTTGATCTAAAGGATTTCAAGTAAGTTTCTCTAAGTTTGAAGTTAGATTTACCGTTCGTTTCTCTTCTTCTTCTTCTTCTTATAGATGTTCATGATGTTCTTAGAAAAAACTCTGTTCTAGAGTTCAAATCTTCGGTTAAATCTTTGTAAAAGCTCTGTTTTGAGGTAAGGGGGCTCTACTTTATCATTTTGTTATGTTTATTACTTGTATTCTTATAGATCTTGTCATATATGTGATTATATGTGGAATAATCTTTGTTTTATGAGAAATAATCAGTGAAAAGTGAGAATAATTTACTGTTTATGTAATCTTATGATGAATACATGATGAAAATGTGATATTATGTTCAAATAGGGCATGATAAGGTATATTGAGAATGGTTGATATGATTTTGTGATATGAAATATACAAAGAGATGGATGTTTCATGTTTGAATATATTGTGTTTCATGTAAAAATGATGTGTCTTGTGAATATGCCATGGTTTGATGTATATGATGAAAAGTATGTGGAAATATGACGAAAAATATGTGTGAACATGAGACATGACATATGTAAACATGTGAATATACTCGAAAGACTATGAGATGAAAAAAGGATATGATGTAAATAGTTACAGAGATACACTGGGAGAGTGAAAGATGGAGATGATATGGAATATCTTGGAGAAATACAGGATGGTGAGTGACATTCGGGATTGTGCACAGAATATTGTGTTCGAATGCACCACATGGCCACACACTCATTTCTTGACTTAACTCCTGACCATTACCTTTGCTAAGGGGTTGTCTATTGCATACGTTGTATCCGTATTGCATTGGGCCATCCGGCGACTATTTACATAGATGTGTAAGATCTCAGGATAGAGGCATCGGATAACTGTGGCCACAGGGCGCGGTAAGCGCGGATAAAAGTAAAGAAAATGTGAATCTGTGGAATATAATATGTGTTGAGATGAGAACATGCTTTATATGACACTGTGATATGTAATGCCATGATGTTTTCTTTAATCGTGATAAGATGTGTTTTGTGATGAATATGTGTTATATATGAGTGGTAGGGCAGAGACTCACCCTTACACAACATTTTTAGGAAATCAGGACGAATAGTACTAGGCTCACAGTGCATGGATGGATGAGAACTGCTATAGAACTTAGTTATTTTGAGTTATGTAATGAATATTTTTAGTTCTATAGCATTCTTTTGAAACAATTGTAAAACTACTATTTCTTTTTGTTGCTGATGAAAATTTTAGAATCTTTGTTTTTCTAAAGTATTTTTATGAACCTTATATCATTTCATCGTTTCTTTCTCATTAGAGAGTTTTTGAAAGAACATTTACTTTAGCATTTAAATTTTTATGAGAATTTATCATATATTGAGGAAAGAAATATAAGGTGTTACAGTTTTGGTATCAGAGCAGTTCATCCAGACCATTGAGGTCCTTTGTTATGGTGGATAATGATACTAATTTGAGATGTATAGATTTTGCAAGAGTTTGTCTATGCACAACGGATAAAGCTTTTATTAATCAAAATGTGAAGGTGAAAATTAATGATTTGCTATTTGGTATTAGGATGGTCGGGGAGCATGGTGGTGAATTTTTTAAAGGTTTGTATGAAACACAGTTTCCCTTTCAAAAGACTCAGTTGATTTGAATTATGTGGAAAAGTATAGTTCTGATGACAACAACGACAACCATGAAGAGATAGCAACGAGTAGAGCTGGTGAAAAAAATGGCCACAAGCTCTGGTGCAAAAATGGCAGAGAAAGGGAAACAAATTAGTTCAAAAAAGTTTGGAACAGAGAATAATTGTGTTAATGTTGCAGCAGATTTTGTGAGGAATGTTATGGAGGATATTGGGAAAATTAATGAGGAATTGGTTACGGTTGATTTAAATTTGAATTTGTGAAGTAACAAAGATTTGGTGGGCCCAACTTCTTGTATTGCGTATGAGACAGATAGGAGGGAAGTGTGCCATACGGTTGGGGTGGATTTGGCTACTAATACTGATAATAATGAATTGGGTTGTAAAATTCAATAGGAGTTAGGTGTATGGCAAATGGGTTTTCAAGATGAGAGGCTCATTACAGATTCCACTAGTTGTGTGGTTTTGAATGTGGGGAAAGGTGATGTTAATAGTAATAAGGAGGATCGTATGAGCTCAGTTGGTGGTACCAGTAGTAATAAGGGGGCGGGTGTGGGTCGAGTTGATGGAGCGCATGGTAATGGGTCCATATTTATGTCAGATGAGAGTATGGATAAGGTGATTCATGATGGTGTGAATATGGGGGAGGGTGATGTGCGTAGCAATGTTGAATGCTCCTTCTTGCCAACCACATCTGCAACTTCAGGGGCTTCCGTTTTAGCGACAGAAGCTTATCATGATGCCAGCATAATGCAATTTGAGGCTGAAAAAATGTCTAGTGTCAATTTAAAAACAAAAAGGCATCCAATGTCGAACAATCGGGAAAAATTAAACATGAGGGGTGTGTTGAAATTAGTAAGACAGAGGAAATAGGGATCTTCATCGAATTCGTGTCACAGCTTGCATTCTTTTAAGTTACAAAGGGAATCAAGAGGTGCAATACAGGCTTAGAAGAAAGTCAGAGTTTTTGAGGTTGTCCCAACGAACTAGTTCAAAAAGACAAAGATCAGGTTCTTATGCAGAGAGTGCAAAGACGACTACTTCAGTGGCGGGTGGGGTGAAAATTGCAGTACGACATATGGCAGAAAAAATATTAGAGGTTGGAGAAGAAGTGGGACTTCTGGTGCAAAGGAATAGAGAAGAAGTGATTGATAAAATTATTGATTGGGACATTAGAGATAGATATGTCATGGCAGCGGCAAGGGGTGTGGGTGGTTCCTCATGAAGTTAATTTCATTCAATGTTAGAGGGGTTGGGGGGAGGGTTAAAAAGCGATGGGTGGCAGAAATGGTACAGCAAGAGGGTGTTGATATTTTACTTCTTGAAGAGACAAAGTTAGAAGTTTGTTCACGAGAATTGTGTCGCCAACTTTGGAGTGATGAAGATTTTGATTGGATTGCGTGGCCTGCAATAGGGAATACTGGTGGAATTCTTACTGTTTGGAATATAATGATAGGTAAATTACGGTATCATTTTTGTGGGTGTCTGTTTAGAATGGGGGGAGAAGAAACAAATTATAATGATTGTCAATGTTTATTTGCCTTGCCGATTGGTTGATAAGAGGTCCTTGTGTGCTAATTTAATTATGTCTAAACAGGGATTTGGTGATGGTTTATGGTGCGTGCTGAGTGATTTTAATGAGGTGAGAGTCTGAGAGGAGAGAAGAGAAGGAATTACGGGTGGTGATTCATAGGAGATTGCAAAATTTAATCAATTTATTTCTGATATGCAAGTAGTAGATTTATCGCTGGTGGGTAGGAGGTTTACTTGGAGAAATGGAGATGGAAGTGTGATGAGCAGATTAGATAGAGTACTTGTTTGGGAGGATTGGGGTGAGGTTATAAGTAATCCAATGATACAGGTTATGTCGCGTGATGTGTCTGACCACTGTGCACTCTTAGTTAAGCATAAGTCATTGAATTGGGGACCTAAACCTTTTTGGTTCAACAATTGTTGGCTAGATCACAAGGAGTTACGAATTGTTGTAACACAAGCTTGAAATAAGGATGTGGGCTTACCATGGCCAGCACAACGTATTAAAGGAAAGTTGCCTAACATTAGAGCAACATTAAAATTATGGAATAAAAGTAGTTTTGGAGATGTGGAAGAGAATATCAAAATTAGTACTGCAGCGTTGCATGACTTGGATATTAAAAGTGAAATGCAGGGTCTAACAGCAGACGAAGTTATACAACAGAAATCTCTAGTGGGTGATATTTGGGCTGCTCCACATAGTAAGGAAAATCTCTTAGCTCAAAAGGCACGGAAAAAATGGTCTAAGGAGGGTGATTGGAACTCCAAGCATTTGCATGCATGTATAAGAGGTCGTGGAAGACACAATTAAATTTTGACTTTATATGTTGAGGGGCGTTGGCTTGAGGAGGTGAAGGAGGTGAAGAGGTATATTTTGAATTTTTTTAATGATCATTTTGTAAGAAGGGAGTAGGAAAGATCGACTATTGATAATATTAGGTTTCCTGTTGTAATGGATGGGAATAAGGTGGGGTTGGAGGAGATGTTTTCTGTGGAGGAAGTGACTAGTGTGATTTGAGAATGTGACAATGACAAAAGTCCAGGACCAGATGGTTTCAATTTTACCTTTCTGAAAGCATTTTGGGATCTAGTGAAGGATGATGTGACTCAAATGCTAGTGGAATTTCACATGAATGTAGTTGTACTTAAAGGTTTGTTATCTTATTTTGTCCCATTAATTCTTAAATCTAAAAGTCCATAAGGATTGGGGGATTTTTGGCCAATATCTTTGTTGGGTTGCTTGTATAAAATCATTTCCAAAATGCTCACTAATAGGATGAGAGGGGTGATGGATGATATTATAAATGATCAATAATCGGGTTTTGTACTGGGTCGAAACTTATTTGATAGTGTGCTTGTGGCCAATGAAGTGGTGGACTACGCTAAAAAAACAAGGCGAAGTTGTTTTGTGTTAAAAGTTGATTATGAAAAAGCATATGATTAGGTGGATTAGAGGTATCTATTATATATGCTACGAAAGATGGGGTTTGGAGAAAGATGGGCAAAATGGATGGAGGCATGCATTTATGGAGGTCATTTGTCGGTTCTTGTGAATGGTTGCCCAACGAAGGAGGTGGAGATTGGCAGAGGCCTTAAACAAGGTAATTCCCTTTCACTTTTTTTGTTTTTAATAACGGCTGAAGGTTTAGGCAGTTTGATGCGAAGTGCGGTGGCAAAAGACTTTTTTAAAAGGATTAAGGTGGGCGAAGGACCAGAAATTTCATTGCTTCAATTTGCGGATGACATGTTGTTGATAGGAGAAGCAACTGAGAGAAATTTATGGACAATAAAGGCAGTGTTACATTGCTCTTGAATTAATTTCAGGTTTGAAGGTTAATTTTCATAAGAGTTGTTTGATTGGGGTGAATGTGGACCAAGATTTTCTGTTGACGGCAGCCGCTTTTTAAATTGTAAGGTGGGGACTTTGCCTTTTCGTTATTTGGGGCTGTACGTTGGAGATAAGCTTAGGCATAAGGTGGCTTGGGAGCGTTTGTTGGAGGTTTTGCGTAATAAATTGGCTTCTTGGATAAATATGTTTCTATTAGGGGAGGGTGACTCTTCTTAATGTTGTCCTAAATAGTGTCTCTTTACATTATTTGTCTTTTTAGAAAATGCCTCCGTCTATTGTTAAAGAGGTGGTGAAGATTCAAAGACGTTTCTTGTGGAGTGAGGTTAAGGAGTTCTCTACGATTTGTTGGGTAAAATGGGATCAAGTTTGTAAACCTATAAAAGAAGGTGGCCTTGGGATAAAGAAGGTGACTTGGTTCAATATGAGCTTATTAGGAAAATGGGTGTGGCGCAGATTGAAATATCTAAATTCTTTATGGGTACAAATTCTCAAAGCACGTTACGGTAAATTTTCATCAGTGATGAGACATAATGGTGTGGATCCAAAAGCGTTATATTGATGGAAGGATGTAGCCTGGGTGTGTCAACAAGCTAATTTTTGGGTGGATATTAGTTTAAACTGTGTTATTGGTGATAGTAGCACGATGAGATTTTGGGTGGACAAGTGGGTTAGAGATGTTGCTCTTGCAGAGATTTTTCCTAGACTATTTTTTGTGCCTGCAAACAAGGAGTCCAAGATCAGTGAAAATGGTCGATTTGTTGAAGGTGTTTGGATGTGGAATTTCCAATGGCGAAGACAAATCATTTTCAGCAAAAGAGGCAATGATTCGCAAATTGATAGGGCTCATTGGTGGTGTACAGCCATGACTAAACATTCTAGATATGATAGTGTGGAACTGTGATACATCAAAGGCATATACGGTGAAATCTACATATAGTTTTTTGCATAATTATGTTTCTGCGGGTTCAGCTTTTGCTAACGATATGGTGTTGGCATTGCGTCATATGTGGAAGGCACTGGTTCCCAAAAAGGCTAGTGTGTTCTCTTGGCAATTGTTATTACAAACTTTGCCGATACGTAAGGAGCTTGTGAACCGCGGTATGCTGTTGATAAATGAATCTTGTGCCCTGTGTAATCATGATGATGAAGAGATGAAGCATCTATTCTTGCATTGTTCTATTTCTAGCAGTATTTGGTATTCGATTTGGTATTGGTTAGGCTTCTTTGCATGTATGCCAAAGTGTTTAAGGATCTTTTATTGGATATGTGCGATTTTGTAGGTGGGAAAAAGAAGTGGAGGTATGTAGCAACTATTTGGATAGCCATGATATGGAGCTTTTGGTTACATAGAAATAAGATTGTCTTTAATAATGATGTGTTAGATGATGGGGAGATTATAGATGCTATCAAATATAGGTTCTGGAAATAGTTGTCGACAGGTTTAAATCAAAGACAACTAGTATATATAAATTGACAAACCATTGATGTGTATTAAGCAATTGCCTTAACTTTGTATATGGGTTGGAGTATCCACGGTACTTTTTTTTCTTAATAATATGTTTTTGCTTATAAAAATAAATATAAATTTGTTATTACTATTAATTTATTATCTCTGTTGAAGAGATATATAGATATTTCATTTTCAATTTCTGTTTATGTTTACAAAAGAATATTATGTTATAAAAAAAATTTAATAAAAATACTAAATTTCCAAAATAAAAGTTGTGATACACCATGGTTATAATAATTATGCTCATTTTAGATAATATTAAGGCGGTTGTTTGTTAATAAAAAATAAGTATTTTGTTTAAAAAAAACTTAGGTGCACATAACTAGTGTTTATATGTAACTTTTACTAAATTAGCTCTTCAATTGTTTCTACTCTAACATTCAAGTGTCTACTTAAATAATCTATTTGTTGATTTTCTGCACTTGCTCAGTGAAGCTTCTTTTAAATTTAGTGCATATCTGATTATTTATTTATTTCTCTCTAATATTACTTTCTCTTCAGACTTCAAACTTCAGTGCCACCTATATAACCACATATGTTAAATTTATTTATTTTTTCCGAACCCTCTCATATACTGTTTCCAATCCAACCCTGCATTACGGGTAATTGTTCATTTTCTTACCAAAAAAAAATTGTAATACTTTTTTTAAATTCTTGATAATTGAATCATATTGAAACTCAATTAATTCAAATTCGATCAAATGAACTTAATTAAAAGGATACTTTTTTAATATTTATTTATTTATTTATAATATATATATATATATATATATATATATATATATATATATCACCACTTAAATCAATAGGTATTATTGATGATTATTGGCCGGCCATTTAATAAGAAAAAGAAATTGAGGCTAATTGTATTCGTTTCGTTATATATTATATGAATGTATCTTGCAAGGAACCTATCAAATTATACATTTTGATTTAAAGCAAATAGATTATTTTTTAGAGAACTCATTGAACATTTGAATCCTTGGACACACACCTTTTATCTGTTAACCTATTTCTTACACAAATAGACAATAAAAGTATAATTTTTTTAAAATCAAAGATTGAAAAGGAATTTTAACGTCACTTTCTCTAACCTTTAAAAAACAATGCTAATACAAAACTTTTGTTTTCTTCAAAATTTATTTTCATTCACTAATAGGAAAAGCACTAAAACCTGCTTTTTTCTAAGTTTTTTATTTCCCAAAATGCGTACATAATTATTATAATTTTTTAAACATATTTCAGTTAAGAAGGTATTTTAAAAAAAAAAATCAAACAAGCAGAAACTTAGTTCTTCTAAGTTTGTTAGTTTGATATTTTTTTTCCATATTTTGATTATTTCCATTTAATCCTTCAAACAAATCTATGCACCATATTATTATTATTATTATTATTATTATTATTATTATTGTTATTATTATTATTATGTAATTTCTTTTTATATATAATATTCAGTTACTTAGTCTCCTAGGCTTTTTCCTCTCCCTTTTCTATTGGCGTAGTTTGTGAAGTTGTAGCATCCTAGATGTGACAAACTTGTTCAAGATCCGTGTTGAGTTCTGACCACACATACAAACACCTAAAAAATTGGCAACCACCTTTGAAACACTGTCTATTCTCTTTGCATTATTACCGAATAAGGAAAAACCTGTTACTGAGTGAAACTTCTAAGTTTTTCTAAATGAAAAGCGTAACACAATCTTAATCCAAACACATCTTGCACTGTAAAATCTCAAAAGCCATACCCGGCCAATGCAAGATTATGCTGCTCCGTTTTGATGCAATAACTACAGGTACTACATGGTTTTTCTCCAATTTGAAGGAAAATAGTGTTGAATATTGATTATTCGAAATGTTTTATGGTGTCTAAGTTTAAATTTATTTGGAATATATCTATGTTGAATGAGAATGTTCGGGTATCTATTGTCTAATCTGATTCAAGCGCCTAAAAGTTAAAAGGTCTCTAACGGTAGAAATCTCTTGTATTTGAATTTTGAAACACTGAATTAAATGGAGTGAAAAAAATTCTTAGAAAACTCTTCTTTCTCTTGTTTTTACAGTCCAAGTCTGAAATCATGGGGTATTCCTAAACTTAAAAGGACTCAAAACCCACTACAAGAAATCATTACATGTATAGTGATTATAGTTATTAAAAATTATAAATTTAAATATAATAAATATCCAATAAAAGTTTACACATGAAAATTCTAAATGAAATTAAAATACATCATCAACATATTAAAATTATAAAATAAAAAAAATAATATTAAATTAAACAACTAAAATAGAATAAAAAATGTTCTCATGAATTCTAATCCTGCAGATAAGAAAGAAAAAAAAATATTAGTAAATACAAATCAATCAATTAATAAATTTTTAAGAATGTAACTAAATAATAATTAAGTGATAATAACTAAAATAATCAATAAACTTACATGGAGCACATGAATCATTAAATAACTTGTTGAATGATAATTCTCCCAATAAGATAGTCCATTAACGTTTTATCTTCATCTCAAGGTCTTCCTTCATTTGTTTCTGTTGAGATTCAAAAGTTAATTTTTGAGCATCAATCAATTCACGTTGAAATTGTAATTTAATTTTCAATTGAAAATTAACTTCTTCTTATTTTCTCGAAATATCAGTCAATTTTTCACTTCTAATTCTAAATCATCTGCTTTCTTTTTTGCATTCTCAACTTGATTTTCAATGATTTTTTTATTTATATAGTCACTAAAATTAATTTTTTTACAATGTTTGTAATATAAAATTAATAAAAAAATAAAGTAATTGATATCAATAATACATAGATTGATTTGTAATCAAAACTAATTTTAAAAAATTATATTTTATTATTATAATCTATTAAATTTATTTTCATATTTTATTATAAATAAAGATATATTAACTTTTAGTGAGAAATAATTTATCATTGTTAATGTCATTATTGATTATTTGACCTGTTAAATGAAAAAATCAAACTTAAATTTTTAAACAAATTTAAACTTATTAATTATTTTTTTAGTTTCTTTTACCTTAGTGTAGTGTGATTTTAGATCATTTTATTTAACTATTTATTTTTAATTTTTTAGAAGTTTAAATTAAGTTTACTTTAAAAATAAGATTTTTATTATATATTTTACAATTTGTTTTACTTGTTTATATAAATCAATTAATAAAATATTATATTTTTATATAATTTTTTAATTATCAAATAAAATTTTAAGATAACAAAACTTAATTTAAAAGTTTTTAAAATTAAATAGACTAAATATTAATTTAAAAAATTAAATTTAAACACTCATAAAAATATAAAGATTTAAAATATAATTAAATTAAAAATTTATTAATAAAATTATAAGTATTAATTTTATATACATATTAATAATGAACTTAAAATAAAAAATAAAAATAAATTTTTAATATTATATATTATTAATAAATTATTTATAATTAATATATTTTTATTATTAGTGATGATTTTTAATTAAGTTATTATTAATAATAATATTAGTGACGATATAAAAACATTTGTCACAAATAATTAATTATTAATGACAAATTTTATATTCGTTACTAAAATCTAACCACTAAAAATCACATTTCTTGTAGTGACTCGAGGGAATTTGGCATATGGTGGAGAAACTCTTCTTTCTCTAACATATTAAATGGCATATGTTAAAGAAATTATCAGATACTCCCAGAGTCATACTGTAGAAATTTTATAACTATTTATATCTCATTTAATTTTATTTTGTATTTAAGTCAACCACATGTCATGTGGTACATTTTAGAAGAGTAACGTAATACTCCTTGAGCATATAAGAATCTCTCCACACAATGGCATTGTAGAGAATTAGTTTTGTTTGTGACGATTGAGATGTCTTTGCTTGTAATAAATCTGAACTTGGTCTGAAAGCTTGGAAAGTCTTTCTGGCCTCAGTCCTCACTTCTAAGATATTCTAAGAACAACCATCAAAATCAAGAAACAAAATGGCAGAAGAAACACCACATCAACTTGTAACGTTCTAAACTTCCAAACCTGATCTTGAGTATATTTCGTAAAGACGTTACCAGTTTGAAGTTTTTGTGATTCTTTCAGAGATATTGATGCTTCCTAATCCACTGTGTGCATTCCACTTCCTACTTGGACTACGCTCTTCATAATATTGTTTAACCTATGATTTACTCGCCATATATTTAGCTATTCAGCATTTAGGCCAAGGAAGGTATTACTTAAACATGATTCGCATTTAAAAAGGGAAGATAGAGAAAGTAAATCATATTCTAGGCAGATGTTTCTTCGGAATACAATGTATAAGTATTAAATAATGGAGTCAAATTGGTTCAACGGATTTTTCTTACCAAAGTTGAAAGGGATACATGCATTTCACTTATACCCATTTAAGTTGTTGATAATGTGCACTGGCACAAGTATAAGGCGTATGTATTTAATGCCAGCCTTAGGAAAGAAGGTCCACTCACTCTGGCTTGTTCAGTTTCTTATTTTCTTCAGTATGACTTGTACATCACGTTTTGCTGGCTACACAATTATTGCTATCAAAAGCACTAGTGAAAGGCCCCTTCTGTATAATCCAAAAAGAAAAGGCATTTGTTATAATTATATTGTGCATTCTGATTAATGTTTCATTTGTGTACGTGCAAATTTATGCCCCGTATTTTTGTGTGACCATTGTAGGACAGAACTGAAATGGATCATAGTCTACAGATAATACAATAAAGAAAAGAAGAATGACTCAAGCAGCAGATTAGAGATTGAAGTCTCCTCTGATGTGTGGACTGGATGCTGACATTCTGTTCTAAGCATATATGACTTCCGTGATTACAGTTGTACAGTGGAAGTTTTGATATAAGCGTAATGGATTTCAGTGAGGGTTATGTATCAAATGAGCATCGAGAGCTTCATCGATCAGCAACAGAAAGTGCAGATCCATTGTCTGTTTCTCCATTGCAACTTTCTCCGAAGTCCCCAAGATCTCCCAAATCTCCAAGGTCTCCAAAATCTCCGAGGTCCCCAAAGGTGCAAGGCAAGTGCAGCAATCTAAGTCCAAAGAATCATAGACAATCATGTTCTCAAAAAGATGGACGTCCAAAGAAAGGTTTACCCATTGAAGTTTTCATTGCCAATTACCACTTTTTAATACCTGATAACTATTTCACGAAGTAGCTAACAACAAATATATGTGGCTAGTGACGGTCATAGACCTTTGGTGCTACTTTCCCCCATTTATTCTTTGGTGACTCGTGATAATTGGACATAACATTTGAATGAGGTAAATAAAAAAGTCACGGTTCTCGTGTCTGATATTTCATGACTAACATAAGGGTCTATAACTTTTCATATTAATTATTCTTATCTAAGTAGTTGGAATAATAGAATACTCATTTAACGTTCAGCTTTGCCTTACTGTCGCAGGCAATGAATAGAATAGTCTAGTTTTAGTGTTTTATGACAATTCAAATTACATGATACGATATTTGCGTTCCTTAAATTCGAAAAGCGACCATTTTATCCTACTCTCATTGTGTAGGTGGTTCCGGGGGGAAAGGTACCTGGGGTGGATTGCTTGATGCAGATGACGCGAGCTTTCTTGATCCTAGTGATCCAAACTATGACAGCAGTGAGGTATAGAGTTATGATTTATAAGTATCTTTTAATAGTGTTCTAAAAATATATGTTTCTGTAACACCAGCACCCATTAAAGTATATGTGCTTTTTGTAGGAATTTAACCATTCAAATGAAAAGAAACCGTCAACAGATCTCGAGAACTACAAGAAAAAAGCTACGATAATAGTGGAGGAATACTTCGCCACTGATGATGTTGTTGCAACAATGAATGAAATTAAAGAATTAGGGAAACCAGAGTATGGTTACTATTTTGTCAAAAAACTTGTCTCTATGTCCATGGACAGACATGACAAAGAAAAGGAAATGGCTGCTATTCTGTTATCTGCACTTTATGCCGATATATTTGATCCTCCACAAGTTTACAAAGGCTTCAGCAAATTAGTTGAATCAGCAGATGACTTGATGGTAGATATACCAGACACAGTTGATGTTCTAGCACTTTTTATAGCTCGTGCCGTGGTTGATGACATACTTCCTCCTGCATTTTTGAAGAAACAGATGGCCTATTTAACCAAATATTCAAAAGGGGTAGATGTCCTGAAAAAAGCTGAGAAAAGTTATCTAGCAGCCCCTCTGCATGCGGAAATCATAGAGCGGCGCTGGGGAGGTAGTAAGAACACCACTGTTGATGACGTTAAGGCTAAGATAAATAACTTTTTGAAGGAGTATGTTGTAAGTGGTGACAAGAAAGAAGCCTTTAGATGCATCAAAGATTTGAAAGTTCCTTTTTTCCATCACGAAATAGTGAAACGGGCTCTTATAATGGCAATGGAGAGACGTCAAGCAGAATTCCCACTACTAGACCTGTTGAAGGAAGCAGCTGAAGAAGGTTTCATTAACTCTAGCCAAATGTCTAAAGGGTTCGGTCGGTTGATTGACACAGTTGATGACTTATCACTTGACATACCAAATGCACGTGGTATACTACAGCAACTAATGTCTAAGGCAGCATCTGAGGGTTGGTTGTGTGTGTCATCTTTGAAGTCACTTTCAGTGGAGCCCGAAAAGAACTCAATAGAAGATAGCGCTGCCAAAAGTTTCAAGGTAAACACTCAATCCATCATTAAAGAGTACTTCTTATCAGGTGATATATTTGAGGTAAATAGTTGTCTAGAACAAGAGAACAGCAACAACTGTACTGAACTCAATGCAATCTTTGTTAAAAGATTGATAACTCTGGCAATGGATAGGAAGAATAGGGAGAAGGAAATGGCTTCTGTACTGCTTTCTTCATTGTGTTTCCCAGCTGATGACGTTGTAAGTGGTTTTGTGATGTTGATAGAGTCAGCAGATGACACAGCTTTGGATAATCCTGTTGTTGTTGAGGATCTTGCAATGTTTCTAGCTAGAGCAGTGGTTGATGAAGTCCTAGCCCCACAGCACCTTGAAGAGATTGGAACACAGTGTCTGGGGCCAGATTCAATTGGGAGCAAAGTGCTTCAAATGGCAAAGTCGTTACTAAAGGCTAGACTTGCAGGAGAGCGAATCTTAAGGTGTTGGGGAGGTGGGGGAAGCAGCAGGCCTGGATGGGCAGTTGAGGATGTCAAGGACATGATTGGAAAGCTGTTGGAGGAGTATGAGTCTGGAGGTGAAATAAGGGAAGCGTGCCGCTGCATGAAAGAGTTAGGAATGCCATTTTTCCATCATGAGGTTGTTAAGAAAGCTTTGGTGACAATCATTGAAAAGAAGAATGAGAGGTTATGGGGTCTACTTAAGGAGTGCTTTGAATCAGGACTAATAACCATGTATCAAATGGTGAAGGGTTTTGGAAGAGTTGAAGAATCTCTTGATGACTTGGCTTTGGATGTCCCTGATGCTAAAAAACAGTTTGAACACTATGTTGAACGAGCAAAGGCTAATGGATGGTTGGATAATTCATTTTGTTACACAAAACTGGAACATGCAACAGAGAATGGCACCCACTAATTATAATGTGGGGAAAATCATCAGCAATACTAGTTTTGCTTTATCTCCTTTTTCAAATCTACACTTGAATCAAATGCATACAAATGTAGGCATACATTGGCATGCCTATGCATGCATAACTACTTAACTAGCTTTTGTAGCAAACTTAAAATTTCTTTACCCCACTATTTATTATTCTGTTTGCTTGTCAATTGCCCCCTTTATCATTGGAGCTTACAAGCGATGAAGTTGCTTCGTACAACAAATTTCGGTTCCAAATAAATGCACGCACATATATATAAATCCAAGCATGCATTGAATTACCGAGTTTAAAATAATCCAATTCGGTATTTTTGCGTAGGCAAATTCTTGAATGTGTTAATTGATCAGCAGCCTCCATGATAGGTTCTTTGATCTATGCTTTCTATTATGACCTAGATGGATCCATAGGGTCAATTAACATAATCGATCACATAACTGTATGTGGCACTGTGATACACTGCTCACTTCTGAAGCTGCAGCAAGGATTAACGAAAGGCACAAGAAGATAAGAAAGTCAATTCATTGGAGTTGAAACCTAAATAAAGTAAGATTAAGATTTTTTAAACCGTACATTGTTCTATTTTTAATCTGTTTCTATGGAAATAAGTTGATCAAGAGGCAGTTCACAAGAATTTGTTGGGAAGAATGAACAAGGGACCTGCAATGTAATCTCTGTCAATATCTCATTTGTTTTTTGCACGCTTTTATGCTTATACTCAAGTCAAGCATGCCTTTTGTAATGCATAGCATAACGATTTTGTATGCCAATTGCAGGGACAATTTTGTTTTTCTTTGAAAAACAAGAAAAAATGAAGCTCTAGGCTCTAAGCTAGTATTCTATATACATATATAATTTTGATCTCAACACTCACATAGATCCAAATGTAGAGGTTGTACAAGGAAGACTTGGGCAGAGAACTTTGATGTCTTTTAACATTTTAATTATAAGTTATTACATAAATTAAATACAGTAATTCAACAGTCTACTAGAATGGAAAGATGACTAGCCTTAATGGACAAGCAAAGTGTATATGAGAGCAAAGCTGAGTTCAGATCAACACTATATCTTAACCCTTGTCTTGAGTAGAAATGACAAAAGAAAAAAATAAGAGAAAAGTATAAGTTGAATGACCCAAAAATTGGAGCTTTAAATGTGTATACAACAATAAATTCTTGAAAGAATAAAGAAAAGGCATGAAAACTGTATCTACAAGATAAAATACCAATAATGTCATTTTTTGTTTTGTTCTCAATTTTTATACAACCTACATCAACCGTTGGCAACATACTCCTTCATAGAATTTTACAAAAACAATTTCCCTCTCATTTAGTTGCCTCCATATTATTTGTCACACAATTTTTAGAAATATTCATAGAAACATTTAGTATTTTCTTAGCAAAAAATAAATATTCAAAGTGTAACATGAGAGTACTTAAGCGAAAAAATTAAAAAAAAAGAAAGATAATTCAACTGTGGAGCTTTAGGAAAAGAAACGTTTAAACCTACTTAAGATAATTCAACTAATGATCTTTAGCATAAAATCCACAATTTCCCATCTATTGTTAGCATTACATTAATTACCCCTAATATTATAATTAGGAGAGAATCTTAAAAGTCAATTTAAATTGGTGTAACTAATAAGAACTTAGCAAAAAAAATAGTAAGCTTTATCAAGTTTATAAGTATTTTCGGAAGCGAGCCTTTATAAAAGATAAGGTGTACAAATTAAATATTTACTCATACGAAAAATTTATTTCATTATATATATTTTTTTAATAAATACTCATTAAAAAGTTGAACAACTAGTGAAAACAAAAATGACATAGATATGATTGTGTCAACTTTTTTTTTTTTTATCAATTTTCACTCTTTTTTTTTCTCATTTTTACCTTCCTACTTTGATTCATCAAGCATCTAGTCACTAGCAATAATAAAAAAAATAATCTGAAAAATATTTGCAACGACACAAAAAATTAACAGCTATTGAAGGTTCTTAAACATGAATTATATCTAGTTCTTATGCACCAATGTTTGGATATTTTCCCTGCTGTTAATTATTTTTCAATCACCCAACCAACATACTAATGATATTACTAGAGAGTGGAAGAGGATGAGAGAAAATCATATGTTTGGAAGAACTATAAACCATATCAAAACCAAGACTTCTCAATGATTAATTAGTAAAATATAAATTGTTACCTACTAAGGCGTATGTGCTCCTCTGAAGACTAGAGAACGACGCAATACTAGCTAGCCAAGACGATTCCCAGAGAAAGTTGCATAGTATAATATTTTTATTTCCACTCTAATCAGGAATCACATATTTGAGCAGCAACAAAAAGAAAAAGAGAAATAATATGTAGATAGATAGACTATACTGGCTGAACAAGAGGATCTAATGTTACACCAAATGTGACATCACTTATTATCAACCTATAACATTTATGATGATATAATTAATTGACAAAAATTGTCAATTTAGACAAAACTTGAACGTGTATAGAGAAATGCGTAAAACCCTACCACAAAAGCATCAACGCAAGCCCATTCACCAACCATGTTTTTTCAGAAAATCTTTAGTTCGCTTCCTCGTGCGGGTGAAGACAATAACTATACAAGCCAAGATCCATGGAGGGAAGTTCACACCAGAAAAGTTTAATTTCTTCATCCATTCTGGAGTATCCCTCGAAATTAGTGTTATCATAAGGGTTATTACAGCAACGCCAATCAAGATCTTGGTCACTGGTTTAACTAGTGAGTCCTGTAAAAGAAAACTTTCAGCTAATGACAATATTACATGAACTACATATATGCTTTTATTATGATTACATGAACAGCTCATCATAATCAGATATTTAACATGATAATGGTGGTCACATCGGTAGTATTTCAACTTAAAAAGAAGTGTAGAAACGTATCTACACCACTTGTAAAAGAAAATACATAATACATATGTAAAATCCTTGATCAGTGAGGCAGATTTTATAATTTGATCATAATTTTTTCTAGGCATTACACGATGCTTGAGGGCTGAAACCCAGAGTCTTGTTGCACGGAAAGAAAACGCTGTTACAAAATTCAGTTAATGAAAAGCATGATAAATATGATCTAGAGAGAATGGACAAACCAAATTTTACCATAACATTAATAAAAATTATCAATCTAAAGCACTATGAACCTCATAAAAGATTCAATTTTATAACTACAAATATATGATATCACAAATATTTTAGCGTATCCAATTGAAGAAAGCCTTTAAGAGGGAGCAATAGGCTAAAACACAAGTAAAGCAGTAACCCAATCCCTGGACCCTAAGGCATAATCCCCATTCATCCGGTCCTACTCCACCCCACCAGTCCAGCTACAACTCAGGCAACACCAAATGCCCACACTCCTAACTGTATAGTGCCTGCTCCCCTGACCCACCAGGTCAAGCAGCTTGAACATGTAGTGGCAAGGTTAGATACGTATAGGTCAGTCATAAGTGCACAATAGTTATAAGTATAACAGAGAAGCAATGACAATCACGAATTAGGGACTGTTCTGTTACACAACCCAGCAATCAAACACCCCCTACAAACACCAAACAAACTTCAGAGGATGATTTCAGCTCTCTAAACTGCATTATTCTCAGCGTGCCACTAACAGAGTGTTGGGAGTGTCTTTTATAGGTAGGCACATTCCCCGTTGTGGATTGTCAACCTTTGGATACTCCAGCATCATACAGCTGGTGGTCAACCACTCTCCCAGAAAGAGAACAGAACTATTCCATACAAGAAACATTTTGTCACCATGACCTCTCATAAATGAAGTAACTTTAAGCTCTCAGATTATTACAGAAGCACCCGTGGCTAACACATAGGGACCATTGCCAATTATGCCTCTGGTAACACAGCCTGTGCAATTCATATATAAACGATTACGGTGCTTCAACTTTCTTCTCTATACTCCAATTAACCATGCCAAGAGACCGAAAATTTCTACAAAGTGCTGCCCTCCTTAAAGTAAAGACTAAAACATTTTGGACAATTGTCAGACAACAATGTTTGAATTCTTCTTACTGTGGCAGCCAATTTAACTGAACACCATTGAAATTACTCCCAGCAGTCAAATATATTGGGGTTTCTTTACGCCCACAAACTTTTCTTGAAAGTTTTAACAGAATCCACTCAATATTCACAAATTAATTGAACGTTCTTTACTTATCCATAAAATTAGATTAAAAATTAATACCTACATAGTACACAAAAACCTTTTAGCTAGACTAAACTAGACCACACAGAGCGTTCTTTTCTTCCTATTTTAAAAAGCAATTTAACTAAAATCATTAAATTTCCTGGCTTTCCATCATAATCATTAGTAGACACACAAAATCTCAAATCCCCCTTTTCATTCAGATCCCGTCTCCTAAAACCCACTATTCTAAAACACTTACAGGCTGCACCCATCCAGAGTTCCAGACCCAATATCGAAACAACAAAATCTCAAACCACATTCCCCGTTCTCCCCAATTTTTTCTTTCTCAGAGAACTCATGAAAACACCTACAACCAACTAAACCGAAACAACCCAGTTGAAAACAAAAAAGATCAACGAAAACATAAAAAAGAAAAAAAAATGTTAACAAGTTCCCAGTGGAATCAAATCAAAATAAAAACTATTAAAATACATTTACTACTGATAAGAACAGGAGAAACACAACAACAAAGCTAACCGTTGCAGTTGAAGAATCCAAATTCTTATAAATCCCACACTAGAATTTTATACTTTCAAAGTGTCTCTCAAGTTCCATACCGTGCAATTGGGTCCTAACATCTATATTAAATATTTGAACTATTATTATTTTGTCCAGCGCCCTTTGGTTCAAAGAAAGAGTGGAAGAAAAATTTTGCCGGAATAAATCGGACATATTGTTTAATTTCATGGAAAAAGAAAATTAAATAAATAAATTTACAATAATAAATACTTTAAACACCTAAGCAAAACTATTTTCGAGAGGAGCTAAAATTCATTAACAAGAGATTCCAATTCCTCTTCTCAAAAAATTTAAATCAAACACGAAACATTTATAAACATGTCTCACCAAACAAATACTAGATTCAGCTAATTAAGAAAAATAAAACAGAAAAAGGAGAAAACAACGAACCTTAGGTTCTCCATCAACGTAAACGACAGCACCATCCCTATAGGTCAAGAGGGATCTTCCGTTTCGAGGGTTGAAGCGGACCGGAACGCCACGAGCACCGGCTTGAGGGTTGAACGCGTAAATGGACTTGAGAGCGTGTTTTTCGAGGATGTCTCGCACTTCCAATTGATCTTGTTCCCAACCACCCAACGCTGATTTGAACGCCGTAACGGGTCCCTTTCCCTGACGGTACAGGTGGATCTCCACCTCAGGCACCTTCGTTCGCACGTGCCTCCTCTCGCTCGGGTTGTGGGTCCCATCACCCGTCGCCTCCATTTCCTCGATTTCTCCCACTGCGCTCGCTTTTTCCTCCTCCATGCTTTGCCGCCTGATGCTGTGGGACTGATGTTAATTATATATATATATATATGTTTCGTTATTGGAATTTTACGTATAATTAACTAGTTTCTTAGAGTACAGATATTTTACATATAATTTAATAATTAAAAATAAAATTTTATAAATATGAAACATTAAAATATATTATCAAAAATTAAAAACGTAAATCGTAAAAATTAATTTTATATAATTATGAAACTATTCAAAGCGTAAATAAAATTTTATAAATATAAAAATAGGTATTTATTAAAATCTAAAAGATCAACTGGGAATTTATTACGTGCAATACACCGGATATGTTTATAAAATTATAAAATCTTAAATTAAAATTAATTTAATTGATAAATAATTGTTTTATTAAATTTAATTTAGTGTGAAAGTTAATTATACATATGATAACACATAAAACACGTGATTTTTTTTAATAAATAATACTAATAATACTATGACTTCTTAAAAATCATATTTTTTATTTAAGTCATATACTTTGTTATTTACTAACTCTATTTTGTTTCTTTATCTATGTTTGGATTTTTGCTGGCAGAAAATTATTATATTACTGTATAAATATAATAAAACAGAAAAAAAAATTCATCAACTAAAATGATAAAGAGGGATAAATAATGCTGTCCATTATTAAAATTTATTTTGCATTCCACTCCATTAAGCAAAAAATAAGAAAATATAGTAAGGATTGTAACAATTTCATAGAAATACTTAGATAGCATCTTAATGTATATGCCTTAATGATAAAGATAGAAGTCATTTAAGTTATTGAGAGTTAATAGGCAAAGAAATAAAGGATGAAGATTATAACGCTTAAAAAAGGTACCAAGTAAATTACTAACAATGAAAAAAGAAAAGAAACAAACGGAAATTAAAGAAAGGAAAAAATCAACCTGAAGAAAAGAAGAAACAAGTTATGTAATGTCAACGCATAAATCATTTTTATTTAATTGTTATAACTATTTGTTCATAATTTATATTCGATATTGTAATACTTAATACATCATTCTTGTGTACTTATTATGTTCATTTGAAAGTTGATGATTGAAGTTATATTAAAGGGATGATTTCATATAAAGTATGATTGAAAATTTGTTACAGTTCAAACCTATTAAAAACAAAAAGAGGCATTTTATTATCATCAAGATTTTATCTCACATTTTCTCTGAGGATTCTTCCATTTGAAATAAATAAAGATGTATAAACGTAAATATAAAATGAATGAAGTTTCTATTGTTGAATGGCTTGGGAGGACTATAAATATTACTTATCTATCCTTATCAAGTTTTCAAATCAATGACAAAATAAATGTTTTTCAAAATTTTATGGCAAATATTAATAATATGTAAAAAAAAATTTAAAAAAATTTATGTGTTGCCTTGTTTAATTCAATAACTTCATAACTAAATAAATAAATAAATATATATATATATATATATATATATATATATGTGAAAGAAACTTAAGTTTTGTCCTAACAAATTAATAAATATAGATTAAGTTCAATTTAATGTGATAGCAAACTAATTTATTTCAATTTTTATAAAATTTTCAAAATTTGTAGTCATAATTATTTTTATTATTAAATTTTCATGTTAAGCCTATCTTTTATCCAACTATTCGACCTACTTTAAATAATACAAAATTATAATCACAATGTTATAATTACAAGAACTTATCATTAGAAACATCAAAATTTAGAAAAGTATTTGATACATAAAAGTAGATATAGAAATGGGTAGGGTATGAGTAGGATACTATAGTACCCATTCTCATATCTGCATAGGTATGAACATTAATTCTCATATCCATACTTTTTAGGCATCTGCATACTCATCTTGTATCTATTATCTGCGTTTGTTTGAGAAAAAAATATTTATAAAAAAAATATGTTTATATAACTTCACATAAGAAGTATAACAATACAAAAATTTAATAAGTTGTTGCCGAATAAGGTACAAACATAGATAAAAAATTAAATATTCAAAGATCACAAGTGCTAAATATATCTTAATACAATAATTTTCTAAACTAAAATTCTTGAAAACAATAAGCGAAACCAAACACACAAGTTATTTGTCGGCAATGACCCTATCTTGTGTGAGATTAAATTGATTGGGAACATCAGAGTGACAACGAAATAAATCTGCACAATAGGTGGCGCGCCTTTCTTGTGAGATCAGTTAGTGATATCTTGTAACGGCATTGACAATTAACTCTAACGAATAATGTTTCATAATTGTTAAGTCTTAATGAGAAGTTCAACTACTAAACGATAACAAAAAGTGAATATATAAAAAAAATTTAACTTCTAAATTTGAAATTATAAGAAAAATAACGGATTTAATTAAAATAATATAATATATCATACTAGTATTTTTAACTCATGCACTATACGAAAGTATTTTGTCAAAAATATAAATTTTTTGAAAATTATTTTAATGAATTAAATATTTATAATGTATATAAATTTTAAAAGAAAAATTTAAATAAAAGATAAATGGTCACAATAAAATTTTATAATAAAGAAATATATGTGTATATAAAAAATTATACTTTTTTATTTGAAAAAAATATTAACAAAGAAGAATTAAGAATATTTTTTTTATATTTTATATCTTTTCAAAAACTTCTTTCAACGTAAATAAATGGTAAAAATAATATTATTTAGATTCAATAGATTATATTTGTACTTGTAATGCACATGTTGTATAGAAAAATATTATTTTAAATTAAAATATAAAAAATAAAATTTAAATATTATCGATAAATAATAAGTTTATGGTAATAGTAGGTGATTGTAAAATTTATAAAATATTTACAATATATTTATTATTTATCATTCACTTTATAATTAAAATATCAATATGATTTTATTTACAAAAATATTTGTGTGAAAAATATTTTATATGTATGTCATATATAAATAATATTTTTTTTAAAAGTCAATCTCATATCAACCGTGTAATAATTAAATTATATTTGTCAAATTAAACGATATAAAATAGTAATAAATTTTTTTATTAAAAATATAAGTCAAAATAAATTTTTTGGTTTACTTTATTATTAAAACTATTTTTATATTAATCTTATATAATTTCACATAAGTAGTATAATAATACAAAAATTCAATATATATATATATATATATATATATATATATATATGCGGGTATAGGGCGGAGTGGATACTTATATACCTATATCAGCACTCATACCATTAAAATTTACGGTATTTACACATACCTGTACCTATGTAGTAAGTAAATATTCTACCCATTGTGAGTAAATTCTACATGTACCCGTCAGGTACTTTACCCATTACTATTCTAACATAAAAGTAGCATTTTTGTTTATCTTTCATTGTTGAAAATTTTGCTTTGTACAGCTTAGTTTTCGAATATGTTAACTTACATTTTGATCATTTTCTCAGAAAAATTTAAGTAAAATCAGGGTACAATATAAACAAAATTAACATATTTGAAACCCAAATTTCACATGACACTTTCAAATATCAATTAGTTTCTTAAAGGACCAAAACGTTAATAATGTAATACATTTGAGAACTAAATTGTTAAAACAAAATAAAGATTAAATAAATAATATATCACAATTAGGAACTCATTTGTATTCCACACTAAAATACATGAACATGCTTGTTATCATACTCTCTTTATCTAAAGCTTAATATATACTTCTTCATGTGTATGCCTATAACAATGGGCAGCAGAGTATATTTAATGAGTGAAAGAATTACTAAAGTCAAGATGATTGATCTCTAAAATATATTATTTTATAAATTTTTTTATGTATGAAAATAAATTAAAACATATAAATTTTACATCATTATCTCGTATGAAGAGTTGGCTAAGTGTTTTAAATTAAACATACATTCAATGCATTTGTTATTGTAAGATGATGTATATGAACTAATAATCTATATAAAATAAATGGGTTAACTCCTATTTTACTCCCTAAAATATGCAATGTGACTAAAGTTAGTATTTAAAATTGCATATTTGAAAATCTAGTCCTCGAAATTAACATACATTTCAATTTAGTCTTTGACATTAGTAGACATTAAATATAGGTAACAAATTGTTATTTATCATATTAAGTGACTTGTAAATATCTATGTGGACTTCAAATAATGTTTTGTAGTTTCTTCACATGAGGTAAGCTTTTTATTCTTGAAACATCACGTTGTATTCTAAATTCTTCTCACACTGTGTAAGTTCCTTCCTTCTTCCTTCAAAACTATTCGTCTTCTTTACATATGGCCAGTGCTAGAAATGTGTCTCATTTCTCCAGAAGTAATAACAAAAGAAGTCATCTAACTAGTTCTTATGTTTGTTCGAAGAGATCTTATTCCAAAAGATGGTACTGTGGCTTAACTGTTGTTGTGAAAAAGTCAAAAACTAGTACAAATCTAAGTAGAAAGGGACAAGGTGAGGTTAATGACTTTTGATGAACTAATTTACTAAGAATAAAATTGTAAGATAATGAAAGTTGTATAATATTTTTTCAGGTTATTGGTTATTATGAACACTTTTGTTGGGTTGATGATGCAATAAAAGCAGACAATATCTATAATACCCTAAAATTTTATTAATTCTAATTAGTTAAAAATTATCAATCTAATTAAAATAGAATTAGACATTACATGAAAAATTATAACAAATAAGCATTTTCTTCAATATTTTTAATTCTTTGTGTTGCATCTCATTGGATTCAACAAAAACATCTTCTTCACTTTACCATAGCCTAATACATGGCAAAAATTATTTTAATTGAAAACATTTCATCATTTCTAGCAGGTCAAATTTCAACTTTTTCTTCTTCGTACTTTATCTTCCATCATCTTGTTCAACAAACTTATTTCCATGATGGATGTGATTTGTAACAAAGTTCATTCTACACACAAAGTAATTAACAAATAAATAAATACAGATTTTTAAAAATCTAATACATCACGTGAAAACTAATCACAGTTTAAAAACCTAAAAATCCTAAGAGGACCACAATTAACCTATATAATAAACACAAATTGTGACTTTTTTAAATATAAATATTTAATCACACATATTAAAAAACAATAAAGTGAAAGACAAAAGTGAAATAAGGGACCTCTGTACATACCTTTCTCAAAGCAAGCAAAGAAATACGACAAAAATGGATGAAAACATAAGTAGTTGTTGTCCCATACAAAGTAAGTTGATGAAAATGAAATTTGAATGTGCAAGAACGACTAAATTCAAAGGGAGAAATCAAAGAAAGTGAGGTTAGGGTATGGTGCAATAGATTAATTACTACATAATAGTTAATTTTTAAGGACGAAAATGAAGCATTACACGACACACAATTATGACATTAATTGGAGTCTAAATGTCACTTAAAGTCTTGTTACTTATTTTTAGTGTCTCTTAACTTCATGGACTAAACTGACTAACGATTATTAATTCTAAGGACTAACATTTCAAAATCATTATTATCATCATTGAATTCATCTCCAACTTAGCTCAAGACTTCATTTGTATTCAACTCTAAGTCCAATAAATCATAAATTTCTAAACCATCTGTACTAGATGAACTTTTATTATTCATAATCCATTCATCATTAGATGAAAGATCATCAAGATTAGACTTCATACATTTTCTAGATTTTTTTTTCTTGGCCAATTTTGAGTTATACATCACCTAAACAACATCATTCATAGTTTTTTGTTTCAAATGGTTTCTTCTTTTTGTGTGGACCTAAAATATATATAAATGCAATTAATTAATAGTAAGTACAAGTAATAGGTAAAAAAATGAAATACCATTTATCATAATTTTAAAATTTTACCAACTCAAAAGCACTCTAGTTATGCTCACATTCAAAGGAACTACATGTCAAACTCAATATACGAATAACAAATCTTTTGAAGCTCTGGATATTCATCCCTATAAGATTCTCACTATTGTGTTGGAGTTTTGATATTAATTTTAAGTACATTTAAGATTGCCTTGCTGCAAAAAAAAAAGTTCTTCTTTGCCTTAAAATCTCGAAGTTAAGCATTAATCTTAGTAATTTCTTTAGCATTTTCTACCATCTTTTTTATATAATATAATTTATGTTTAACTTCAAAATTAACTTTAAAACTAGAACTGTAGTGTAAAATAAGGTTGAGGTAATAGCATGCAATGGCCATGTAGTTGGTTGTCTCATCTTTCATTAATGACATTTCATAAAGGAAGATAACATATAGATGAAAAAATTTAATTAATTTTTAAACAAAGATAAGCAAAGTTTTAAATTACAACTGAAATTAATAATTTATTTACCTTCTTTTACTATCATTGAAGGCCTTTGCTGTCTTCTTTTTAACTCGATCCATTTCCTCATAAATGAACCCATAGCTAATATTTCATCTAAATCAACCAAACATATAACTTTGATTAAAGGATATGCACTTTTTAAGCAAATATCTTTTCAAAAAATTTTATCTATAATCACATATTTAATAAACTTCCCATATGTTGATTTAGCATACCAACAAGTCTTCCATTGATTAGATGTGAACATATTTACTAGTGCTTCCTTATGCTCTTGAAGACATCCTAAAGTAAGGTAAGACATACCAATGCAAGTGATGTTTGGTCTCACACTCTTGTAGTTTATTGTATTATCTATCACAGTTTGGACCACATTATCTTTTAGAACCCCCTCTATAATGTCATCCATCATCTTAAACAACTTGTTAATTGTTTTAGATATATGAAATGAGATGCAACAACTGAAGTAATATATATATATATATATATATAGACACACACACATATATAACAACATGATCTAAAAACTCTTACATTCAATTTAAGTTTTTTATTTAACTTAATTTAACATATTATAATTTATTACTTTATTAACTGTTAGATATAAATTAAATGAAAAGTACAGATCGAGTGTAGAAGTTTTTAGACTTACACTAGTATGACCTATAGAGTTTGGTTGTTCACTAAAAAACTCTATAGTTTTCTTTCTTCTTTTTTTGTTGGTATAGTCATATGTCATTATTGTGCATCTTATTTTCCTCCATTGTTCTTTGTGTGCTTCAATAACTTGTGTGATCAAATTCACATGATGCATCAAATACTTACTCTGATTTCATGATAGGAAGGTGGCTTGAATTGAACACCATATTTTGTAACAGATTCCAACATCTTACGCCTATCTTCTTAAAAATATTCTCACTGCTTCTCAGCTTCAATCCCTTTTCTTTTTTCATCACTTTCACATTTTACTCTTTGAGACTGATATTTGATTTCTTTATTAATTTTTCCTATAATAAGGATACAACTTACTACATTTCTTTCTTTACTTCATTATTAACTAAAGTGCAATCACTCACATCTTTGTGTCTAACCAAATGATGTTTCAAAAGATAAACCTTACCACTTATTAGTTTTTGACAATATTTGTATTGTATTTTTTGTATATCTCTATTCAACATTTCATGCTACCACGTCACATCACTCCTACTTTTAAAAGCATTTTTTTGCATAAAACCTGTAACAACTACACTTATAAAGCTGCCCACTGAACCAATATAAATACTACCAATGTCAAATCAAAACAACTGTACTAGTTTTCGATTGTCTTTTCTTGCTTGTAGGTACACCTTTCACACACTTGCAGACATTTTGAAGGAAGACAAAAGCAACATGGAAATATTGAAACAAAGGCAGAGTAAACAACACAACTAAACTAACTCACTATTCAAAAACTCTCAAATGGTGGTTGCGTCCAAATATAATGGAGAAAAAGGCAATTTAAAGGAGAAAAGGACAAGGAACGAAAAGAATGGACTCATAGTGTCAAGTACGAAAACAAACACAGTCACAAGGTGCATAAAGGTGGTAAGAGAAGTGTCTGAAAAAAAAAAAACTACACTCGAGTAAAAAAATTGGACAATTAAATGGATTCAATCAAATTTTTCAAAAAAATGAGTCGAAAGTGATCACGCTTAAGATCGCACAATCTCACAAGAAAAATCCTGTAATTAGCAACGAATCATAATATTATACAGTCTCACGTGTTTAATCGCAATTTTGACCATCATGATAATAAACATAATGACCCATAAGGAACTTACATACATGCATCATATATATTCGAGGTAATTTTTGTATTGAATTATTCTGTTGTCTTATTCTATTTAAGAATTCAGTAGTTTGGACAGCATACTACTTCCCTCTTATCATTTTTTACTTAACAGTAACTATGAACATGCATTATCGCCCCTCCATAACTTGTAAACTCTTACCGAAACAATCCTTGATGGAACCTAATTTTATATATAAAGTGCTGTTGATATTTATTCGGTGAATTGGTGATATTTTTTATTTTTTTAACTTCAACTAATTAGTCTCCATGCGATAAATATGCCACTCAACAATCTGCAGTACAATTTACATAAAATCTGGGTGAATATCATCTTCGACTCTTTGCTCACTAGTTATGGCCTCTAAGATGCTGTTGTTGCAAGGACCCGAATGGTCCTTAAAGCCCCTCTTCCATGCAAGTTCTAAACTGTCATTGTCCTCGTTTAAGTATTCGTTCCATTTGGAGGCTCCCCTGCTGATTGTTGTTTTGCATTTTTCAGTTCTCTGATTATCTGGCGTCACATAATTATTTTTCTCAGCATTGCTTTCAGTCATTGATGTAATTCTTTGCTGATCTATCATTGGCTCCTCTGCATGAATTTGAATACAGCTAATGTCACTGTCAATAAATCCTTTTATAAAATAAAATTCTTTTCTTATCATATTTTCTGCCCTCCCTTCCATATCTAAGCTATCTGTAGTTTCAAAAGGAAAAAGCATGGATAAAATGTTATTTCATCTGCATTGATATTCGATCCCATTCTTATCCGCTCAACCTCATTCTATTTCAATAATTACATGAGTGGTGATAGATTTAACCAGTGTCCAAATTGGTTTTTTAAGTTGCAAATAACAGTCCAATGCTATATGTTAGTATCATTAAAAGCATATGATTATTTGGCTTTTCTTTTCCCTCAATCTCAAGTAGGGTAGAAGTTCATAATATATTAAATAGGCAATAATTTTCAATTTTTTTCTGCTCTTCAATTAAATGCAATACATAAAATCTGTTTTTTTTTTTTTTTCTTCTATGCTATGAAGTGATTGTCACACAAACAGGTAGAATGAAGGCATATGCACCTTGAGAGTTACGGAAAAGTGGCTTCTTGAAAAGCTTGGCATTCCCTGCAGTTGAATTCTCCTCCAATCTGCGTTTCTTGAGTACTCCTTTCGGCAACTCAGTCACAACCAGAGGCTCGAAATCATTTCCTAATCAATTAAATGCAATCAAATTCATCAAAACCAAGCCTAAACGACCACCCCACAACGAATCAAAAGTTATTAAAATAAATTGTCTCTTAATAGAATCAACTACAGTGAATCAGCATACTAATTTCTTTACCCTTTCTCCCACAAAATGATTTATGATTATGCCAATTAATGAAATTAAAACCTTTTCATGTCCCCTTATCTTTATAACAGTCCATGTGGTCACACACCAGAATTTAACCGTGATGATCACATACTTTAATTATACAATATAGGTTTCAGGCGGAAAACATGTTAATTTTTTAAATTCCTATTTAATTTTTAATCTCTAAATTTGATAAATTCAGTATATCGTGGTAACTTTTTTAAAGGACTAAAAATTAATAAAAACTAATTTTAAATAAATCAGAATAGAAACATATTTAAACATATAGTTTATAAATAATTGATCTTAATATTAACCACCATGGTCTCGTTCTTGTTCCTTGACGGTGTGATGATCCTCTTGGTCGAGGTACGCAGACCAATCGTTCCTCTTCTTTTTCTGGGTGATCTCGTCATCGTAGTGTTCCGGCGCCGGATCTAGGGTTCCGGCGAGTGGCCATTCGCCGTCATCGAGGGATTTGCGGGACATATTGAAGCTCTGGACGAACTTGCGGATGTCCTTGGCCATGAATCCCTGAGCGAAGACTTTTCGAACCGATTGCTTCTCATTGCAGACTGCGCAACTCCATTTGTTGCTGCTCTTCTTCTGCTGCTTCACCTGAACACCGTCGTGCATCAATGGAATCAGAATGTGTTATTGTGTGTGTGTGTGTGTGTGTGTCAGAGAGAGAGAGAGAGAGAGTGCCTGCATGGTAGAGCATTGGCAGCATTGAAGGGCGATGAAGGCAATTGAGGACGAAGACATTGGATGCAAAGGAAGGCCCTGATCTGTGGTGGGGTGTTTGAGACGTGTAAAATTTGGACGGAAAATTGGGAACATTTGTCTTGCCGCCTAATTTTTGAATTTAACCCATTCTCTTTTCTTGTCTCTTGTTATCCTCCCTTTATGTGTTTTCCTTTTGGTCAGGGTGCGGATTGGAGAAATAGCAATATGGAACTACCTCCTTTACTCGTAGGAATGCAAGGTAGGGGGGTATAAACATTAATTCTGTATCCGTACCTGGTATTAGTATCCATACTCGTACATGTTATTTGCAATTATTTTAAAAAATAAATATTTATAAAAAATATATTTATATAATTTCACATAAGTAATATAATAATATAAAAATTTAATACATAGTTGCTAAATAATGTACAGACATAAATAAAAAATAAATATTTAAATATTACAAGTGTTAAATATATTTTAATACAACAATTTTTTAAATTAAAATTTTTAAAAATCATAAGCGAAATTAAACATTTAAATTATTTGTTGGCGATGATCCTATCTTGTGTGAGATTTAATCAAACAACAGGAATAGAACAATGAGGTGACCTCTCGTGTGAAATTACTTGATAACCTCTTTTGGTAGCGTTGATAACTAACTTTAATTAATAATGATTCATGGTTGCTACAATAAGTTTGAATGAGGTAGACATTAAGAACGAAAGTAGGGTTAAGATAGAAAAGTTCAAGTACTAAATGATAACAAGAAGTAAACACATAACACTTATTTTTTTTACTTTTAAATTTAAAATTGTAAGAAAAATAATAGATTTAATTAAAATAATATAAGATAATATATATATATATATATATATATATATATATTAATACTAGTATTTTAACTCATCTTCCACTAATGAATGTAAGAAACCCTAATATTGAAAATTGTGTTGATAATACGTGGTGCTTTGTTTTATAGTTTGTGTTAACATTTGTTATGATGATGTCTTCAATAATAGGTTCATCCCCTCCGATGTTTACTGTGTACTTGTATCATGGAGGACACATTTTGAAAGCACTAACAAAAAAGAAAGGTATTGGCTAACTTATGTTGCAAGGTTAAAATACACAATGTCTAATTGTGATCCTAATGAATGGTCCTGCAAGAAATTACTAAAGTTTTAAAGGGGTTAGGGTACAAAGGTAATGTATAGATCTTCTATCGCATACTTGGAATTCGTCTTGAGGAAGGGTTAGTTAAGGTATATAATGATGAAGGGGCAGTGAAAATTGATGAAACTGTTATGAGTATTATTGCTCAGGAGGTGGAAGTTTATGTTGTGCATTTAGGAGTCAGTTGAACACCATGAACCTTGTCTACCATTAAACATATCCAAATTCATTTCTATCTCATTGAACTTTTTAGCTAAACTTTCCACTATTCCCATCACAAAGAACTTGATAATCTTCAAACAATGAGTAGCATAATTTCTTTACATTATTAATTTCAAAAGAAGATGAACTTCTATAGAGCTTGAGAAAGAAGTATTCTAACAACTTTAATTTATATCTTGGATCCAAAATAATGGCAATTCCCATGATTCTGTGTATAATAGACCAATATTTTTTAAAATTGGTTACCATTTTTGTAGCCATATTTTTAATAGCCTCAATTGAACAAATTTGCCATTGTTGTAAAGATAACTTTTTTTCCACAAATCAAATGAAATAAAACATTTGTCGTAGGATATTGTATCCTAAAAAATATCTCAGCCATATGATTAAAGAGTTCTAAGCTACTACAAATTTCTTTAGCAATTTCCACTCATTTGTTGTAGGGGTACATGTATACATATGTTCTCTTGTTTTCAAATGAATAAAAAAACTCTCGTCACTCATGTTCAATTGGAATAGAGGGAGGAGGGGCAATAATAAGAATCAAAAAGGTCCATTGAAGACAAAAACTTGAAGACATTGAAAAGACTTCAAGAACCAATGACAAGGGTAAGGGTAAAGAGAATAAATGGAGACTTAGAAAATATGGTTGTTGTCTTATTTGAAAGAGAGCTTAATTTAGAGTTAGAAAAGTCCAAGATGGTCAATTATATATGCTTAAATAATTTGGACTCTAACGATTTTTATTAGGATTTAATTATTATGTTTAGTTTATTTATTTTAATATTAGTTATTACTTATTTTGAGTTTTTATTTAGGATAAAATCTTGTTATTTTATTTAGTTTATTTGAATTTAGGCTTGTTAGTACAAAAAGTCTATTAGGGTTTGTGTTAGTATTGATTTACAAGCACCAGACATATATAAGCTTTTGTAAATATATTTTTAATTAGTTTTGAATATAATTTGAGGTTGAAGACTCTTTTGAGAGCGTGTGACTCTAAGTTCTTGAGTGAGCCAATTATTATTTTTTATCTTATCAAGAGGCCAAGACTCTTGTAACGATCGTTCTTTGACTTATCAATCTTGTGATTGTAGCTTCGTTTTCCATCTCTATTGTATTTTTACTTTTATTAATTTTCTTCTTATTTCAACTCTTATTTGTGCCCTATAATTTCATTTTTATTGTGTGAAATTCAATTCAAGATCGTTTAATTCGGCAAGATGAATTGTGATTATCATTAAGCAATCGACGACGAGACTAAACTGGCTGGCGATTGTAACACCCTCATATTTATTACTTTTGTTTTTAGAAAAGATGAAGTTTAGTGCATGTTCTCTCGCTCAAGCAAGATTGATTTTTCTAGGCCAGACATTTTGGAGCACTCTCGCTCACAGATGGACATCACATATATTTATGCTTCATCTTGAGGGGGAGTTTTATCATGCATAGTTAGAAAATATAACTAATTCAATTAGTTGTTATATGTATATATATGATTAGCTCATTCCTTGTAATATAGTTCAATTTTGATGCTTTTCAATAATATTCAGTTTTCTCTCTCGATTCTAATACAACGAGAAAATAGACAGAGAAACCAAAACTTAAAAAGAAGAAAGATAAACCTATCACTCAAACAAATCTTTAATCTCCTCATGTGAAGAGCAACACCAAATTCAAATTTCAAGAACCATGGATAGTGAACAAATAAAATAGGAGCACAACCCAATGCCATCAAAACGCAAAGAAGAAAGAGGGAATTGAGAGTTGACTATCACAAGAATACAATTAAACCTTTGGTTATGGAAGTGTGTTGACGAAAGACGATAGATTCACTAGAGAACTGTTATTTAACAATTTGAATTCTTGAATCTACATTAACGGATCTTAAGTTAGAAATCAAAAGTTATTGCATTTCCTGAAACTTGATTGTATTTAGCAAAAGAAAAGAGTCATGGAAAATGCCATGACTTTGATACTATGTCAAGAAACATGGTAGATCCTAAAATAAGAAGAAAATTGAAAGAAATTGAGAAATTTTAATAACTTTTATTATTGATAGAAATAAAATAAGTGAGTACAAACTATATTATTATTTATATAGATGAAAATTTTAAGATTAACTAACATCTTAACTAACTAATTATTTTTCTTACAACATATTCAATGATCTTATATTTTCTAAGGCTATGTTTGAGAGTTAGGTTTAGGAGGGGAAGAGAGAGGAGGGAACGAGTTAGAGAGAGTTTAATCTTGTTTGGAAGTTGGTTAATTAGGAGAGAAAAGTTTTGGAAGTTTTTTTAAACCCTCCAAAAGCTTGTTTTTTAAGTTTCTCCATTTTTGGAGTTTTCTCTCTTCCACCCTTTCATACTATTTTACAAATAAAATTTTAACTTTTTTTAAAAAAAATAATTAGTTTTTCAAGTGATAATTTTTAAAAATAAAAAATAAAAATATTAATTTTAAAATTATTTATATAATTAACCCCTATCATCCTCCCTCCTCAATATTAAATATCCAAACAAGAGAGGGGTTTAACCTTCTTCCCCTCTCTTACCTTCCCTTCCTTCTCCCTTCGAATCTTTCTCTTTCCTTCCTCTCCAAACTCTCAAATAAAGCTTAAAAAAAATAAAAAATAAAAACTTAATAAATACATATATGTTACAAGTGGTCTTGTTATTTACAATTCTCTCTTCTCATTCTCCAATTTCAATGCTAAAATTTGCAAGCTTTATTCCATTTGAAGAAGGCTTGAAAATATTAATAAACCCCTATCACTACGGAAGAATTAAAAAGGAAAAATATGTGCATACAAGGTGGAAAAGCAACACTTCTTTTGTGGTGCACATTTGTCATGCTACACACATCCAACTCTGTCACATGACTACTAATTGTGTAGTACTCATTCATAAGGCTGCACAGTTTAGAATACAATACATGTTTCTTTTTTTAATTATTAATGCTTGTCCAATATGTTTCATACACCAAAAGATCATGTGTCACATTGTGAGATATTGTGCCTTTTGATTTTGTTGCACACATATAAAACACAAAAATACGTAGCTTATTTTAATAAATAATTTTTAAAATTGCATTATTTGGAAAAAAAAAAAAAAGTCCATTTCTTATGAGTCTCTTTGAAAGCTTTTGGTGGACGACTGGACATGAATGACAGGAGTTTTCTCTCTTCAATAAGCTTATATGAGGGTTTTAGACTTACAGCAAGCATGAATGACCTATACTTTGCTTGCTGGGAATAGTGCTACGCAGGAAACAAAATATTTAGTTAAATTAACTCAAAGTCCTTTGGCTGGTACTTCCCAAAAATAACTTAAAAGAACTATTTGAGTGGGTACTCCCAAACTCAACTTAATTTGATGTAGAATGTAACTTTAAAGGTACCCTTTGGTAGGGTATTCCACCAATTAAGTTATAGTACTCCTCGACTCACGTAGAAAAATAAGAATACAAATCATTATCATTATCATTATCAACTATTTACAAAGAGAGTCTATTTATACGTTAGATAAAATACTAAAAAAATCAAAGATAATCTAAATAACAAAATAGAAGATAATTCAAAATTAAAAAAACCAAATATTAAATAAGATAATTTAGTCTACGTTATTTTTTGGAGTGAGAACAATTAATCTTCTCCACAGAGTAAAAACATAGAAGTATTATAATCCAAAAGAACAGGGTTCATTTGACAAAAACTCCTCTTTTGTAATTCATGTGACATCTGAATCAAGGTGATTTTATTTGACAGCATATTCATCATCAATTATAGTTATCATGGTTGTGTAGTTAGTTTTTCGAGAAAAAAAGATTAACCGTAGAAATCTGGCAATAATAGATGCAATTTTGAAGTTTTGCAGCATGTTTTGTTTTGTGTAACAGCTTTAAAACACAAGATTTAGTAGAGACATCCGGTATGATAAATGCTTATGCTTTTATAATTTTTGGATAAACTTTTAAAAATATTATTTTGGTCATTTTACCCACACACAGCAACTTTTATCTTTAATTAATAATTTTATAATAAAATTAAAAATTAAATATCTGCTTAATAAAAACCTATAATTATTTCCTTTAAATGTGACGTATATTTAATATTAAATTTGTTGTTAACGTCAATTTAAACATATATTTAATTATGTTTGATAATTCAAAATTAATTGTATTTAAATTAATTTTATTTAATTAATAAGTTGGCCAAAAATAACGAAAATTATAGAATAAATAATAAATTATAAAAACGTAACTTTCTTTAGTCCAAACTATTTTGTAATGTAACTTTTATTATTTAATTTATATATTTTTTTAAACATACTCAGTTGTATGTTTTTAAATAGAAATATTAAAGATTAAGCATAAGAGAAAAACAAATAGTAACAAACGATGCGTACCTGACTAATAGCCTCCTCTCTCACAGACTCACAGCAAGACATAACAAATTGGTAAAAGTTCCAACTTTGTTCACCGATTCAGCCTCCTGCATCAAAATTCAAAACCCCCGAACTTGCATTCCCTCTTTCTACGATAACAAGCTCAAAACATAGGCAGAGAGAGAAAGAGAGAAGCCATGAGAAGAAGAGCCAGAGAGCTTCTTAACCTCTCTTTTTCTATGCACCCAACAATGAAGCCTTACTCTTTACCAAAATCATCATCATTATCCACTTATTTTCTTCAAAGGACTAGCACTTTCTCAACCTCTTCCTCCTCCTCCATAACCCCTCCTATTGAAGAAGCAAAGACCTCATCATCCAAGTCCCAAAGGGATTCACTGATTTTAGAACAGTTCAAACAAAGAAAACTCGAAGGGTCTTCAAAGGACTCGAAGGGTAATCCCCAAGTGCAACTTCAGTCCCATCACCAAGTTCTGATTCTACTGCTGAGAAGGTTGTCCAAAAGGGTATGCAGAATAAGAGTGACTCCACCATGGTGGTTGCAAGTTTTAAGGAGTTGGGTGTGAGTGAGGAGCTTGTTAAGGTCATGGAGGGGATTGGTGGTTTTGTTCCAAGTGAGATTCAATGTGTGGCTATTCCAGCTATTTTAGAAGGGAAGAGTTTGTTGTTGAGTTCACCATCTGAACCTGACAGGACTTTGGCCTTCTTGTTGCCCTTTATTCAGGTTTATTTAATTATATTCACTACTTTTCCAAAGGTTTTCAGCCTTAGCAACTTTCTTTAGATTGGTATAACAAGATAGTTCGATTTAGGAATGCAAGCTTTGTTCCTAATCAATGTCATAACATTGGTCGGAAGGTTTCTCAGCATTAAATCCCAAATTCGTTAGGCTTTTGTTTCTTTGATATATTTGAACTCTGTTAGGATTGACTGTTAACCATTATATTCCACTGAGAGCAAATAAATTTCTAGAGCCTCTTAATATGATCAATTTTTTTATTTTCTATTTTCTTACAATCATTGTATTAAATTAAATTACAAAACATTTCTACTTTTTGGATGTCAACTTCAGGAACGGGTGGCACATTTAGAAGCCCAAAACTGCCCATGATTAACAACATTAGCTTGATTAATTTATTTTTAATTCACTTATATGTTTTTAAGAATTAGTGAATAGATGGAGGCTGGTGGGTAAATTTGGGAGGACATAAGATTAGGAGTAAAACCTTGTGTGGGAAGGTTAGAAGATTGTGGAAGGATTCAAATCTAGAAAATTACTGCACCTTGATTGTCCAAAGATAGTTCTCTCTGCAACAGACTGAAGGTGAGAAGAAATTTATAAAACAAGGTTGAATATTTTAGTATCTATAAATTAATCAGTTAAGTACATATTTATTTATTTTCATTTTATTGACATCCGAACTGGAGAGGTGAACTGACAGCTTTTACAGTTTTTTCCCTTCTATGTTCTTTATTTTGATTTGGAAAAATCGATTAAATCTGTTAACTTGTTCAGCTGCTAAGACAGGATGGAGAATTGCATAGTTTGAATTTGAAGCATCCACGAGCCATTGTGCTTTGTGCTACAGAGGAGAAAGCTTTACAGGTGATTATATCCCTAGTAGTATATACTACCATCATCTTGTATGTTTAGTGCTGTAAGGTCTGCACCTGGAATTCAAGAATTGATTTTGACCCTAGCAAATATGGGATAGCAGTGCTTTAATGCTGCAAGATATATCATCCATAATGCGGAGTTTATCTCTGCAAAGGATTGTGCTTCACCAGATAATGGGCAGTCAGATCCCTCAATTGGCCTCATGATTGGAACTCCTTGTGAGATTCTTCAGTACATTGAAGAGGGGAGTATTGTTCCTGCTGAAATACAATACTTGGTTAGTATCACTTATAATATTGTAGTGTCAAAATCTATGTAAAGGCCCTCAGGTTACAAGTTCTTGGGAGCTCCTAGCATTGATCACACTTGTTGTCTTTTCATGTTTTCTAAGTAGGTTTTGGATGATACGGATTGCATGCTTGGTAGTGGCCTTGGTCCTAAAATTTATAAAATTCTCAGACCGTTGCAAGATCATGAATCAAAATCCACTGTCAAAAGATTGCAAACTATCCTGGCAATTTCAACAATAGCTGAGGTTTGTTGACCAACTATTTTATTTAGTATTTGGACTCTCCTTGCATGAAGGTAATATGCTTAGGCCTACATCCTGATTATGTTTCTGATTTTTCTTTTTCATATGACAGGTTTTGGGTGAACAATCCCCCCTTGTAAAGCATCTTGAGCATGATCATGCAGGAAATATTTCTGCAATGTCTTTAGAGATGGAGCAAACAGAAGTCTTTCATTTCACAGAATCTCTGGATGCTCTTAGGAAAAAAGTGGCTGAGGCCATGGATTCCCTTTTGAAATAACAGTGACATCTTGGTCTACAATTTCTCTGGCATATCACAAAAGAAGAAAAGTCAAAATAGGTTAAAATGTTCTTTCTGATAAATCTTATGAATCGTGTCTGTATAGATTGTTATTATGTTCTAACTTTGAAGTACCTAATGACCGGGCTCTCTTTCTTTTGCTGCTGTTGTTGTTATTATTATTGTTGACAAAATCCAAATTATTGGATGTGTAGATTCTACCTTCTGTGTAGGCTGAGTCCTAGTATCGGGTACTTTTAAATTAGAGGATTACAAATTTACAATGACATACATATTGCCTACAAGAGTGTTTAACTCACAGCAAAACTTGAACTCCAGCATTCTATGCAAAATGTTGAAAATATATCTTTTATTAGTGCCGTACCACTTTAAAAACAGATATTTTAGAATTTCAGCTTCTCAAAATGGAAGTTCTCAAACAATTGAGAGGACTCTCTCTCTCTCTCTCTCTCATTACGTTCTTTTAAGATTTTGGAACACCTCGCTACACATTTTCTTCTTTGCCTAAGCAATTATTGAGAAATTTTCAGAGTGAGAAGGTGGTTTAAGGGTAAAAAAGAAAACCTTACTCCAAACCCACTTGAAAACTATTATTTGGACTGCAGGTATATTCACAACTTATAAGGCTGAGAAAAATGGATTTTAATATAATTTTGAGGAAAGGTGTATTTGAGTTTTGAGTAGTAATTAAAAGTTTTCTTTTTCTTTTGTATTTTTTAAGTTTTGTTAGTATTTAGATTTGTTGACTGTTGTCTCATTTGCATTTCTTGGAGTAATTGAGAGTTGTTTAATTGATTTCTTTTTACAGTCATGAGTAAGTAGTGATCATGATGACATTTTTTTATTACTATTTTGATTATTTTGTTGTATTATTATTATTTAAGAGGGTGGACAACGATAAAGTGGTTGGCCCCAATAATATCCTTATTAAGTTTGAAAATGATTGAGAGAACAAGAAATTGAGTAACTTATTAATCTCTTTAATAAGATTGAGATATAAGAATATTTCATATGACTGGAGGATGAGTACTTTGTCCCTGTATAAAAAAACAAGAGAGATATCTAGAATTGTGCAAACTATATAGGGATTAAACTTATGAATCACATGATGAAGTTATGAGTTGTGGAAAGAGGTGAATGAGCATAGACTACTGGATAAAACAGAGATTGCAGAAAATTAATTTAGTTTTATGTAAAGAAGGTCTACAACAAAAACTATATATCTATTAAGAAAGTTGATGGAAAAGTATTACTGCAGAAGAAAAGTATTGTAGATGATTTTTATTGACTTGGAAAAGACATATAACTATGTAACAAAAGAAGTATTATGGAAGACTTAAAAATTTCATCCTCCCATCTATGTTCATTTACTGGATGCTACTAAAGTTATAGCTCACTATGATGGTAGCATTCTTTTTTTTCAATAGAATTGTATGTAAATTGTCTTTATATACCTGAATTTTCTTTTAATCGCATATCAATAAGAAAACTATTCAAATCTATCTCTTATCAACTTAATTTTGATTTTTTCATGTAACATAGAATTCTCACTTGAAGATAATTGGTGCAGCTGAACTACAAAAGGGTTTATATGCAATAGTACCAAGAGCCACAACAATTTTCACCCATATCCCTGTAGAATAAACAATGTTTCTATTATGTTTTGACCTTTACCTTTAGATATTAGGACACCCATCCCTTGAATGACTAAAACCTCTCCACAAACATGTACCTTCAATTTCTTTTTAACGTAACAATGTATATTATGTATGTCATTTGGCAAAGCAACATAAATTGTCCTTTTCTTTCAATACATCTTATTCTAGCAACATTTTTTTTATCTAATTCACATGGATATTTTGGGCCCTTTGGTTGTGAGCTCTTTACTTGTCTATAAATACTTTTCGAAGTTATTGATGGCAAATCTCGTTATACTATGCTTTATTTCATATGCACACAAAGGGGGAAGCACCAAAGCTAATGCCAGACTTGACTATATTTGTCGAGAATCAAGTTGAATCTAAAATAAAATGCATGAAAAGTGATAATGGACCCCAGTTTCATTTATTAACTTTCTATGCTAGAAAAGGACCTGTCCATCAAATGTGTGTAGAAACGCCGCAGCAAAATGAAGTTGTGGAGCGAAAGTATCAACATCTAATTAAAAGCTGCTCAAGCACTTCTATTTCAATCATATAACCCCCCACATTGCCACGAAGACTATTGATGTAATAAAGATTTCTTCGCTTGGATCTATCACTAATGTATTAAGATCCTTCACGTATATCTCCCACCAATGTACTTCAATAGCAGTAGCATATGCTGCTCACTTCATCAATCGCGTGCCTACATCAATGCTTTCAAATTAATGTCCTTGCTCTATACTGCATAATGTTAAGTCTGATTACTCTAAGTTTTTGGGTCGTTGTTATATTTTGCCTCAACTCCCATAAAACAGAGGGAAATTAGTTCCTTGTGCTTGCAAATGCATTTTTATTCAGATCAAGAGTGATATGAAAGGTGTTTTTTGCTCTTTGATCTCAACAACAGAGAGATCTTATCTAGACATGTCATCTTTTATTAGGATTTTTTTTTTTTCATTTCACTTCATAACCACGCCAAGTATTCAATTTCTTTCCTCCACCTATACCACCGATCTTACTCTAGCAAACACAAACACTTCATCTCAGCAAAATGCTTCTCGAAATACAACCTTACCTTAGCCATTACTAAATAAAAAAAAATAAAAAATAAATGGCCCATGCAGGTCTCGAACTTGCGACCTTCGCGTTATTAGCACGATGCTCTAACCAACTGAGCTAATAGGCCAGATATATATGTAAAAAAATTATATATTATTTATATAATGTTAACATTGAAATTAAATGTTCTCCAGCCAATGTCCAGACGTGTATACTAAAAACACTTTATCATTTCATTGAAATTTGACTAAAACAAATATCATTCCATTGAAAGAAAAGTTACAATAATATGTATTATTAAACAATATAAATAAAGGATGATTTTGAACGTATCATGCCTAACCACAGAATAAGGAAAGTCTTATTCTTAAATACTAATCCAAAATGAACAAGTACTAAATAAAGAACATAATGTATCGCTCAACATATTTCTAAAATATAATAATATGCTTATTTCCTCTTTAGTTTAAATTATTCCTTTGCTTTGAATTTTGGATGGGTTTATTTAACACAAGCAAAAAGTAACAGTTTGTGATGGAAACATGATTATCATACAATGTTCGGGGCATTTATTGTTAAAATGTCTCTTAGAATATGGTGCATCATTGCTTTTATGGCTTGGTCCTGAAGGTGGGACGTGACCCTTTACAAGGGGAAATAGGGGACCTGAATCTGGTTTAGACATCTTATCCCCCATTAGCATCACAGAAGCTCCTCCTTCATTATTTTCTTGCTCCATAGACCAAAATTTTGATCGATCTGAATCTGTAATATTATGAGACAACAAAGAAATGGAAGTTTGGCATCGGTGGTATTCATAATTAATTGTGATTAGTGTAAATAGATTCTTAGGAGTTTTTTGGTTTAAGAACAATTATGACCATAGATACGAGGATTTTCTATATAAAGGGAAGACTATGAACATTATTTTTGTTTTAAAAACAGTTTTCTGTTTTTTTAAAAATAAAACATAATACATATTGTATTATACATGCTCTTGTACTTTCAATTTCATTTTCTTTATAGTGCAGTCTTTCAGTTTCACTACCAGAGATATTTGTGGGATAACTTTCGAACTGCTAGAAAGAAAATAAATAGTAGCTATAGCGTATATTTGTTGTTTTTTCTTTTTGAGTCTCTTCAAACGTATGCACGTTAAGGGCATTTTTTGCTTGAACGTTTCATGTCTTGTAACGTGTGTACTATTGTCAAAATGGTAAAATAAGCACAGCGTTAAGTGATGAAGTTTCAAGTTCGCAAACTTTCTAATATGATTTTGTAATTAAAGAACTTGTATGGTATCAATTTAATTATTGAAATAAAAAAAAACTATTATTCTAATAATGCGAATAAAGAAAGGAAAGTACAAGCTTACATCTGCAATTCATAGGCCAACTACATACGGTGATATCTTTTATGCAATTAGTATAACGTAAATTGAAATTTACATGTTTGATATTAATTTTAAATTATTTACAAATTCCTATAAAAAATAGTTAAATAAAAATAGAATATTAAAATAATCATCACTCATATTAATTCTTTTAGATTGAGTTAGAATTAAAGTATAAATTTAACGTGATATCGAAGTATATTTTAAAATCTTTTAGATTATCCTTCTATAATATTGAAACAAGAAAAAAAATACTTTGATTCGTGTACTGAAAAATTCGATGTTAAATGGTAATGGAGTTGGGAACGCATACTAGAATAATATGATAGGAAAATGAAAAACATGTCATTTTCTTCACAATTGAGATGGTCCCCATACGATTTTGCTTTGTGCCTACAAAAATGCCTGAAAGCAAAAGCCTTGAGACCAGGCATGCAGATCCATGCCACGTTGCTTACCAGTGGAACAAACATGAACATCTTATCTTTGAGTTCAAAGCTTGTTGGGATGTATGCTAGTTGTGCTGACCTGAAATCAGCAAGGCTTTTGTTTCAAAAAATTGAATACCCAAATGTGTTTGCATTCAACTGGATGGTTTTGGGTTTGGCATATGACGGTTACGTTGATGATGCGTTGTTTTACTTTCGTTGGATGCGTGGGGTTGGCCACATAGGCAACATTTTCACCTTTTCCATTGTTCTTAAGGCCTGTGTTGGCTTAATGGATTTGAACATGGGGAGACAGGTTCATGCAATGGTTTGTGAACTGGGTTTTCACAGTGATGTCTCAATTGCCAATGCTCTTATAGATATGTATGGTAAATGTTGGGCCATATCTTATGCTTGTAATGTGTTTGATAGAATGGCTGACAGAGATGTTGCCTCGTGGACGTCAATGATTTGTGGGTTTTGTAACGTTGGGAAAATCGAGCAAGCGCTGGTGTTGTTCGAGAGGATGAAGTTGGAAGGATTGGAGCCAAATGATTTCACATGGAATGCTATTATTGCTGCATATGCTCGTTCAAGCGATAGCAGCAAAGCTTTTGCTTTCTTTGAGAGGATGAAGAAAGAGGGTTTTATTCCTGATGTGGTTGCGTGGAATGCAATGATTTCGGGGTTTGTACAAAATCATCAAGTCAGGGAAGTGTTTAAGATGTTTAGGGAGATGATACATTCAAGGATTCAACCCAATCAAATTACTATTGTTGCGCTGCTTCCTGCATGTGGATCAGCAGGTTGTATTAAATGGGGAAGAGAAGTTCATGGATTTATATGCCGGAAGGGGTTTGATGCGAATGTTTTCATTGCTAGTGCTCTTATTGATATGTATTCGAAGTGTGGGAGTTTGAAAGATGCTCAAAATGTATTTGACATGATTCCATGTAAGAATGTTGCATCATGGAATGCAATGATTGATTGCTATGGAAAGTGTGGCATGGTTGATTCTTCCTTGGAGCTGTTTGAAAAAATGCAGGAAGAAGGACTGCAGCCAAATGAAGTTACCTTTACATGTATTCTTTCAGCATGCAGCCATAGTGGCTCAGTGCAAAAAGGTTTACAGATCTTCTCATCAATGAACCAGCGTTATGGGATTGAAGTATGCTTGCAGCATTATGCTTGTGTTGTTGATATATTGTGTCGTTCTGGAAGGACAGTAGAAGCATATGAATTTTTCAAAGTCATGCCAATACAAGTCACAGAGTCAATGGCTGGTGCTTTTCTAAATGGGTGCAAAGTTCATGGAAGAAAAGATCTGGCTAAAATGATGACTGAGGAAATAATGAGAATGAAGTTAAAAGGACCCGGTGGCTTTGTTACACTGTCAAATATCTATGCTGCTGATGGTGACTGGGAAAAGGTAGGGAATGTAAGGAATGTGATGAAAGAAAGAAATGTCCATAAGCAGCCTGGTTTTAGTTGGCTTGAAAAGCTAGGTCAGATTCTTGAAGGAAAGAAAGAGAAAGAAGGAAACATGGCCAGTGGATTGGACATGTGACATTATATAATATCATTGGTGATTTTGTCTTTCACATTTAGATGTAAATACATCACTATGACAGTCGCGGTTTGGAACTTGTGTTCCTATTGGAAGAGTTACTCTACTCATTTTGGTTCATCTACTAATTGTTAATTATTCAACACAAGAGTAACTCGAGTTTCCAGATTCTTTTGTTGATGTCTATTTTCCAGTTTGTAATTGCTCATGATCCTTCCTTTAAAAGTGCAGCATTTGGTGATTCAGTACTTCAAAGAGGTGAGCAAAGATAAGTTATCCAATTTCTATAATTATTGGCACAAAGGAAAGACACTCCAGATTGAACACACTAAAAACAACTGTATTCAGTTGTAGCCTCCAGTGCAGAAGGGACAAACACTGATTGTCACCACCCACTTCAGAAGTTGATGTTTGGGACTGTGATGCTGCTTGATAATATATAACACAGGCATAAGTTAGAATCAGGTTTGGTTGGGAAAGCACAAGGCTTTGGGGAACAACTACACAGTGCCTTTCAGGACTAGTTAGAGGACTGACGAGAATGATCACACTAATTTGTAGACTGAAGTTCTTTGCTTTGCAGTTCTTTACGATGCATGAGTATGTAAATTCCCACAATGCTACCATTGATGTCGCTGGATCGTTTGATAATTCTTAAGGTCATGTTGTCATTCTAATTAAATTTATGATATATATTGTCATTTTAAACAATTATTAAATAAGAACTTAATTAAACTTTGTATTCAAATATATCTATGTTCGTAAATGAATGTTACCTTTAAATAGATCACATTTATCTCTGCAACCGGTGCTTGTATATAAGAAATATGATAAAAAAATAAGTAGAGTCCAATTTTCAAAGATCAGCAACGTTGCTTTTACAAAGAACGATTCACTCAAGGTAAGAAACTAATAAAGATTGTCTAAGATATGAAGAGAGTCACACTTTAAAAATCTTCTGTATAATATAACTTGGGAATTTCATAATAAGGTTTGAAATTCCAAATCTAAGTAATATTATAACCTAAATTAAAAAACACAATTTTAATTTTGTATAATTACTTAAAAGTAATCCTTTTCATTAAGTAAAAGCCAAACTTTTGTTCAACGTTGGTTTGTAGTTTGTAGAAGGGATTCCAATTCTAGAAATATAATTTTGGGTGCAGGGTATTCTTAATAAAGATATTAATCTCACAACAATATAAAAAAGAAAACACGTTAAAAGATATAAAAAACAAAAACACTAAAGCTTTTAATCGTTGTTGATTAATTTTAACAATTAAAAATTACCAAGTAAAATTTAAAATAAAATTAAAAGAAAAATGTTTATTGAATTCAAATAAATAAATAAAAAGTATGATTAGTTTAGATTCACGGAGAAAAAGACCGAATTTAAAAATTAAATTGACAAAAATAATGTAAAAGTATCTGTAATTGAGATTTGAGAAGAAATAATTTTACTTCGAAATATTAAAATAATTAATTTGATGAATCTTAAATTTCAAAAATAAATTAAAATATTAAAATATTTAATAATTTAAAATTTATTAAACAAATAAGTGTTAAATAATATATATAAATTAAGTATCATAAAGCAAAAGAAAATTCAATAAAAATATTCACACTTGTTTTTGGTATTAAAATATTTTGAGTTTATATAATATACAAGTGGACCATATTATTCATTAACTTGATTAAAATTATTTTTAATTTAAAATCATTAAATAATTAATTAAAATAAAATAAATTTACCTAAGATAGGACTTTTCTACCAGAATAGGTAAAAAAAATATTTACCACTATATATATATATATATATATTATTTGTCTAATTTTCACCCTCTTAAATTAAACTAAATAAAGAAAGTAATATAGAAAATATTTTCTATTTCAAAATTAAATAAATCCTTCTTTTATTTGAAAAAATTAATTAATTCTCAAGTTTTGGTGCGCTGTCTAGCAGTCCGGGGTAGCAACAGGGTGATGGACATCGCCAACCACTAAGAGCAAATTGAAGAGTTGGAAAACCTAAGTGCATCGCTTCCCAGAGCCAAAACAACACTAACAGCTTGCATCGGCAAATCCTCCAACTACACCATGTTTGGTTCTACACGAATCCTTTCCGACATTACTCTCCGCCTTCGTCAAAACCTATCAGTGAGTCCCTCAACACAACAGCGCTTGTTTCTATTTATCATTTCCCTTAGTCCTTCAGGGTTCTCTCTAGAACATCCTAGAATTTCACCATTTTTGTTGTGCAGCTTCGTGGCGTGCGCGTACAGAACATAAACATTGGAGGTGGTGTTGGAGGCGAAATCCCCGATAACAAGCGTCTCGAGTACGCTCTTCAGCACATCCACGGAATTGGCCGTTCCAAATCGCACCACATCGTGTGTGAACTCGGTGTCGAGAACAAGTACGTGAAGGACCTTAGCAAGAGAGAACTCTATTCCCTTCGCGAGTTGCTGTCCAAGTACTTGATTGGAAACGATTTGGTACTTTTCTTATTTACACGCTTGTCTTTTGTGTGCCTTTTTTGTTACGTATTATGTGTGTGTGATTGTTTTTGTTGTTTTTTTCAGAAAAAGTGCGTTGAGAGAGATGTGGGGAGGTTGGTTGGCATTCAGTGCTACAGAGGGATCAGGCATGTGGATAACTTGCCCTGCCGCGGACAGCGAACTCATACAAATGCCCGCACCAGGAGGAGTAGGCGAACATTTGCAGGGTCGAGATAGGTACTGCAATAGAAACAAATGAGTGTTGTGTTTCTGCTTGAAATAAGCTTTCTTAGAGACTTAGAGTGTGTTTGGATTGGTGTCAAATTTACTCAAGTCTGTATCTATTTCAATCCTACAAGTTATAGCTTTCACATTAAAACGATTTAATGGAATTTTATTAAGTTTCCAGACATATTTGGTGTTTTTTTAGCCAAATCAATGTTGAGCTTTACATTTTCAACCACCTTTGATATGCTTATCTTTGCTTTTCGAAAATGTTAGTGTCTCATATCATGTGGTCTTATTTCTCATTTTGATGGTTTTTAAATTGAAAATTTTCAATCATTTGTGTTGGTGTTACTGATGTGATCTCTTTGTAAATTGTAGTTGATCATTTTATTGGTTGTGAATCAGTTGGAAGGGGAATTTGTGTTTGTAGTTTATAGCATCCAACTTCTCATATTTTAGGTTTCCAATTTGCTGGGCTCAGGTTCACTTAACATAAAATATAGAATCTGTATTTATTGGACCAGTAAGTTCCAAATATTCCAGGTTCTTGAGCGGAGTGCAGTTTTCCACATATTCTCCCCATTTGTTGGTGATCCAAAGTTTGATTATTTGGCACTCTTGTCTTTAATGTTGATACGCACAAAATTTATGGGGATTGAATGAGTTAGTAAGCAGGGCAATTGATGTTTGAAGATAAATGGACACATTCCAAGCTACTAATTTATGAAATGAGGCAGAGGATGCTGTTAATTTTATCAAGCTAGAACAAAAATCAACGTTAAGGATTTTGTGGATTTGGAATAACTGACTCTAGTTCCTGGTAAAATCACTGAAGTAATGAAATTTCTACTAGATGATGTCATAATCATCTAGAGTAAAATAGAGCAAGGGCCTACAATAATGTATGGAATATGGATGGAGATTTGCAAATTAAAATCCTAAAATTCAAGATTTTTATATATAAGTTATTTAGAATATCTTTCCTTTACAAAGTAATTTTGTGCAAAAAAAGAAGAAAAAAAAAACCGAGTGGCTAATGTGCGATGGTTCAGACTCTGGATAATGATGAATAAGAAATCTGTTTTCTGTCAGTGTACAAAGGTAGGAATGGTTTGCATGGTTTCTTCCTCTACGTGCTTTTTGACCATTCATTATACAAGCTACTGGATATAAGATCATGATGCTATACTGTTCTGATTATGATGGGTAGGAGAGAAGAAAGGGGCCTGAACACAAACAAGAATATATTCCAAGGTGAGACTAGGGAACAACATAACTCAGTTTTTCATTTGATAGTTGTGGGATGAAATCATCCGTTCTGTTTGTACTGAATACTGATTGACTATGTAGATATCCACATTATGTCCTCTGCCAACCTTGTTCTTTGAGTGTACATTTCAACTTACATTTTCTACTTAGTATATTTTAGGAAGAAAATCGGTTCTGCTATAGAAAGGTTGAGTGCCTTGATGCTCTAAAGGTTCTAATGCAACTGTGTGAAAAAAAATTGTGTTTTCCTTAGTCTAGAAAATTACAAAAGTTTATAACCCTAATGCTGCCTTTGACATAATAAAGGATGTTTTTTTTTTTCCTAAAACATGAAAGAAGTATTCTCATGTTTGTTAGGAGACATTTTAAGGTAGATACTACTTATGATACTGATATGCGTTGAAATCAACAAATGACGCGTGAAGAAGTCATAAGGCCCATGTTAGGTGAGTGGCTTTTACAGTACATAAGGTTTTTTCATAAAGAATTCTACCTGTAACTGCCAGTCAGAATATTTTCATTGTACACCGCTGTATAAATAAATTACGAAGGAGTTTAGAAAGTGATGTTGCTGTGCCCCATGTGGGTGCATCACTAGAGAAAGTTGTCCTTCTGCAAGAGGACCATTTCTTGTGGCCCAATTAGATGTATTGCCAAATAAAACCGTCCGATAAGAGGAAGAACACAATTTCGTGTGGCCAATGAACCGTGCATCAGCGCATCCAGTACTGCTGAACCAGTGCAGCGTCCATTATTTGCGTTTAAAGAAGTGCCTTTTCTTTATTTGCCTCAATGCATCTTTGAAACCAAAGACCAGATGCTTTGATTTTATTGTGTTCACCCAAAAATAAAATTCAACAATAACTCAAATATGGTGAAAATGTCTCTTCAATCACTTTTAACAAGCTAACTGAGGCCACAGTTTGAAAGTTTTTGTTGGTGATAGTGAGACTTTATCTATTTGCATTACCCGTCAAATTTGAATGAGCATGGTTATGAGTTTTGGGATTCAATTGAGAGGCTTCCATCCTTTTCTCAGCAACAGAAGAAAGGGTGTTGAGGTTGAATATGTGCAATTGAGATGCCCATTTGCTATCCTTCCTTGACTATTATTGACCAATTTGCTAACTGATCTAAATTGATCTATACAATAACACAGATCTGTTAGTCTCTAATGTTTTTCCAGTCAGGTTTAAGATTATCCAATCGTGTTTGGCAGATATTTATTTTCATGGTTCATTATATCGTCATTATATGCTGCAAAAGGGACGTTTACATTGGTTCGGTCATCGCTAAGAATTATTTAATTTAGACGTGTGGATAGATGCTGGTACTTGCTAGTTTAACGAAGAAAATGACACTAATATTGTAGTAATTTGATTAGATTTAAAGCATGATTTTTAATGTTTAACTGTGGTTAATGAACAGGCCCGGTTTTGAGGATAGTTTAGAGGTGCGGTCGTTTAGGACCCAAACTTAAAAGAGGGTCCAAATAAAAATTGTGTTCTACTTTCATTTGAAAAAAAATTTCAGTTCTTATAGTTTGTAGTTAAAAACAATAGAAAAAATAAAAAAATCTTTTAATTCCTCGCATTTTACTTGTTATAAACATTCGACTCATTGACTTCTATAAACTCAAAACTTTATTTAATTTCAAAATTTTACTATTTTTAACATTAAAGCTCATGAATTTAGTTTTCTCTAAAAAATTAAATAATTATTGAGTTTGTCAAATCTGCAGATTGTTATTTAAATGTTTTAATTACTTATAGAATTTATTTTACTGTCCCGATGATTATATCATTAATTGAAAGAAGTTTTTTAGAGTTAAAGTTTATCAAAACCTATCTAAAGTCATAAATATTACAAGAACCGTTGAATGATCTCACAATTTTATCAATCGATAAAGAATTTTAAAAAATATTAATGTTAATGTTATTATTAATAATTTTGCATCTCAGAATGCTTGTAGAACTTATTTTTTTATGATTTTTTGTATTTTTGTAGATAATTATAACATAAAAGTTGTTTGAATAAAAAATATTTTTTTTTATAATTTTATTAGAAAAAATTATAGCCACTTAAAAAAATGTATTATTTTAATAAAATTATTAATATATGTTTTTATTTTGTTTATTATATTTTATAATTTTTTTAAAGGGCCCTAATTTTCTATTTTACCTAGAGTTTCAAAAAAGTTAAGAACAGCCTTGTTAATAAATATGTAAACTATACATTCTTATGACGTATAGAACTAATATTTGAAAATCGTGTCAACTTGCTTAGTGTCTTTGGTATCTAAAATGTTTTAATTTTTTATGAATGTTACTTAAAAAGTTTTCTTATCTATGTTTGGTATAAGATAAAAAAAAATTATGCTAAGCAATGTGAAATTCTTGAGAAACTTGAATTGTAAAGAAATTGAATTTTTTTTTTCACCTTAATAGGTGGGTATCCTCAACTTTTTCATGAATTAGAAATTTTTAGACAAAAATATCTTTTTTTATCCTATTTCACTTTATCAATTGTAAATTATTTTTGTACTTTATTTTCTCTCTTCACTGGTTTCTCTCTCATTTTCTTCTCTATAGTTGCTCTGCTTTTACTCTTTGGTAAGCATGTGTTTTTATTTTTGTTAATTTTCTTTTCAATTGTTATTATTTACCTGTGCTGTGCTGCCCCTTTATTTTTATTTTTTTTCTGTTTACGTTGTTGCTTGTGGTTTGTGTCTTTTTTTTTTTTCATCATTCTCTTTTGCTTATAGTTTTATGTATATTTTTCATAATATTTTGGGATTATATATTTAGTGAATGAAGGAATATTTGAAGATGTTATCATATCGATTCAATTATATTCTTTAGGGTTGGCAAAAAATTGAGATTTATTTATCCAAATTCATATGTATAATGTACTATCGTATGTCTTTACTTAATTAAATCTCTGCATTATATCAGTTCACAAAATTATATCCTAGCTATGTTTTATGACTAATATTTTTTTATTAATCTTAATTTTTATAATTAAAATTAAATATTTAAAATAATATTTTTAAAATATAATTATTATATTAAAGATACTAAAATATAATTTTTTTAAAATTAATAAGTATTATTGTTTTTATATTTATGTTTATTTTTGAATTTTTAAAATATTATAACATAATAATTTTATTATTATTTATATTATTTTAAATTTTATAGGTTTTAATTTAAACTTTCATCAGCAACTTTATTTATTAAAAATAAGTTAAAAATGATAATAAATATTTTATAAACTTCTATAAAATATAATATAATTAATAAATATTACTAAAACTTCTTAAAACATACTAATTTAATACAATAGTGTATAAAAAAATTAGTTTCACTTTAAAAAATAAATTTACAAATGTATTGAAAATCAGTTTTATTTTAAAAATTAAATTTAAAACTAATTTAACGTAAAATTAAATTTAAAATTAGTTTCAATAAAAAAACTAAATTTAAAATAAATTTTAAACTAAATTTAAATTTTAAATTACTTTTAAAATAATTAAAAAATAAAATAATTTAAAATTTAATTCATGTAATTAATTTATTTGGTAAATAGACAATGAAAAGTAAAATATATACAAATATTTATTAGTTTAATATAATATAAAAATAAGAAAATTATATTAATAGATTAAAATATATGCAAATATAATTTTATATTAGTTATTATAAAATTTAAATATATGTAGAACTTTATATAGCTTATATTTAAGTTAAGAATATTTTTGTAAAAGTAATAACATTTATAGGTAAGTTTTTTTTATATAAAACATGGGAATGGGAAAAAATAGGAAGATTCCTAAAAAAGTTGCGAAATAAACATGGACAATAAATTATCTAGTAAATACATTTTTGGAAAACACATTCTCAGGAATCTCACTTAAAAAAATTTCGGATACCAAACACCCCTTTAGTGTCTTTGGTCATTTAATTGTCCTAAAAATAAAGTGATTTTGCGGAC